ATGCCTAATTATATTATTTCTTCTCATGCCTTGCCAGGCTATGACGTTTATATGACCTTTTATGCCTTAATATACTATGATGTATTTTTGACATTTCATGCCATACTATACTATGACGTTTTTTTTCGCATTTTTCTGCCATACTATACTAAGATCTTTTTTGGCATTTTTATGCCTTAGTATACAATTTCGTTTGATGCCTGACCATACTATGACGTTTTTATGACTTTTTATGCCTTAATATAGTATAATGTATTTTTGACGTTTTATGCCATACTATACTATGACGTTTTTTCGCATTTTTCTGCCATACTATATTTAGAGGTTTTTTAGTAATTTTATGCCTAATTATATAATTTCGTCTCATGCCTTGCCATACTATGAGGGTTTTATGACCTTTTATGCCTTAATATACTATGATTTTTTTTTGAAGTTTTTTGCCATACTATACTATGACGTTTTTTGGCATTTTTCTGCCATACTATACTTAGATCTTTTTTGGCATTTATATGCCTTACTGTACTATTTTGTTTGATGCCTGACCATACTATGACGTTTTTATGACCTTTCATGCCTTAATATAAATTGATGTATTTTTGACATTTTATGCCATACTATACTATGTAGTTTTTTGGTATTTTTCTGCCATACTATACTAAGATCTTTTTTGGCATTTTTATGCCTTACTGTACTATTTCGTTTGATGCCTGACCATACTATGACAATTTTATGACCTTTCATGCCTTAATATAAATTGATGTATTTTTGACATTTTATGCCATACTATATAATGTAGTTTTTTGGCATTTTTCTGCCATACTATACTTTGAAGTTTTTTGGCATTTTTATGCCTAATTATATTATTTCTTCTCATGCCTTGCCAGGCTATGACGTTTATATGACCTTTCATGCCTTAATATAAATTGATGTATTTTTGACATTTCATGCCATACTATACTATGACGTTTTTTTCGCATTTTTCTGCCATACTATACTAAGATCTTTTTTGGCATTTTTATGCCTTAGTATACGATTTCGTTTGATGCCTGACCATACTATGACGTTTTTATGACTTTGTATGCCTTAATATAGTATAATGTATTTTTGACGTTTTATGCCATACTATACTATGACGTTTTTTCGCATTTTTCTGCCATACTATATTTAGAGGTTTTTTAGTATTTTTATGCCTAATTATATAATTTCGTCTCATGCCTTGCCATGCTATGACGTTTAAATGACCTTTTATGCCTTAATATACTATGATGTTTTTTGGCATTTTTTTGCCATACTATACTAAGATCTTTTTTGGCATTTTTATGCCTTACTATACCATCTCGTTTGATGCCTGACCATACTATGACGTTTTTATGACTTTTTATGCCTTAATATAGTATAATGTATTTTTGACGTTTTATGCCATACTATACTATGACATTTTTTGGCATTTTTCTGCCATACTATACTTAGAGGTTTTTTAGTATTTTTATGCCTAATTACATTATTTCTTCTCATGCCTTGCTATACTATGATGTTTTTATGACATTTTATGCCTTTATATACTATGATGTATTTTTGACATTTTATGCCATACTATACTATGATGTTTTTTCGCATTTTTCTGCCATACTATATTTAGAGGATTTTTAGTATTTTTATGCCTAATTATATAATTTCGTCTCATGCCTTGCCATGCTATGGCGTTTATATGACCTTTTATGCCTTTATATACTATGATGTTTTTTTGACATTTTATGCCATACTATACTAAGACGTTTTTTGGCATTTTTCTGCTATACTATACTAACGTCATTTTTATTCCTTACCATACTATCTTGTTTGATGCCTGACCATGCTTTAACGTTTTTATGACATTTTATGCCTTTATATAGTATGATGTATTTTTGACATTTTATGCCATACTATACTATGATGTTTTTTCGCATTTTTCTGCCATATTATACTACCATCTTTTTTGGCATTTTTATGCCTTACTATACTATTTCGTTTTATGCCTGACCATGCTTTAACGTTTTTATGACATTTTATGCCTTTATATAGTATGATGTATTTTTGACATTTTATGCCATACTATACTTTGATGTTTTTTGGCATTTTTCTGCCTTACTATACTATGTCATTTGTATGACTTTTCATGCCTTACCATTCCATGACGTTTTCTTTACTTTTTATACCTTACTGTACCTTGATGTTTTTATGCCTTACAATATCATTAAATATTAGGCTACAATGTCATTCTAAATGTGTTTAAGTAAAGAGGACACAGCCTGTTTTGAAAAACTCCACACAATAGCCCCAAGCAGGTTAATACCACCATGATGTTATTGATTATTCAATTTCCTAATCAATTAACTGAGACATTTTCTATGAATTATACTCCCTATTATATTCTCTTGACTTCTATGATGTTGCTTGATAAAAAAGTTCTGTTAACATTTTGAAGAACTAGGACAGCTAACATGATTTTTAAATACTTTCTACTGTCTAGACCCCGTGCTTCGAGTCATCCTGGCTGGTGTAAAGTGGTGGGCGTGGTGCGTGTCCGTGAACTCTTTCCCGTGATGACTGGACAAACTGTGTATTGAATTTGCGTGGTGCAATTCAATGCACCACAAGACAGGGAAGTGGTAATGGCAGTTTCGGGCCTATCGTGTGCCTGCGTTGATACTACGACAACCGTCTGCCGATGCTGAGCTGCCCCTCCTCCCTCTGCTGCGAGCGTTTGCGGAGGTAATGAGGTTACTACAGCATCACTATTAATAGCTGAGAGTTTACTGTCTCCTCATCAATGCACTGCACAGATGAAATGTATATGTAAGTATTCACTATAATGTTAATGTATATTATATATATATATATATACTATATACTATAAACTACTATACTATGATATAATGTTTCTGTATGGTCTGTAAGAAGTAAATTCATCTACAGAACAGAACGTTATTTCAAATCCCATTCTGTTGGTAATATACCCTATTGTAACTAAAGCTGTTGAAAGGCTCCTCGTGTCAAAAACGTTTTTTTTTACTTTTGTTTTTTATTAAATTCATTACATTCCTTTCAAGCTAGCTGTTTCCTACAGCAATGGCAAAGATAATGTGTAGGCATATATTTTTTTAGGCAGTGGTGGAAGCAGAGAAGTAAGCCATTCTGATCTTTTACTTAAGTAGTAATATCACATTGGAAAAATGTTCCATTGGTGTATATTATACTTGGAACGCCTTGGTATCCCCCAGGAGGAGCTGGAAAGCTGCTATCATAAATTTGCTGAGCCCTCAAATAACTCTAACCCTGACCCAACCTATCTTTAAAGGTGCAATATGTAATTTGAGTTTTAAAAAATTAATTAATTAATTAATGACACTAACTTCAGTTATGTAACAATAGCAAAAACCTACATATAGCACCTTTAAACTGTTATTAAAAGCAAAAAGTAGATAGTTCCTCTTGTAAGTTCACTATACACTGTTGCCCATAAAGTTGGAATAATTTAGTTTTTTTGTTTAATTGTGGTTTAATTGTGGTTTCATTTTCATTGTGATATGTTTGGAAGAGATTGACTACTAAAGTTTTGAGAAGATATACACTTTATCTGTCAAGAATAAATCACATTGTCACAACCATTTCATGGAAATAGGTAAAAAATATTTTATTCCAACTTTATGAGCAACAGTGTATGTTTTGTGTGTAAAATCTTAATCAGCAGTGTACCTAACAAAACAAAAATATGTTGTGAAGTAACAAGAGCACCATTGCCCTGTAAAAAAGTCAAAAGTGGCATCAAATGGAAATACTCAAGTAAAGTAAAAACCTCAAAATTGCACTAATTCCACCACAGAGGTTAGGGTATTTTAATCGTTTAGAAAGACTCCATCAAGGCGCATCCCCACATAATATCCAAACAATACGTGAATGATTTCAAAACACTTCTCCAATTAAAATATTATTCTGCCACACATAGAGCAAAAAGTGTTAAACCTGCCACATCACCTGGATGCACTTAATGAAGACACTCATGAGCCAAGGACCACGCTGACTTTCAGGGTGTGTGATTAAAGTGATTATAGGTCCATTGACCATTGGCATCTAACCAGTATTTCTTGTGGTTTGGTTGAAGGTGTTGGTGTGCCTCCTGGTTTTATGGACCACTGCGATAAAGGAGGGAGGAATGTAGCGTGAGGTTAAGGTGTGGTCAATAAAACACTTTTGAAAAACACATGGGAGGGTAAAAGGCAGAGAGTAGGTGTATGTATTTAAAAACTGTAGATTTATATGTATTGGTGATTCTTTTGTCTAACATTACAATGCTTGATGTAGTAACTAACTAAGCAGGGGGGAAATCTGGAGTGAAACTAAAGTTGTAGTCCAACACAGATGTAACTAATAACATTATTAACAGCTGCACTGCATGACAGTAACTTCTTGAATTACCTTTGCTTTTTCTGCTGTAACAAGTACAAATATCTGCTGTGAAAAAGGTAGATGAATCCAGTTCATTTGGTAACAATAAAGACCAAAAGTACGCTGATGTCATCAGACTTATAGCACACGAAAAGTAAAATTGGGAATGCTCATCATACAGATGAACTGCCTGTCTTGCTCTTGAGCTACTGTGAATAGCTGGTGAGGCTTGTGTCTTGTATATCTAAAAGCCAGTAGTTTGTAAAAAGTTCAATTTGCATTTTTATTTGCACTAATGTAAAACAATAGAAAATAAATATGTGGATCATGTTGTTGATGATGTTATTTCATTAAAAATCCTCCTAGTTTCCTTTATTAGTCTACTTGTTTCACTGAGGAAACTTAAGTAAACCACATTAAACCACGAAAGAGTATTTTATGCTACTTTCTCTGTTACTTTTTGTGGAGAAAAGAATACAAAAGAGGCAAAAATCAATCACATCCTTCATACTTTTATTAACACAAAAAATAAAATCAAACACAGTTTGTTCTGATGTTGATTCTTTGCAATTCCTTTTGTCCCCATGGCGATAAATAATGAGAGTAAATCACCCTTTGTCTCCTTTATTAACATTACCTGAACACCCTGTTCTCTGGCATGATTTCAGGAAATGTAAGTTACCATAAATTATCATGAAAACCAGAACAAGAACATACATAACAACCACAAAAATCATTTGTTTGACTGCTTCTTGGAGTTCAAATGAGCCTTGATCTCTTGTTTGAAGAACAGCTCCCCCAGCTGGCCATGCGAGGCTTCGCTCATGGCTTTGGTCTGCATACACATCTTGTACTTGTCTGGAGGAAGCTCATCTGAGCAGTTTTTCTCATGCCACAAGTGGAAAAGGCCACGAGATGGGGAGCGAATCACCACCAGCTTACTGTGAAGGTACTTCCTGTACAGGTGTACGTCCTCCAACCCCCAACCTTTGATGTTACGGTCAAAACCCCCTGCCAAGAAACAACACATTTTACACACATAAATACTGGAATTTTTATCCAAAAATGCACTGAATCCTGTACTTTTATGCATTTAGAAAGTTTTGAATGGACAGTTATGAGTAATATTTAATTGTATTATGACTATCATCATCGTCTTTCAGATGATGAAATTCGGGAAATTACTGATGACACAAGCTTTTTCATTACCTATGTTGATGAAATCAGACCTGTACTGGCATGTCATGCCAAACCCAAAGTCTCTCCAGAATCCAGTTTCTTTCCTGATTACCTAAGACAAAAAGAGCAGCTAGAAATCAGTCTTTTACATCATGGTGACATTTTTATGTAATTCATTGATATAAATATATCTGTTTATTTATTATTTTTCACCTACCAGCTGCTGTTGAACAGAGGGTAGAAGTGTCTGATTACTGTAGATGATAGTTGGGTTGTACTGGCTGAAGAGCACTGGATAATACACTTTTTTACCTAGAGACAAAAAGTTCAAACAGCTGTAGTATACACATTTTCAGTCTTTAGGTCTTGAAGTAGATTTCTTTCTCATTCTCTTTTTTTAGTGAAAATTCTTTGGCATTTGATGAATTTTTCATTACTGGCAGCAACAGCAGAGGTTTGACTGGACTGACAATAATAAGAACTGGGTAGTTAGTATGAGCAACAATAACCACCAGGCCTGAGCAAAGAAATAATAGAATACCTTCTCCAGAGTCTCACGTTACAGAGCCGGACTGACTGAGTGCTAATCAATCTCTTGGAATTACAGTGCAGGAACACCACAACAATGATGACTTATACTACATAGGGACAAAATCAAAAGATTCCCACATATTAGCAGTTTGTGCAAATCCTTGCACTCAAAAGTTTTCCAAAAATTAAAACTTAAACTTAACTTCTACACAGCTTCGGTACACCCCTGCAGGTGTTTCCACTGACAGTGCCTGATTAGAGCCCTTCTCAGATCTGTGTGTGTGTGTGTGCACATACCATGATTGATTTATATCCCCCAGTAAGTTTTTTTTAGTGTATGTTAACTAATACCTTTACTACACTTATCACCTTACTTCTGATCCCACAGTTCATGGTTGTGCTACAGGTGTCTTCCCTTTTCTTAGAGATTTTCTGAAAGAATTACCAAAGGCATCAACAGACTACGAGAAAATGCCCCCATGGGGACAGACAGGGTACAGTATAAGGCTCCACACCCCTCCTATATAGGACCACCAGAGTGTTTTGGGTCTCTTTGTGGTTCTTTGTGGTTGTTTTGTGTCTATTTGTTTCAAACAAGAAATATCAATAGGTTTGGTAATCCGTCCACGCCCCAGGGTAATAGATGGCAGAGATAGGATTACATTATTTTCTTTAAGATGTGACAGGCTGCACTCCCACATCAATCCCCCAAAAGAAAGAATAGAGAAGATAACTGTTGTATACTGCTAACTTTACTGGTACAAAGAAATTAAAAACTGGAGCAAATCAGTCAAAGTTTCATGGGGCCATGAATAAGGTGAACTGGCTGCCCTTCATTGGGCAGTCCCAGTGTTGTGTCAGGGTCTATTACCCTTTACCTCAAATTGAACTTTAACTGACCCCAGCCTTACCCTAACCGAACCAGTAATCTCTGTTACACCTAATCATAACCTAACCTAAGCTCTATCCCCAACCACTGAAGAGGCACTACGGGAAACACAAACACAATTATCTGAAGGGGGAGCAGACCTCGACACAAGACCAACATGCTGCTGGAAAACTCGCTGAAATTCAGTGCAGGCAGCAAATGAGGCAGACGGTGTGTCTATCAAACAGCAGGTGGTGTCAGAGATGCTGTAACAAATGCTATTTCAAGTATTTCAGCTTGTTGGCAGAGACAGTGCTGTACTGAGCAGACAACGTGAAATACTGTATGTGCTTATTTGTCATAATTGTTTATGATGCTGTTTGACCATGTGATATGTTTTTTTTATCTGCTCCACAGAGACGCTTATTAAAGCATAAGTGGAATGTGCAGTTTTGTTTGCTAAATTGAAATGGAGGGGAAACTGCTGCCGAGAGGCTCCAGCAGAGGTTTAATCAGCCAGAATAATTGTAAACACCCGTGTGGATGTGCAGAGCCTTTAATTAATCTGTACCACTTCCTGATGAAGCACTGTTTATAAAGGGTTAATTAATTGTTTTATTAACGGTTAATAAATAATTTACTAATACTTTACAGATGAGTTATAAACTATAAATAAGAGCAACTTTTGGGTTGCTAGGTTGTGGAAAATCCTCCTCGCTTCAAATGCCCCAAGAGTCTCATAATTATATTACATAGCTAGTTAGCCTAGCTAATGTAACTTTGGGAGGCTAGTGAATAGCTGTGACTTTCTTGTGTTATTCAGCAGCAGTGCACCACTGTGGTAAGTAGGGTCAGGCCCCTGTGACTGATCATGGTCCCCCCTGTGCTACCTCGTTTTAAAAAAAATCAGAGAATTGCCCCTGCCCGTCTCTCTCACCAGCCTCTGCATTGAGACGACAGGAAGTCAAGAAGTCAGCTGTGAAGTGGATGTCAACATCACAGAAGAAGAGCAGGACATTCTGGCTCCGCCTCCAAGCCCTGGCGCCCACGTCTAGGCCTCGACCACGTGAAAACTCCTCATTCAGCTGGATCAGTGTGAAGCTCCTGAACCGAGTCTCTCTAAGGGAAAGATGAAGAAGACTTGGATTAATCTGTGTGTGCAAATAGACATCTACTTTAATGAAATAATAAAATGTACTTTAATCTAATTTGAAATGTTTAGAGTGAATAATCGTTCAAAAACAACCAACCTCCACAAGAGTGTTGCAGCATTACATAGTTAACAATAGCTCATAAAGGATATACAATATTTTGCTCCCAAAAGCCTGAAGTAAAAAAAAGATTCTGCATTACAATTTTATAGAGGGATGTGTGTGTTGCTCCCTGGAGGTTCAGGGGCTTCAGAGGATTAGCTTGTTATTAGCCTGCAGCTCCAAAACACTGATACTCTCTCACTTTTTATCTTTTGGCCAAAATATCTGCAGTGCAGTTGAGTTGAGATGAAGATGAAGATTTCATCTTTGTCTTGCAGTAATCTGTCTCGACTCTCCCGCATCATATTTATTTTTTTATCATTTAGTGCCATTACATGTTATTATCTTGACAGAGGTGTAGACTCTGTAGACTGTAGGTCACATGACGTTGAGTCAAGCAAGACTCCTGCAATGAATCCCATGACTTTAGACATGAGAAAACCAGCAGGTAAACTGTTACTTTATTTGATCTTTTTTTCACATAAATGTGACCCTGAAATTAATACTAACAAAAATAATTATTTGCAAACATGTAGAAACTGAGAATTAGAATTATTAGCCTCTCATCTGTTGTCTCATGAAGACACAAAACTGTAGAAGGGTAAAAAAGACAGCTGTGTGTAATTGAAAGTGTGTCAGTGATTTCGTACCTGTGACAATTCTGGACTGGAATGTCCAAGATCACAGGGAGATACTGTAGGTGATTGTTGTGTAAGGAGGCGATTTACTTCAACACACCAAACCAATGTGACATTAGCTGACGTTCGAACTGTAAATTGACGACCTGGTGATTACCTGGTGGTCTGGTCCAACATAGCTTTGACTTGGTCTATCTGATCTCGCCCAAAGTAGACGACAGTGAGATGAACCCTGCCGTCCTGCTTGATGCACACTTCTCTGAACAGAAAACACAGAAGGACACATGTGTTAGGCCCATTCTACACAACTTTCTCCAGCGATAGCCACAAATGACTTTATTTTGAGATAAGCCAAGACAAATTTATTTATACAGCATCTTTCAACAAAAGGGCAGTTCAAAGTGCTTTACATTAAACACAAAAGAGATTAAGAAAAGACACACGACAATATAAAAAGACACATTTCAATTGGGTTTAAGAGCCAATATAAGATAGAAATATGCTAAAATAGAACAAATCAGAAAAAAGGGGGATTAAAAAAATCCTGCACAGGAAATAAAATGCAACAGCAAACTAAAAAGTCTTAAATCCTGATTTTTTAAAAATGAGAGAAATACAGTATGTGGTGCATAAAAACTGAATGCTGCCTGTTCATGTTTAGTTTTGACCATGGGAATACACAACCTGAGGGATCTGGATGGTTCATAGCAGGAGATCAGTGATTTGGACTCAAACTACTTTTAAAGTCTTCATTAACCAGCAGCTCTTTTTTAATCTTTGATATAGGGTTAGGGTTAGGAAGATGTCCAGAAAAAGTTGAAATTGTCAATAAAGTGCACCGTATGGAGGGTAATTGCAGTGTTCAGTGCCGAAAATCTGCTGAGCCCCTCCAGGCAGAGGGCCACTGATAAACACCTCAGTATTCAAAGAGCTGGGTGTGTTGAATAGATCGGTAAAGTGCTGTTTCACAGATAAGGAGAACAATGAGATTCCCATCTGTGAAACTAACCTTTAAAATCTGTAAGCTTTTCACTTTCTCTGAAGTGGCGAGGAGTCTTTCAGCCAAGCTACTCTATTAAGATACGGTTTCACTCAGCACTTCCAAGTGTATTACTTAACTATGAGATCAATAATACAATCACAGTTCGTGTAGTGAGTGGGTGACAATGTGCTCATTCACTCTCAAATGATACCTGAAGTTGTTGATGAACTGCCTGAATGTGTCCGGCCTCTTGGAAAGAGGTACGATGATGTTGATGAGCATGCTGCGCGTATCCACACTGTCGCTCTTCACCTTCATCATGGGGCCGAACGGCCTGAAGAGCACGAGGTGCGTGAAGTCCTGTGGGCCGTCGCCTTTAAACATCAGCTCGTACACGGTTCCTCTGTCCCGCTCTGTACGGGTCAACCCTGTGACAGAGGAAAGAGGAGAATATTTTGGTAACGGATGGATCCCAGTTTTTTTTAGTTGTAGTAAGAATTTGAAACCACCTTTGGATATAGAGAGAGTTGGTTTGATTTTAAACAAACTGTCATTGAATTTAAGTAAGACTCATCTCTCTACTCCTGCCTGTCCGGAAATGCATGGACAAACTTTTCCTGAGCTGAAGATGAATGTATGAGTGACTGAACCGAGATCTTTCTCACCCTCTACGAAGTCTGAAGGGGAGTATGTTCGCTTTCGCCTGATGTTGTCCATGTGTTGCTGAGGTCCATTCAGGACGTGCAGAGCTGTTTCCACGGTGCCTATCAACTCATCCCTGCGGTCTTTCCTCACAGGCCTCTCCTCAGGGTGCTTGGTCAGCCCTGTCTCCAGCTGGTACACCCTGAGTGATACAACAAAAACCCCACTCTATAAAGAGGCAGCATTGCATGACATAAGACTTTACATCAGGAGCAGGTTATACACAGTGTTCCTGGAGGCCCTGAAAGCTCTACGGTGATTGTCCTTAACGGCGAACAACTGTCCCACTCACCTCCGCAGAGTGAAAATGTCAAAAGGAATCACTGCATATTCGTTGGGCAGCTTTACACCTGAGTTCACCTCCGCCTGGTTCAGCTGGGAGCGGAACAACTCCTGGAGGACATGATGTAACATTTACTACTACACCTATAATGTCAAACTTCATTTATCTCATCAGGCCGCATGAAATGTGCATGTTTTCTGCATCTTTCATTCTGTGTCATGTTTTCCTACCTTCAGGTCAGACTGTGTCGGGGTTTTGTGCAGACTCTCCAAACCCTGAGGCAGAATCCCTTTGGTTTTTGCTTTATCCAGGGACTCCTGGAGCTGCTGTGTCCTCTCCTGGAGAGCCTCCTTCAGCTGGGCTATCTGCTTTGTCAGGCTGTTGATGTAATGTCTGTGAGAGTCTTCCCTCTCCTGCAACAAAGCCATGTATCCCTCCTTACTGGTGGCTCCCCCAGACCACAGCGGAGACTGCTGGCTGCTGCGAGATGCAGGTTTACAGGCCAGGAGGTAGAACAGCGAGAGACAGCAGCAGAGGCCTAGCACAATGAGGCCGACACGGGCCACCAAGGCCAGCAGCCACCGTTTAAACATGGTGGATTGTCTTTCAAACGATTTTTAAACACTTTAGGCTTATAAAATCATGGCTCAGTTTCTGTCATGTGGAGGTGCACCCACAAAAAGATGAGCAACCCATAGCTCCAAAACTACACATCAAGAAATATGGATTTTAAAAAAGACGTCCTCCTGTTTTCTCATGTCGTCCTCATCTGTCACATCCACAGGTAGCATCTTCACAGGGCATTTTGACATTCATTTCTTTTGGACCAATGCGTCTGTGCCACTTTAAGTGCAGGGATCATCACCAGTGTATCGAAAGTCCCTACAATGACAAAAATGTACATTTAAAGCAATGGATCCCAACATTTTCAACTACTTAAATCTACCCATGATCCTGCATTACAGGTTATAGATGCACACTGTCTGGGATTCTTTTCTCAGATTATGTCATTTTCAGGAGTTGTCGGCCTGAGGAGGTCAGAGTATCCAGTATTTCACAAGGAAGACTCTAAAATCACAAATGTCAACCTCATGGGGATGTTAGAGGAAAGTCATAATGATTCATCCTCTGGGGACCATGAGAGTTAAAATCTTATGCCAGTGCATCTAAAAGTTTGTGCACTGAGCAACAGACACTGTCGTCCCCAGAGTTATGCTGTTGCCATGATTAGAAAGCAAAGGTTAGTCAGAAAAAAATCATTATGTAAAATAACTTTTTTTTAATCATCAGGTGACCCCCGCCGATTTATCTAGGCACCCTCGGGTCAAAGCATAAATCATTCCCACAAAGACAGATCTAATGTTAAACACCTGTTGTGAAAATAATAGCAACATCGCCTAATTAATCTTTTTTTTTTTGGCATTTTATCAGGAGAAAGCCTCAAAGGACTTTACATAAAGACAAAAACACAAATAGGAGACAGGGAAATCAAGAAAATCTTACAACATCTAACAAATCCAGGGACAATCGGAGAGAGCAAACCAACCAGTCTAATCAGTCTTGTTCGGCTGTGCTTCAGTGTTTTCATGAACAGCTTATTTTGTTACCAGTCCATGGCATGCGGCTCTGTCTCGTTGCTGTTGGACTGTTGGTCAGGTTTCGTTTGGCTGCTGTAAAAAAAATGCACAGAAAGAGAAATAACCTGACCTTACATTCACTCTGAGTGCCACGACGCTGAATGTGGGAAGTGACAGAAACAAGCATTTCTCTGTGTGTCTCTGCACTCTGTGTGTGTGTGTGTGTGTGTGTGTGTGTGTGTGTGTGTGTGTGTGTGTGTGTTGCCATCATCAGTTTATTCACAGCACAGTTGGCTCTTTATTGCTCAGGTAGAGGCTGATCTCATGAAAGACTTGCTTATGTTTCCAGGTCCACCCAAGCACTGTGTGTGTGTGTGTGTGTGTGTGTGTGTGTATGTGTGTGTAGATGTCTTGGTGATTACAGTTGCATATATACATGTGTTCATACCATGTGGACCCTTTTAACACAGTCCACCATAAAGATCAGTACTTTTAATAAAACATTTCAGCGTGTTTTTTTCTCTGCATTCTCATAAAAACCCTTCCACAGTATATGGAATAGTTTTGCATCATAAATATTATGGTTGTAATCTTTAATTTATTGTGGCTCATATTAAGGCCTTTCATGTATTTAAAATGACTGCAAAGCTTTCACCCTGCTGTCATCTCGGTTGAACACTTTACAGGCAGTAAATCACAGTGGGTCATCAGATTTATGAGCTCTCATGAAAAAACCTGACATCATAAACTGAAACATGCAAACGTGACCACACAATACACAGGTTACACACTTTAAAGCTGCAATTAAGGACAGAAAGATTAAAAATGCATATAATTATACTCACCAGCTGCTGTGAATCTCAGGAAAGTTACGATTGGATGTCGATCATCCTGAACTGCTTCTCTCCGTCTGTCACTGTTTTAGGTTACAAAACAGCATCTTACCAATATTTGCAGGCAGGGAAGCTGTGTGTTTGTTAGTGTTTAAAAAAAGTGAGAGGCTGACTTGAACAGCTCTCTAGCTTGTCACAATTTTAGGGCTGAAGTGACCTTATAGGAGTAAACTGGACTACTGAGGACCTCCTCTCTCCCATCCTCTCTCCACTCAGTCTCCTCCTCTTCCCAGCACCTCCCTCTCCCCTCACTTTTTTTTTTCTACCAGACCCAGTCTTCCCCCCCTTAGCATCCCTATGGAGATCTAACACCATCTGCCTTCATCCTGAATTCCCTCTCAGGTCCTCCGAGGATCCGCCACTCTGCCCTTAAGTCTAATTAGAAGGCAACCGGAGTAAGGAATGCCCTTCAGACTTCGATGCTCTGCCACCTGCAATCTGTTGTTGGGGAAATAGCTAGGTACCAGTTGGATCCCACCAATAGGACGGGGTCTTGCACATTTAATGAGGCAGCGTACAGATGGTCCTTGTTTTCATTCGGATGTCGACTTCTGAGCTCTGACTCCTCTAAATCACCAAGTTCACTTTGTTTCCCTTGTTTTTGCTTGTAAATGGAGATTTGGTAATATAATTCATTGTCATTGTGTTAAAATGTTTCTGAAATGAGACTGTTATTATACAGGGACATGATGTAGAATTCAAGTCAAATATTTTTTAAAGGAAGAGACAAAGTTTTCAGGGAAGGAGTGAAACTTGTTTCTCGTCTTAGTACAGAGCCTATTTTCATTATATTACTTCCATGACTTTATTTGATTAATAGTTTTTGCCGCCAGAGGAATATGGCTAAATGTAGGTGCTTTGTGCCTCAGCAAGACATCTTTGGTTTGTTTACATGTGGTCCTATGGACATCTTTAAAAAGCCGCAGGTGTTAAACACACATCTGTTAGTTTTATTTATTTTTTTAATCTATTTTTATTTACTACTCTTTGTCTGTTTTATGTCTTTTTTTATGTCTTGCTTTTGCTTCCTGACAGTTTTCTGACCATAAATTTTGAGTTCTAATAACATGTATATTTCCCTTTTATTATATTGTTGTTGGTTTATTTCTAATTTCATACATTTTTGAAACAGTGTAAAATATTGCAGATATAGCTGAAAAGCATTTGTTGTTTTCCCAACATTCAACAGGAAGATTATTATTATTTATCTGAGTACTGGCATTCTGTTTGTTCTGTTTAGATAGCAACGACTGTGCACCTGACACATTGCTGGAGCATTTGGAGTTGTGCACGCTGCTACCGTCAACTAAGAACCAGATACATTATTTCACCTGATGGTGGCGCCACATACATGACTAATCGAAAATCAGAAAACAAGAGCAGCTGCGCAAAACAGACAACTGTATTTATTATCGTTTCAAGTTATTTACATCTGTTAGATTACAAAATGTGGAATGTGGCCAGAACATTTCTCTTGCTCGCGTGTTGAAAATGCAACAGGACATTTTACATTTCTTTTCTTGGCACATGGGTGTGAATTCAACAGCCCCAAATGTGTGTGTGTGTGTGTGTGTGTGTGTGTGTGTGTGTGTGTGTGTACATGTTTGGCTTTTAATTACAGTGCAGGCGCCTAGTGTATCTGGACAATGTGCTTTGTGAGTTTTGTGCTCAATTTAGGCAGTGCTTTGCTTTCTGAATCGTTGTAAGTAACAACAAAAAAAAACAACAACCAAGGAATGTAAAACAAAATCACCAGAAATAATGCCACAAAAATAATGCTACTTTGCTTGTTTTCAGGTGAGGCAGCATCTATGATACTTCACTTTTATAAAAGCTTCACCGCACCTGAAAAGAAGGGACCTGCTGTGCCGCATGGAAATTGTTTTGTGTGTGTGTGTGTGTGTATGTGTGTGTGTGTGTGTGTGTGTGTGTGTGTGTGTGTGTGTGTGTGTGTGTGTGTGTGTGTGTGTGTGTGTGTGTGTGCATTTAAAGTGCAATATCTAAAACAAAAACTAATTCCAACAAAGAACCAAACTGTTACAGTGAGAGGCAGGAGGAGTCAGTTCCTTTCAAATACATTAACACAATAAAAACATGTCAGAACAATAAAACACTCCGGTGGAAAAAACAACTGGAGCATGTGCAGTATGTAGAACATACATGATACTACTGTGGGTGGGCACCAATATGGATTTTACACTCAGTATCAGTTTAAAGTATCAGCAGAAATCAGTTGCGTTGTGAGAAAGACGATGAAAATACTGATTAATTTGCTACAAGTTGATGAGGTGTGAACCCAACTTTTCCAGCACTTCCTCCCCAGTGTGGCTTCAATTTATAATCGTAGGCCAAGTCTTTTAAAAAAGTTCCCTCAAAAGCAGTTTTAACAAACACTGTCTATGTCTTCACTACAGTAATAACTTTGTTAAACTCTTGTTCATGATTTTGCTGTATTGTTAGCAGTGTAACTTCTGTCAACGTGTCCTCGTGCTATACCGCCGGGGATGCTGAGCAGAAAATATCAATTTCACAGCTTCTTGACTGTAATTTATTCAGACAAGAATATCAATAGCCACAGCTAATATTGATATTATTTCATATCAGTGCCCACAGTGACACACATCACTCATACATGCTCAGAGGGGATCAGCGCCTCCTGCCAAGTGCTGTCATCCTTCCGGACTCATTCGCCCACATCGCTGTGAAAATTTCAACTGTGTCTCCTCCACACCAGTGGTGCCATTAACCTCACTCAAGGCAACAAGAGAAGATGTGAAGGATCGGGTGGAGAGGGGGATGTTGAAAGAAGAGTGGTGGAGTGATGTGTGGGTGGCTGGAGATAATCTCTCAGACACCACAAGGTGTCGTGTTGCCATCTCAGAGATGGTTGCTAGGCAACAGCATCCTTCAGAGTCTTCCTTCGGGTGGTAACTAGGTTACCCCAACTTACTATCATCATGTTGGTGTTTTGCCGTGTTTTAACCGCAAAACAGTGTCCCTCTCCCTGTTGGTCACTAACTTATACCAGCTGCTCCACCCAGGCTGGCAGGTGTTGAGAGGTTACACCAGTTCATCCAGTAGAGTCCCTATGCTGTGGTGCTGCTCAGGGGGGCCAGCTATGGGTTTGTTGCACATGGGGCAGACGCAGCGAACCTCCAGCCACTTTACCAGACACCTGTGCAGAAGAACACAGGCCCTCATCACCAGGTGTGCAACATGAGATCATGAGTCCTCTTACACATTTTGACACGTTACACTGATCAAAATAAAAGCCAAATAAAAAACAAAATACTTTTTACTTAAGTAAAAGCAGCCATACCAAACAATATAATACTCCATTAAATGCATTCATGATTTTACCAATGTAAAAGAATTAGCAGCAAAATGTACTTAAAGTATCAAAAGTAAAAGTAAGAGTAAAATAGTGTTCTGAATTTATACAGTGTAATGTTGGGTAGTTTAATCTGATCTGATGGGGGGTTTCCTGTACAGGTTTCTACCCTGGTATAACGTGGCATAACTAAAGGGTCCAAGCACCAGACATGTGACATATCTCTTCAATGCGCACTAAATAAGTCAGATAAATTCAGTTATTTTTTATTCCTCGTGTTCAAGAGGACCAAAGGGTGGAAAGGTAGACCACAATTTAATACACCTAATAAACATCAGCTATGCTTCCCCTACAAGATCTTCCTACTAGCACTACCTGCCATCTGCACAGTGCATGCTGGGACACGTTATAGCCCTGACCACTGCTCTCTCATCCTTATTAGCAATGAGCAGGAAAATGAAATGTAAAAATGAATGAATATAAGTACTGTTGAACAAGGACTCCTGCAGTCAAAAATACTTATCCATCTTACTTATCACTGAACTTCAGATTGAACCGTGTTCATTTTAACCAGCCTAAGCAGGTGCAAAATGGTAACAAGAGCTCTCCTGTACTCACTTCCTGTGGAAAGCATGTTGGCATGGCAACACTCCCAGCTCGTCTTTCACTTTGAAGTCCTCCAGACACACGGCGCATGTCTGCTGTGTGAGTGACAGACAGGACAGAATGAGAGAAGACAGTCATTTGATGAAATTATCATGGCTCATTTTTAATATCAGTTTCAAGCCGTTTCCTCACTAATAATGTTAAAAAAGAAATCATGTAAATCACATTCTTACCCCATGAAGATTCAACTTTTTTGGATCTCCTTTTAAAACTACCTGTAGAGTAACAAAAACCAAATATGTTAAATAAAGATCTTTTGATTTAGACCTTAAAATGTGCAAAGTATACTTGTCATGCTTACTTCTCTGTATCCAAACCGCTCACTCTGGGCTTGGTGTCGTAGTTTGCTGTGGAGGGACAGAGGAAAAACACCAATAAATAACTTTGGAACTTTTGTAGAGCCTTCAATCAACCATACTTTGCATTCACTTCCTCTTTAAAATGATGGAGGATCCGTTCCTCAAGTAAAAGTAGAAATACCTCAATACAAAAACACTCCATTAAAAATAAAAGTTCTGCAATAAAGTACTTAAGATGTGCTTAAGAAAAATTCGGTGATGTAATGTAATTGAGTACATTAACTCAAGTACTGTACAGTTTTGATGTACTTTACTTTCCATTTCACAATTACAGTAGGATTATCACAAAAAATGTACTTAAACCTGCATTTACTGATTTTCTTCGCCACTTGGGGGCAATGGAAACAAACTGTAAACACAATCCGAACTTGTTAGCAAACAGTTGCTTATTTACACATCCAGCAGGTACGGAAGAACGTTAGCTTTTCATTTAAAAATCTAACTCCTGTATTCATTCTCCTTTAAGTTCTGTTTTGGTCTCCACCAAGTCCTGAAGGAAATATCTGGCTCTTAAGATGCTAAATGCTCCACTATGTTCACCAGCTAGTTGCTAACTATGTCTGTCTGCTGTTTGGTGCTGACTTGCATTTGCCAGGTTGCCAAACACACAACTGCAGAGGAATGTAAGTGTGGAAGGTGTAAATAAGCAACTGTTTTCTGAGAGGTTCACTTTATCAACTTTCCAAGGTGATAATATCTCAGTGTTGTGTTCAAAATGTGTTTCCTCTGCCGCCAAGAGATCAAAAATCATTAAAGCATTAACATGTAAGCACCAACTACCTTACTTTTGAGTAGTTTAATCTGTATCTATACATAAGCATCATATTTTTTCTAAACTTAAAATCATAATTAGCAAAGTAACTCATAACTATAGCTGACTAAAAACTAAAACAGTTCCTTCTGGAATGTAGTGGATAAAGTACTGTGCCATTAAATAAACTTAAAGTAAATTGTACTTTATATTATTTCTAATCAGTTATAGTACATGTGTTTTAATGTGCTTAGTTACTTTCCACCACTTTCCACTTGTTTATTAAGAGATAAAGATGTCTGTATATTTATTCCAAGCTGAGTTTAACAGCAGGTCATTTGATTCAGGCAAAGATTTAAGTTTGTGTGGTTAAATTATGGGACTGTGTGTAACTGAAGCTGTGTAATTGCAGGGTTGACTTTGATAATTGACTGTCTTTTCTAACAGCTACAGTGGCCACACATCTGTGGAAAAATACATGTTCCCCTGCAACCACACTCAGACACACACACACACAAACACACACACACATATTGTTAACACACTTGACTAATCATGTAACTATACACACATACTAACACACACAAACACACACAAACACACTTACGCACACATATACACAAACATGGCTAATGAGTACGTTGCTGCTTTGAATCCCTGCACCACCCCAAAACCCAACAATGGAGAGGAGATCTTTATCACTTGGCGAGCCGTGTCTGTTCAGGCGGTTATTTTTGGCCTCCTGTTTTTACACAACTAAACATAGACTCAAATGTCTATCACTGTTTGTGATTTGGTCCTGAAACTAAATGTAGCGAGAGCATCTGAGATGAAAGAAGAATGTTTATTTGTGATCTGATCCCCCTCAAAATAGACAAAAAATAAATAAAAAAATAAAATGTCAGTGAGTCGGTGCTTAATGTAAGGAAATGAAAGTTATTCGTTGTTTTTGTCACTCGGTTTATTGTTTACACTGATTGCTGCTAACAATCTTCCATGTAGAACAATGCAAGGATACACGTTTTACATGTGCTGAGGTTTCCCATGCCTGGAGAATGATGTGAAGTGGGTGAAAGGGGGGCATAACGGAGATCAGTTCAGCTATTGTGCCCGGTTTGCAAGAATAGAAAATCGTCATACAGCTACTATTGACCCGTTCTTACTGTATGAAGCAACAATTGAATTCAACAGGTGTACAGTACACAATATAATAATAGGTGCAGAAATCTTTGGGGAAATCCGATTTATAGTAACAATCTCAACCAAAACAATGTTTTTCTGTCTCAATTACTGTATATTCAACACTAAATAAAGAAAGGCAACAAACTTCAATAAAATCTTGAGTTAGGTTAATATTTGTACAGTTACTTAATTTTTGTTCTTTAGGAGTAATGCAGTAAAGTCTCAAGTCTCAGCTTTAATTTAAGTGAGTTTAAATCAATATAGCTCAATATAGAGAGAACTATGTGAGAGATACAGCCCTTTTATCAGATAGTGCCCAGATTGCAAGGGTTCAAAAGTAAATGCACACGTGGCTACTAAATGTTTCTTGGTCAACTGTGTGTCGTTTCAATGTTAGTTCATGCACAAAAAATGTGGCTCAGAGTCAATGGAGAGTTGAGAGATGTAATTTACATTCACTCTCTCACAGAGATATCAAAGGTAGTTGGTTTGCCAGAATCAACAGTTGGGTACTTTTTTTTTTTTTTTTTTTTTTTTTTTTAAAGCAGGTGATAACAGGAAAACTATTAAATATCAAACGAACCAGTTGACTGAGGAACACAAATCTTTTGTGAATGAGCAGAAAATCATTTACATGGTGAAGAAAAACCTCTTTATGACTGCACATCAAGTCAAGAATGCTCTCCAGGATGTAGGCGTACATGTTTCCTTGATAACAATCAAGAGACTTCATGATCATAACATCAGAGGATTCACCACAAAATTTAAACCCCTTGTAAACCTCAAAAGGCAAAGCAAGTTTATATAGTACCATTCAGACACAAGGTCAGTCAATGTATTAAAATTGCAACAAAAGAAAACACAGTAATGATCAGAAAGGGGAACCTCAGAAATGTTTTGACCTTTTGGAAATATTTAGATCTAAACTATGTCCCTTGTTCTGCTGGGAAAGTCCAAAATTATCCAGGATGTACAAAAGATCTTTGTCACTGCCACCTTTGGGATTATCAAAATGAATATTGAAATCCCCCACTATGACAACACAGTTAAGGGGGATAATTGTAAGTTTTCTCTGCTGTGTGACTGGGGCTAGCTAGTTAGCATGCTAACTTCAGTAGAAGAATATAAGTGATAGAAACAAGAATTAAAATTGATGTTGCTCCTCACCGCTGGAGACAGCAGCAAAGAAATGAAGTTTGATGCTGACCTCGCTGCTGCACTATTGCTTTCATTTAACAAAGTTTCAGTTAAAAACATACAATTTTTCTTGATAATAAAATCATTAATAAATAATGACTTGCTAGCTAGAGGCCTGATATTTAATAAAGCTAAGTTTAGTGCACTAAAAGCATTGTGTGACACAATCTGTGGCTGACGCACAACCAGAGTCAGATTAGATAAAGTAGCTGTGCGCTTTGAGTACACTTTGTTCATCCTGATGCTGGTTAAAATGGGAATGGCAGATATAGGAGCTGCTCCCCGCTGTCTGTGGTGGGCTGGATCAACAGCAGTGGGTCCATACCCAGTATGCAGAGGGAGACGTAAGCTGAAAGGGGGTGTGGGGTAAGGACCCAGGTGGTCCTAGATGTCAGCATGCCCTGTAACGCTAACTGTACAGAGCTTGTCCTTGCTTTGTTTGGATAGGCAGGAAATTTTGGTGCCACTCGTCTATCCCTTTTATCTGCATCCTTAGCTTTTGTGAGATATTTCTGAGAGGTGAGGCGGGAGGGAGGGGGTAGGGATTGGGACTGATCCATGGCGTTGTCCTTGTTGTGCTGGGTAGAAAACAATAATCTTCTTTCCACAGATTTTACTGACCCTTTCCAAATACCAGCAGTGGGGCGCTGGAGGCCATAGGTCAAGTTGGCAGTAAGGCTATGGACTCCCACTCTGTTTAAATGAACCCAGTCCACAATGTAACAGTTTCATTGCTCCCAGAACAATTTGAAATTGTCAATTGAAGCTCAGTTTTTGAACCGTGATGTGGAGGACTGCCAGGTATTTAATGCCAGATGAGGACAGGCTGCAGTGCCCAAAAACAAATACAAAGAAAATGGTTTCTAAGTTCTGGATCATGGACTGATGGAACAAAACTCAATAATGATGAAAGGAACATTTCATGATGCAAAGCCACCACCACAATTTGTCAGACATGGTATTCAGATTTAGCCAAATGTATCAAGACTAATTGGGAAACATTTCATCATCCAGCAGGACAATGATCCTAAACATACGTCCAAAGCAACCAAAAAGCTTTTCAGTATAAAGATGTGGATTAATCATGACTGGTCAAGTCAATCACCTGATCTCAATCTGATTGAGCTGCATTCCAGCTGCTGAAGACCAGACTAAAGGGAAGATAAAACCCTAACCCCTTTTTCCACAGATTGAAAAACACAGACAATGACCTGCTAACACTTTCTATGTTCTATGTCCACATGTGTCAGGTTGAGGTGACCTCCAACCTGCCGTTTCTATTGTTATAGCATTTAGGACTGTTACTTTATTTTTCTCACTCTCTGTTTGTCCTCCAATCCTCTGCGGTTAAGAAACTGTATGTCTGCATGAACATTCTCAGTGTCACGGGGCTGCATGGGTTTCGAAAAGAGGTTTGAGTAGGTACATTAACCTGTCATATTTCCTGTTGGCCAATGAGCGACCACATTAAGATGTAGAAACAGCCTGTTGCATTGGGATATGTACCCTCAGGGGATTTCACAAGTCCAGTCTCAAGGATCACTGACAGTAATTAAATGAGTCAGTGAATTTATTTGGGGAGAGACGCTCCGGTAGCTTAATATCTCTGCCCTCAGTCCATGTATCGTCTGGCTAAAAACCCTCTCAGCTCGCCCCTGTGCCTCGTGGTTCTCAAAATATCTCTCCGACTAGCTGCTCTGTTATTGACTATAAACCCAGCTGTGTCAGAGAAGATTGGGGTATAATTAAAGATATGATATTTTTGGTGTGTGCTTTTGGCGCCCCTGTGGTTGCAGGTACTGCTGCGTCCACACCCCCACTTTGTGCAAGGATAAGCACAAAAGCAAAGGATCATGTTTGGCAAACCTCACCCTGATTTCAAGGCATTTTAGAAAACTTCATATAACATAATATACATATAATTGCAGCATATAATTAAAGGAGGAATCCTTACATAGAAGAATAGAGACAGACTTGGATTTTTCACCATAATGTTAAAATCAAACATCACAAACTCCCTGACACACAGGATCTAGAGAGAGTCTGAGTGAGAGATAATAGGAAACCTGCCCCCAACTGGGAATGGCATTCATCACTCAGTATTCATCTGATGAATCACCCGGTCTATAAATGAATTCACAATCACACTCCTACCCAAGACTACCGTGTGTGTTAATAGGGCTGAAAGGAAGTGACTCACTGGATATGATTCACAGGCAAGTGCTTCAAAAGAAATAGGAAGGATCTAAGCTTTTCTGACGGAGTTGATGGTCAATTTAGTGGTGAGCCCAGGCCAAACAAAACATCCATGATTACAGAAATTTGTCTGACCCCAACACAACCACCTAGGCTTTGATAAATACTGAGATGTGTTCTGGTTTGATTTGATACTATTTGAATCAACTTTTTCGCAAGGTTTTCTTTTCTCTTGGTAGTAACTACAGTGTAAAAATATCTCAAAGATAAAAAACATGCTCTGAATTGATGCTTGATTTTCTGTCTTTTAAAGATTTTACTCGAGGTTTGCCAAAGAGCTAAAACATAGGGATTCTCTGTTTCTTAAAATATTTGATCTCCAAATACTGATCACTTTTAACTGGGCAAATTTCATCCTGTCACATTCTCTTTACACATGATCTTCATCATGATCTTCAGATGGAGTTATAGATAGATATAGATGTGGGCTTCAAGGTGAAGGTTCATTCCTGATTTTGGAAACTACAGGTTCATTTAGTGAGTTTTTGAGCTTTTGATCATATCACACGATCTTATGGGGTTTTTTTTTTAACTCAACATACACGAGAAGTCCTTAAAATGCTCAGGAAAAAAGGAAAAAGACATTGATTATCTACAGTTCTGTGACATCTGAGCAAATGCCATCTGCTGCTGATGGAGATCACTCAGCTCCAGAACAGCTGCTGAGTGGACCTTGGGGTGAGACTGTTTCATCAATTCCTTTATTTTTTTTTATTTATTGGCCGAACAACACTCAAATTTAAACCTGCAATTTTTTTGGCCACTTGGTGTCAGATGAAACAAGCTGTTGACAATGAAATATCATTACCTTTTAAGTTGATATGTGAACAGGAGAAATATTAGCATCAATCTGGAGTCATGTCTATGGCCATCTGATGAATGTAAGTCTTCTAATCATTTCCCTTTTAGTTCTGTTTTTGGTCTCCACTAACTCCTGAGGCTCCTCCTCAGGTTCTCTAGCTGCTAAATGCTCCACTGTATTCACCAGCTGGTCTCTAACTGTGTCTGTCTGCCATGTGGTGCTAAGTAGGTAGGGTAGAGGGGGGTTATAGAGCTTCTTTTTTACTGAAAACAACTGCATGTTCTAGCCAAAAACTACACTATAAGAGCAGTTAGAATGAACCGAAACAGTAAAGTTGACACTGGAAATAACCTGAAACTCTCTACAAAGCTCTGTAATGGTTCATCACGATGACCAACCCCTTTTACATCATATTGTTTTCATATCATCATTTGATACATTGTTGTCCTAAAAAATTCTATTATAGTCACTTTAAATATCTTAATAGTAAAAAAAAACTACTGTAGTTGGCCTAGAAAATATCTATCAAAAAGCTCCACAACAGCTACTAAATACAACTTGTGGTGTGGAGATTTTTTTGTCAGCTGGTGTTGTGAGGTTGAGTATGAACTTGAAAGAGTTTTTTTTTATGTTTGAACAACAGTAGTTTGGTTGATATTATTATTTCCATTTGGTGCAGTTGCTAGGATTCAGTTATCTCCAATTATAGAGAAAGTATGAGCTGCACAGGAGGAAAATGTACAAAACTCAGCTGAAAAGCCACATATCTACTGGATACCAGCTACCACTGTTCCTGACATTCATTTGCATTTTGACATTTCCATTTGTGTTTTGCTATGTTTTCCAGATGGCACACTGGCTATGTATGTCTCCAGCCAACAGACACGTTTCTTTTAATTGTTTGACATTTTGATAACACAGCCAGTTTGGAGAGCAATTCAAAATCATGTCTCATGCCAAAAATAGCACACCACATTAGGAGATGTCAGGTAATTTGACAAATACAGATGCTCAGTCACCCAAAGAGAGCTATAAAAAAGAAAAAAAAAAAAACCCTGCTGCAGGTGTTGACGTTTCCTGATGTTTATTCTGAGCAGAGTTTCTCTGCAGTTTTCCTCACTGCTGTCCTCATACATTGTGATGGTCTGCTTCCTGTTGCCTCATATCCTGTCCTTCAGACACAAACGTCCCCTCAGCTCATCAGGGAGTTCACTGTCAGCGGCAGGGGAGGTCACCCTGTTCCTCTTTTTTTATACCTCCTTCCCTCCCTCACTGTGTTTCTGGCCTGCAGACACACACAATCTCCTTACTGTAGGGGTGTCAGTCGGTCTACAGCTTTGGTCCAGACTAAAATATCTCAACAGCTATTGCATGGATTGCCATTAAATGTGGTACACATATGTTCCCCCCTAAGGATGAATTATCATCATCATTTTGGTGAAAATGTCACTTTGTTCACAATTTACTTTATATTCCACATTTTCAAACCTGTGCTATTTTATTCTGGCTGAATCAGACTCTGGTTCATTTCCTCTCTTGGTAGGATTCACAGCAGTCATACAAAAGTGCAAAGCAAAACAGCCACACACAGACCTTTTAAGGGAAGTGGTTTCAGTTAGGTCACAAACAAACTCTAGAGAGGTTTATTTGGGGTGGGAACATGATCCAACCTCAATCTGACCCGACTACATGGTGAACTTTGCAGGTTTGAGATAAATGGTTACCATAGTCAGGTGCACTTTGCATACTGGGATGTGGATGAGCGAAGGCAACAGTAGCTAGAAGTTGAACAAGTACTTTGTCTTCATGACATCTGGGCATCACATCAGGACCTTTTTCCTGTGTGTCTACCTCCTGCTTTTCTTGTTTTTTCTCCACATATGTTTTTGCCCCTCACCTGATAAAGTAACAGCAGAAGATGAGGCTCAGGATGAAGACAAAGATGCCTGTCCCGAAGATGACCATGTAGATGTTCAGAGGCAGGTCCTGGAAGGTGATGGGCGGCATGGTGCACGACTTGTTGGCGTAAACCAGTCCAAGACCACAGAAGCACCCTAAACAAAGACATATGGAAGATTTAAAAACACATTTGCAGGAAGAACATAGTCAAGAGTGGAGGCCTGACACTGCCACGTGTAAGAATATGTCTCAAAACACAAGTGAATGCAACAGTGCACATACTTCTTTTTAAAATACTCTGCCACTCATGGGAAGCTGAGGGTCAGACCTGTAGCTGTGTCTGCCTCCAAACACACACATACACAGACACAAAGGTTGAGGGAAAGAGGTAGAGAATGACTGCACTTTCCTGTAATGGAAAATTAGTCCTTTTCAATGTTGTACTTCAGCATTAAAACACTCTTAATGCGGTATCCAAGCAAAATGGATGTCTCTCTTCACAAAGCAGATCCACATGTCTTTGCCCGATAAAGGGTCAGTGCATTTAAAAGCATTAGTGGACAGATGAGAAAGTAACAGTTAGCCATAGATGAAAAGATTATATTTGTCAGCCATCTATTGTTAAATTGAAATGAAATAGTTTTCAAGACAAAAAGCACTAACACTCTGAGAATCAGTGAGTGCAATTTGATTAAAATGGCACCATTGAGGTGATTCAGCCATATACACTGCCGGTGACTATAGAAGTACATTAAAGATGCAGCAGTGTGATGTTTTTATGTGTTGAACTGATGGCTCTCCCATTAAAGTTGCCCTCCTGTATCTCATCCTTCCTGCTTTGACGCTACATTCCTCCAAGCAGGCACTGGACGTCAACGTAACAACAGTAAGATCTTGAACTCTAACGTCGGACAGACGTTGTGACGTTTGGATTTCAGTTACTTAACAACACCACTTAAAACCAGCAAAATATCAACGACATCATCAGTATTCTATGTCATATTGACGTTGGCAGTAGTCATTGAACTTCGGCCACCTGAGGTCACGACCTACATTCAACCAGATATCAACATCTAACAACGTTGGTGGCCAGCTGCGTGCCTGCAGGGCTGTCTGTGTTTGTTTTACTGGGAGACGGATTATCACTGTAGCGGTGGTCTGCGCTGAAGATTTAAGAACAAATGTGGCACGACTTTGGACAGGTTGCAGTATGTGTGTAGTTTCCAGTATTTGATGGATTGTGTTTATTGTGTATAAATACATTGAGAAGAACCATGGATTCCTGGAGTGCAAGCAAAGGAGTCATGGGAGAAACCATTGTAGATTAGATAGGCAGAGACAAAGAGATACAGAGAGCCCACGTGCTTGTATGAGTAATGAGAAATGAGTATCTGCATGTGAGAGTGGGCTTTGTGAGATCAGGGTCACACTAACCCAGTGAGTGATAGTGAATCGGCACCGACACAGGCCTCTCAGGGGGCTGTGTGCCACAAAGGGGAGGAAAGAAACACTACACTTTCACTGTAGAAACAAACTGTGGTGTATGAAACTGCACAGTTCAAATTTTAGAAAATAAATAGACGGATGAAAGGATGAACGGATGAACGGATGGATGGATGGATAAATGGACAGACAGATGGGCAGACAGGTGGATGGTGAACATGTGGAAGGATGAATGGATGATGGATGGAGAGGTGGATACGTGAATGGATGGATGGTGGACGGATGGTCGGACAAACAAATGCATGGATGGACAAATGGGTGGACACGTGGACATATGGGGGGAGGAAAAGACGAATGAATGACGATGAATGGATGAATGAATAGGTAGTTGGACACATGGATGGAAATGCAGGTGATGGATGGATGGACAGACAGATAGATAAATACACAGATAGAAGGATGGATGAGGGAATGAATGGACGGATGGAGACCTTTACAAATTTCATTTCCCTGTGATAGGTATTGTTTTCTCGGGGCACAGTTTTTTTTTGATCGATCCTGGTATTTCTAGTCACTCCTGCAGCCAAAGTAACACGTTGACATTTCTATTTGACATTTCTCCCGCCTCACAGTGGATGCTGCAGTATGAGAGGATCAATACTTCCCGCCTCTTCGTTCCACTCGCTCAGAATGAGCAGTGATGCTCCATTAATTGAGGCTCTTCACTGATGGCTGCACGTTCAAGTTCCATCACAAAATGATTTCACTCAGCGATCATTACCAGAGACATCGGCGTTTGCCTGAACCTCCGTCAACACCGTCAACATGGGAGTGTAAATTAAACACAAACTGACCGAAGCACATGTGCAGAGCTGCAGGCAGGATTTTACGAATACCCAGGTCATGGGTCAAAATACACATTTCATCTATTTTTATAATATTTTCTGTAAATTTTATCTAACTGCAGTGGAGAATACTAAATACCTTTTGATTTCAGATTTCATTTGAACAGTCTGAAGAGGTCAAAACTCCAGCAACATTTGTAGTATAAAGACCTAAAGTACTTTTACTTAAGTACTGTACTTAAGTACAATTTTCAGGTACTTGTACTTTACTTGAATATTTCAATTTAATGCTACATTTCAGACTCAAATTTTACATAAAAACACATGTAATAAGCCAAAATATAAGACAATGTCAAAGATTAAACCAGTAGTTCCCATCTTTTTGATGTGTGACCCCTGACAATAAATCAGTGTCTATTTAGTGTCACATTTTGTAAGTCTACTAGTTGTTAACAGTTCCACCGAAAGTGTCTCATTAAATGTCACAGATGGTTTTATCTAACTGATTATTTGAGGCCTAACAAGGTCAAATTAGTCGATGTTTCACAAAATTGCGCAGGTCCAAGAAAAGTAAAAAAAAAAAAACATATAGTAAATGTTACAGGATTTTGTTTTTTCTTCTCTCCTCTCCCATTAATCATCATATGACCCTTCAAATGAATCTTGTGCCCCCTTGGAGGGCCTCGACCCCTCCGTCGACCCCTCCTAAAGCCTGACCGATGCTGGATTTTGCTGGAAAGCAGTCACACAACAGTCATACAGAAAAAGAACAGGGGATAATTAATATTGTTACCATTATTATTATTGAATAAGTCAATAATATGGTCAGGACCGTAACAGAGGCAATTACTGGGAATTATATTTGAGTGTAAGAAAAAAAATCTAATAATGATATATCGGCCAATGTTAATTTTCTTTACAGAATCAATAATGTGTCCAAGACATTTTACAGTTGAAAAAGAATTTTGCTCTTCCTCTCTGGTGGACAAACTGGAGAAGGGTGACAGTGTTTCAAAACATTTATCAGCTGAAATGTATAAACTATACCAACACAGTATGTCTGCAGTGAACTAATACCAGCTGATATATGAGCTTGGAAACAACTGCCCTAAACTAGCAAACTGTCTGTAAAGCAGTTAGCTTCACCTAAAGTAGCTACTTTTACTTCAGATACTGTAAGTGCAGTTTGATGATATTACTTGGACTTTTTTGGGGAATTTGGAATAAAGGACTTTCCCTTTCATAATTAAGTTGTTTTTTACACTACATGTGCTCCTGCGTTTTAGCCTCTTCAGACTGTTTCCCTTCCTCATATACAGTCAAACGCTTAGATATTGAGTCCAGAATCAGCCCTTAAAAAAAAACAACATGTACGTGTAACCTGCAATATTGTAAAATGAAACCTCCTTTACGAGTGGTTAGACCCTCCATATTCCCTGAATATCACTGAGGGCATGGCCTCAGCTGGAGACACATGAAGACGTGACCATGAAAGCAAACAGGCGGGTAGACCTCATTTTCTCCATCACGTTTACATTTGTCGAACAATCTGCTTCACAAAGATCACCAGCAGACAAAGAGACTCACGCAGCGTGTGGGGGGAGTACACGTCTCTGTTCATGTATTCATGTCACTGCACGGCTGATGGCACAAATCACCTGTGAAGCTGCTGCACACTCACAATCCAAATCTGGGTCATTTGTATTCAAGTCTTTATGTGTGTGTTCATCATGTCACGACTGTCTGTATGTATGTGCCCTCACGTCGTACACGTTTGTATGCATGGAGGGCAGACAGCTATATGTGGTATTTTGCTTTGGGAGGAGCCCTGTATGACCACTGACCTATATATTGGCACACTCAGGAGGCGCCCCGTTGCCATGGCGCCAAGAGTCGCAGATGCAGAAAAAGGATGAGGGCTAGCTAGCGAAAGTTCTCATTTTTGACGACAGAGAGAATCTGAGTCACTCGTGTTGAGTTTCAGCCGTGAAAGATTCCTGTGTTGTTGTTCAGAACGGCAGGAAAGTCCCCGTGTGATTTGACAGAGCTGTAAAATACCTCGAATATGGCAGCTTCCCTGACAGCTCCTATGAGATGCCTGGTGGGGTTTTGTCCTATATACGCCAGACTCACACAAAGCTGCTTCGTCTTCTTCTGCTGCTGCTGCCGCTTGCACTAAAGACAGAACTTCCCATCAAATATTCAGCAGTTCACATGGGGGGGAAACACTCAAGCCTTGCCTGCATGGCTGCTGCTGCTGCTGCTGCTGCTGCTGCTGCTACTGGTTTTCAGGAAGAAAGCAGCTTGGACCCAAAAACTCTCCATCACATGATTAAAAGTGCTACATGTGTCACGTATAAACACTGGAACAAATAGGCACGATCACAGATGAAGTGACACACAGAGCAGACGCTGAGCTGTGGCTGCCTGATACTGCTTCATTTTTCCAGCAGATAGTCAGTCTTTGATACTGTGTTACTGTGTGTGTGCGTGTACTATTTCCCCTATGAATAGCAGGGGAGTTGAGCAGCACAAAGGGAGTAATTGTTCTTGTCTGAACACCACCAACAGTCCAACGAGGAGGCTGCTGTGGCTGCTGCACTCAACCAGGCGAAGGCAAAGGAAAGAGGAAAGAGACCACTAATCCATCATCTTCACCAGGTCTCACTGTGACAATGAAGCCCTGACGCACTATTTCACTGCTATGAAAGGACTCATTTTCTTTAAGCACGTCTGACGCATCTCCGGACGCAAAAACGGCAGTTTGAAAAAAGACAGAGAAGTTGTTTAGACTTTTGTAGATAATTGGTCAAGGCCAAGAAGCGTGTAAGTGAGAGACTGCAGATAGAGTGAGTCAGTGTAAACAAGATTACCCAGGGTGGCAAATGTTACACAGAGAGCACAATGGCTGGCCTTGTGTGGCTCTCAATTGGAATTAGATATAATACGGGATTATATTGATTAAGCAGCCTAGGTAAATTAAAATACAATTAATAAGTGAATAACTTTACTTTAAGTACTCCTATTTAGCTTTTATAAGCAGTTTACAAAACATTTAACAACTAGTCTATAATACACTATAATGTAATCTGCAGATTACCTTTTCTTATTTAATCTTTTTGTCCATAAAATGTCAGAAAATTGTGAAAAACGCCTGTTATAATTTCCCTCAGCCCAAGAGATGCGTTCAAGTACCTTGTTATGTTTGAACAAAAGTTGAAAATAAAACAGATATTCAGTTTACTGTCCTATATAACAAAGAAAAGATCCTCACATCTGAGAAGCTTGAACCTGGGACTGAGGTGATTTAAGTTTTGTTAATAAGTGATAATGTAGGGCACTATAAACTCACTGTTAAGTAGGCTATTATTTTAAAAAGTAGTGATTTTGTTTTCCTTTAGCAGGAAGGTGCGGCAAATTGTCTTTTCTCAGACAGGAAATGTCTAAATTTAGAAAACACTGGAGTGATTCAAAGACTTACAGTCTCGCTCTGTAATCTGACTGCCATCAGAAATTCACTCCCCTATAAATAACAGGCTATATTGCACATTTGAATCACAGAGGCCTGTAACAAACACAGCTCTAACAGTATAAAAATGACTGCTGCTCACCGTTACACCACTGGAACGGGTGCATCAATGCACCAGAGGGAGTCCTTGCCGGCGGGATCCGATTCGTGTTTACCAACAAGCCGCAGCCGCCTGTGCAGATGGATGACCGCAGTAAAGTGCCCAAGTCGAGCCGGTGAGCGTGTACCAGTAGTGGGAAAGCTGAGTGAGACAATGGCACCTGTTTGAAAAAAAGGGTCGTAAAAGACGAATAAAAAGGTGAAAAAAAAGCAAAAGTTGAAGCGTGTTTATGTCACATTATCTAGGCGCTCGTTCGTCCCCGCAGACTCAAAAAGGAGAACTGTTGATGTGGATTTCCCCAGCTTCTCCTCGCTGTGGCTGTTGTGACTCTGTTATTATTAATAGACGGCATGTAACCCTGACCCAGCAGCGGCAGTGAACAGCATCTGTGTGAGAGGGGGGAAACTAGAGCAGTGGCTCGGTTTCCCTGCTCCCGCCCCTCCGCAGAGGCTACTGACGTGCAGCGAGAACCAATCCTCAGCCTGCCTGGGTCGGGGTGTGTTTTGACGGCCTGGCGTGTGTTTTCTGCCAGTGATCATCATCACCATCACCATCGGTTACTACTACATATCTGTCTTCAAGGTTTATTCATTAAGGGACAAAATCAGGGGCAAGATTTTAGATTATGAGTCCAAGTCTTCTCTCTCTTGCAGGGTCGCATTTGCCCTCTAAGAGGCCCTGGGGCAAAAATCAGCCATGGGCACCCACTGCCCCACTTTTGTCTTTCTATTCTTTAATCAATTATTCAATCATCAGAAATGTAATCAGCCACTATTCTGATGACTGACTATTTAATTGTCGTTAATGAACATGACTTGACATGTTTTTGTGCTCTGTAAAACATCATACAGGAGTTCAGTGGAAATCAGCTCATGTTTCTCATTAACTTGATGTAACTAGTTGACAGTTCACTCAACAAGATTTTTAGATTTTGAGATTGTATTTATTCACTTAACTGCTCAATTACAGTTTATTTCCCTAAGTGAAAGTCTACATGCCGTGTCAAAGTTGTCTCCACATTGCTAGGGGTAAAACTCTGGCGGGAAAGCAATAAATGAATGAATCCTTTATTTGAGATTGAAGGTTCATTCTTGAGAGGACATTGTGGTCTCAAATTTTAAGCCAGTGTGGACGAGAAGTCCTTAAAGTGTTCAGAAAAATGGAAATTTGATGATTCCATGACAACTGGAGAAACTCAATCTGCTGAGAAAGATGGTGAGAGAGACTGCTTTGTCAAATCCTTTATTTCTTTAATGGCCTAAAAGTAGTCAAATTTATATAAAGTGTGTATAAGAGAGTAAAAAAAAAACCCACTGGTGCAGAAACTTCTCCTCAGTGTAATAAAAATGAAGTCTGAGTCAGCACACACATGGCTGAAATCAAACTTTGGGTTTAAGGCCTAACTGTGATTAGAACCAGCAGACTTTCTGTGTGCAGTTCTGGGCTCAAATGTTGTGTTGCACAATAAACTGTATGAAAAGCGTTGTTTTGTACATGCGCAGGGTGACACACAAAGTCAGCCACTGGAGGATCTCAGAAGAAATAGAGCTGCTCATATCCTGTGAAGTTTCCAGCATAGATAGGCGTGTAGTTGTAAATGAGTGAAGAGGCCTCTTCCTCAGGATTGTCAAACTGATGTAAACTTCTCCTTCCTAAACAAAGCAGAAGTGAGATGTATGTGATTAGAACAAAACAGAATAGATCTCCATTTGGAAATTTGGGTGACTGGGCTTTACTGTAGAGGAAGTGGCCAAATAAAAATCCTTGGGTCTTTGGATGTTTAATCTCAATGGGGTGGGCTATATAAATAAAATCCTCTATCATGGTATATGAAATGTTATATTGCAATATCAATATGTGTTGTACATAGATACTCTGAAAAATCAGTAGAGAAACTGTTTACAGATACAATAACCATACATTTATGTTGTCTTTCTTATAAATGCCGTACAAATCAAGGCACTGTATCACACTGATGTAACAGATTATATAAAAATAATTTATTTCCATTGACTGAATGTAATATTGCCCAACAGAGATTCATATTAAAAGGGTTGCTCTCTTGGCATACATGGCCCAGCAAAATCTCTGATGACATTAATATACATATATAGTCGTACATTAGGGCTGTCGGGATCTACCGCTATTGACGATAACCGTGTTATTTAACAAATTAACACTGTGCACACTATACATATATATATATCGTGACAGCCCTACTGTATATATATTGTCAGCCTGTAACGATACAGTTTATACACCTGTTCTTTCTCTTTTTATTGGCACAATCTGTATAGAGTAACCCATGTGCCGTTGGACTGACAAATGATGCTTTTCTAATCAAATTTTATTTTTCTTTGCACAGGCAAGGACCTGATGGCATGCTGGGCCCCTGGATATGCGCCCAGTCAACCCTAACACGATATGTTGTTTTAGGTTAAGTTAAATATGTATGAGTTTTTACATCGGTCAGCACCTGTCAGAGTTCATTTACTATAACATGTTTACGGTTATAGTAAAATATTGTATATTTTCAACACTTGTCAGTGCTAGGCTTGGTCAGCATGGATAAAATGTAATATAAATATAGATTGCATTATTCTAAACTAAATGGAAATTGAATTGAGTACATCTTTATATATAAAATAAACAGGTGTGAATGTCTATTTGTGGCTATTCAAGTGGATTAAAAATCTGAAAAGCAAAAATCAAGGTACCTCCTCACACTGATGCAAAACTTTGAGCACAATGGTCTGATACAACCAGAGATATAATGGGGAAAGCAGCCAATTTATATTGTCTCACAGTGTATATCATCATATCCCGCAACCTTAGTTAACACCTAATGATACGGATTATTATTGATAATCTGTGTTTGTCATCGTACCTTCATTGACAAAAAACTCAGCCAGGAGAGACGACAACTGAATAGCGTGAGGGGAGTGAGGAAAGTTCATCCTTTTGTCCCACTGAAAACGATTCACCTCCGGGTGCCACTGTACCCCATAGAAGGGATATTTCTTACCTGGCAAGAAGGAAGAAACAAAAACAACATGCATATTGCTGTTATTACAAATCTGTTACAGAGCAATGATTAAGTTTGTCAAATGAAAATAAAAATAATCTTGTAACCTTCTATGGTTGAGACAAAGTGGGCTCCGTTTTCAGCAACGTTTGTAGACAAGACGGAGAAGAAATTCTGCAGCTTCTCATTTTCCTGGAAGGTCTGTAAGAACATTTGTCTTATTACACTTGACTGTTATTCATGTATTACCTTTCAATATTATTTTAATACTCAATATAATATATAATGTTCTAGATCTCCAAGATTATTTATCCATAAAAAGCATCTGTTCTTGTGCTTTCTTTTAAAGCTCTGACATTTTGTTCTTCCTCTGTGTGGGATCTTATCTATCTTATCTTAAGCACAAGGACAGATTAGTTTGCTAGGGAGCCCCGGGACAAGAATACCCATCCCACTTCTCTATCTTTCTGTGTTCAGTTTTTCCTGTGCTAGAATACGGAATGGCCCCGGGTTTGCTGTGGGATGATTTGATTAAACACAAATTCATTTAGGAATTTGCATCATATAAGTTTGATATCAGCTAAAACTTAAAGGACCTATTTAATCAAATTACCATAATCCAATTGCCACACTGTGAACCTGGGTTTTTGGGACCCTAGGGGGGTAACTCAGCCTTGATTAGCCATATAGTTTGCAGTGATGCTGAATGAATACTGTATCTGCAGATTGCTCATGTATACATTTATATCTGTACTGTCAACAGAGGCAAAAGTTTTGCCCTGGGTAACCCCAGAAAACACATTTCACATGCTTAAACCATACTGAGTGTCTCTGATTTCATTTCTCAGCACAAAAACAAGGCAAAACCCAAACAAGGGAAGTTAAACACACTGTACAGTGACACCAGAGGGATTTACTCTACCTCTACTATAACTCCATAGTGGTGAAAATTGCCAGTCAGAGGTTCTTGGGTCAAAGTCTTCATCAGCTCGTCTGGAAAACCCTGGAACATCCTGCTGGAGTGGGCCTCTGCAGGGGAATAGGGAGGGGTATTGAAGAGAGACAGTAGACTTTATATACAGTATATTAAAAACAACCTATCTTAAAAGATAGGGTTTCATCAAGCAGTGACTACATGGCAAGATACATATACATAAACGATTTGGTGATAGTAGCAGAGACTGACTTTACGGCCAAAAACTCTGATTAGTAACTTGACTCTACTGACACTAAGTGGTGTAATCCAGTACATGCAGCTTACCAGAAAATTTAATAGTTTACCTTGAATCTATATTTCCTTAAGTCAAAATGTAAATCAAGGCTGTACGTTAATTTTTTAAAAAAGACACACATTACGACATCAACCATAATGCAGGAAGCTATAACCTCTGGTTAGGTTGAGGGGCATCGCTATGTTCTCAGCTGTGGTGTTTGCCAGCAGATTTTCACCGGCCACCAGGACAGTCAGTAGCTGCATCCCCATGCATGTACCCCAGATAGGGAAGAAGTCCCCCACATTGTTAGCCTGGAACACACAAAGAGACAAAGAAATTTTACTTTGCATGTCTGAAACAATAAAGCAACTCTGCTTAATAATGTTCTGTTAAATGGTGGTAACAACATTATTTGACAGGACCATGATTTCCTGATAATTTCCTCAGAAATTTCTTTGAAAGAACTGTGTAATTTGGTACTAATTACTGGGCAAATAGAGACAAGGTTCTGTTATTTCAGTTTGAGTTAGTTGTATTGAGTTTATAAGCAATAATTGACTTCCAGAGGCATTTCCTTGAAAGACCATTTCCATTTCAGTCCTCAGTGCAAAGACAGATTCCTTCCAGGGTAATAAATTACTGATGGATTAATGATATTAAAAAGTATTTTAATGTGGAAGCTGGTTAAACTATTCCACATACTGTCAGTTGGTTTGAACCTTCGTATGGTTTATGTTTAAGATTACTGTGTATTTTCTCAGCAAAAATTTAAGAATGCAAAGTGAGTACAATGGTAGCAATCATTTAAATGTAGTGGAGTAAAAAGTTAAACTATTCACTCTGAATTGCTGTGAGGTTAAAAAAAATTGTCTTAAAAAAATGAAAACACTCAAGGTTGGTCCAATAACAGTCCCTAAAAATTGTACTTAGGCACAAACCTGAGTAAATTCATTCTGGTTTCTTTCCATTTAAATGAAAAGACAGATAATAATAACAAATTATTTTAAAAGGTACACAGATATTAAGACAAGGCAGAACAAACCGTCAGAGCAAGTCTATAAAAGATCTTCGCCACCCTGGCATAGTCTGATGTCTCCAAATCTGCAGCTCCACCGATGAAGAGCAGGCTAAAGAGACATCACACAGTTAGAGCAGTGAAGCGAGGAACAAATGCAGTTTGTATTTATGTAAGATATACATGTGATTTCCCCCTGAAACCGAAACTTCTCACACATTTATCGCATTTATGTACTGTGGCTCACCCATTTATCTTCTTGAAGATATTTTCATATTCAGCAGTAGTAAGAGTCAACCTGCAAATAAAAAAAACAAAAAAATTCTCCCTAACTGTAATATTTGGTATTGTTTTGACAGCACAAAAGTCAACATGAAAGAAAACTAGGTGAGAGAAAATCAACTTCTTCTTCCTAAACAGCAGTGTTCAACAGTGATGATCAAGAATTACTAAGAATGAAGAATAAACAACATCTAAGTAATGTGATTTGTGGCTTCATGCAGACATGCTTCCTCCTTAAATATACTAATAGTCTAATATTGCTATCTGAAGTATCCCTGTGTACATTCTTATCATGCATATTTAAAATGTGCCTGCAGACTGAAAATAAGCTCCATTCACATTAAAGGTAACATCTCCAATGTTGTAAACACCACAACAGGATAGAAGACTCAGCCCACCTGATAGGCATCACTCTGCTGCCCCCAGACTCAATGTATTTCACATAGGAGGCAGGTATGTAGGTCCTCCCGAATGGTTTCATGTCATCATCTGAAACTAGTTGAGTCAAAATCCCTGTAGGACAAAAACACGGCAGCTGTGAGTAAACAGAAATTTCAACAGTGATATAACTACAAAGAAAGTGTCATTTGGTCTATATTTTTTATGTTTGAATCACCTAAACTTCTTTTCATCTGCAGCAACATTCAGTGCTGATACCACATTTCACTTACCGATCACAGGTCTTTCATTCACAGCCTCCTGGTTGAGTGCAGTCGGCATAGCTCTGCTGCAACAGACAAAAAATAAACACACAAATGCCGAAAATGCCACGTTCGACATGTTTTCACCTCCGATCAGTCAAGGCTTAATTCAGCAAATGGGTCCTATGAGGCTGTTAGAGAGCAGTGATTATGAAAGAACCTGCAGCAGACTTATATATGCTATGGTAGAAGAGGATATAGTCAGTACAGGGAAGTAAGGAATGTCCAGATTTACATGTGATCACTCCTGCACTGCACATACCGGTCAGGCAAGTTGACTGCTGAGGTAAACATAAATATGTTGCTGACAGCACGGACTTTTTGGTGAAATTTTGATCATTAATGTGCAGGAAACACAGCAGCAGTTTTTGGGTTTTGCAATAAAAGCAAAACATATTGCATAAAAGCATTTAACTCTCAGGTCACATGGCAGACTTGGCTTGAAACTGCTATCAAATAAGTTTAAGTGAAAAAATGAAAGTAGAGTTTTTTGTATTTCAAAGGTAGGAAGCTTCCTGTAGAGGTGTGCACAGACTCTAAGAGTGCTCCTGTTCTGTCTGTTCTCCTGACTCCCATACCATTGGGGGTTATCACTCCGAGAATTTCTATCCTTAAATAAATGAATACAAAATTTACACCTTCTCCCAATAATGCTGACATTTTTGGGAATCTGTTCATTTTTGGATAGCATCATGTGTGTGCCCATATAAGGAAGCAAAATCATATCTAACTGATGCAGTACCTTTCTAAAAAAGTACTGAAAGCAATGCAATTACTGTAACAGATAACAGACACTTAAGTTCCTGCTTAGATTGGGTAACAGGAGTTAAATGTCTTATAACAACTGAGCAAACTTCATCCACTGACTAAGACTGTGGGATGTGGTTAAAAGTTAAAAGTGGACCTTGAGTTAATTATATAAATATAACTAATAAACTTGATTATTTTGTTAAGGAGTCGTATGGAGAGGGTACAGTTACTCATTCATTCATTCATTGCTTAATTCAAGATTAATGTCAACAGCAAATGAGTCAAAATTAGCTAATGGTCCAATTAGCTAGAATAAGCACTCCAAATAAAATAACTTGATAATATGATCATGATTATTGGAAGCCACAAACACCAGTCTGTCTGTCCCAGGTTGATGTTGTGGTCTCCAGTATATTTGGTAGTAAAATGCTGCTGTCTGCTCTGGTTCTGTTTCCAAGTTAAGTCAAGATTCATTAGTGGAATAACTTGCAGTGGTGAAAAGTAAAAAAAAGTACATGTATTCAAGTAATGTTCTTAAGTGCAATTTTCAGGTACTTGTACTTTAATTGAGTATTTTAATTTAATGCTACTTTATATTTCACTACACATCAGAGGGAAATATTGTACTCAACTACATTTATTTTCAAACTTTAGTCACGAGTTACTTTACATTCTGCAGAGTGAGTTTGTTGCTTTAAGTATATTTGGATGCTAATACTACTTGTAACAGAGTATTTCTACACTGTGGTACTGGTACTTTTACTTACGTAAATGACTACTTCTGAGTACCTCTTCCGCCACTGATTCCTTGAATCAGCATCAACGTGCATTAAGTCAGTGGTGGTCACTGTCCAGTCGCTGTAGTGATTGTGTAACATTTGAGCCCTTCATCTTTCTATTCTTTTTTTCAGACTGAGTCCTTTATTTGTTGAATGCATTCATTGCAAGCTTTTGCACCAGGGCTTCTTCATTTACAGCCTCTCGGGGGCCCACATTAATTGCATGTCAGTTGGGTTTGGCAATCTGATGATTATGAACAGGTTCTGCATTATTACTAATCTTATGGTCCTGTTTTGTGAAGGGAAATTAGTTTTAACACCTTTTTATTTGGTATATACACATTTTTATATTGTACATATTCCAAAATAAAGCTTTGTTTAATAAAATTATCACAAACCTCTCATTTGCTAACAATCGGACATAGATAGAGCGTTGTATTCAGATCACAGAGAACTTGAGTTGGTCACTAGTCTGTCACTTTCAGGCACCAGGTGGAGACAAATTTGCATCATTGATGCGTAGATATCAGTCAACACTTCTGTCATGTTATTGTAGACCAGCAACTGCTTTAATGGAAGTCTTTGACAAATCACGTAAAGCGAAAAATTACGCTCACCAAACCACAGCAGCAACAATGATCATTGTTTAATATTTGTATTATTCAAGTATTAGTGAGGACGTCTGTAGCAATTATGCAAATTGTATGTATTTGGTTATGTATATGTATTAATAGTTAGAAAAATACTTTTGGATCGAAATCCCCAGTATATTATAAAAAAAGACAATGCACTTAGAGATGAAACATCATGAAATGTAACGTTTGTCCACTGTATGTCCTGTATCCAGCACCAAATTCATAAAGTCACAAAAACTATCTAGGTTTCCCAGAGTGTATCCTAACTTTATAATACTGATCATTAACAGCAAAGACATTGGGTTTACATTGATTCTGGCAGCCTCTATCCTCTTTAACTAGACAACTTCATATGCTATCATTAGTTAATTCTCATCCACTGATTTCTTTTTACATATGAACTTTTGTAGATATTACATAGACACTAGCATATTTACAAAAGTCCAAAGAACCACCTTTTTGGTTCTTTAGCCCAAAAGAGGAACTTTTCTGACATCTACAGCAGCAGCAGTCTCCATCTTCAAAAGGTAAACAAATCAGAGTCCAACTATTTCAGTCTTTCTCTGCAAAAAAATCAAATTAGTAATTAGTGATTTTTTTTCTTTTAAATAGTGCACATAACACATTATGTTAAGTCAACTAATAAATAGTCTTGAAAACTTAGTCCAAGGGCCTGTTTCTTCATTATCACATTAATATTCATACCTTAAAGTTCAAAACATTCAAAGAAAACACATATTTGGTAGAAATTAGTTTGATTTGTCTTCTGACTTGAATGAAATGCTCTACACTGTTTGCAGATGGCTTCATTTCACATCTGAAAGATGTATGTATTCAGGGTTTCAGGGTATTGTCTCAAAGGAAACCATAATTATCTGTTCAAGCTACAGGAAAACTACTGTATATCACAGGTAAATACTACATAATAAATCTAGCAGGTTTTACATATGTAGTATGTTCAAACTGCAAAAGCTTACCAACAAAATGTCAGTGTGCTTATTAAAAAAACAGATTTGTGAGAGTTCTGTCGATGTTCACTATATTGTCCAGTAATGCAATGAGCAAGGGAAAGTGAAGCACTACTTACTCAGCTGCAAAAGACTGAAATAATTTGTCAATGGCTGTGAGACAGCGCCAGAAAAAAATACTTAGTCCCAGGCATATTCCAGCCTTACTGCAACTTACCCCTGAGTCTTTCCATTTCCTGAAAAACATCCTCACACACAGTAGCCAGCAGTTCTTCTTTTGGCTTCAGTCCATCCAGAAATACTAAAAATAAAAAGAGACACAAAAAATATAAATGTCATTTACTCTATTATTTAATATTAGTGCAACTGCTACAGTGATAACAGTTTCCTTGTGTATCATTTTTCAGGTCTCAACCACATAAATACCTGGATTGCTCTAATGATCACAGTTCTAATCCCATCAACACATACTGAACACATGGCGTCTTTGACTGGACACTCACCAATTCCAGACACCATGCTCTCCATCTCCTGGCGGTTTTTTAGGTACATTGGCCACACATATCCATCAAAGTAGCCAGGAGGATCAGGAGGCGTGTACACCCTCAAACTGTCAATGAACGCAACAAAAGTCAAAACATGAAGAGGAAAACTTCTGCTCTTACTTTTTGTTTATCACAGCTCAATGGAAACAAAATTCATTCAAATTTCAAAAAGGTACAGAAAACATAGTATACAAACAAGAGTTGCTTTTTTTTATTATAAAATCTGACACCTTCGTCTCCTTTTGCAGACATCATAAGGTATTTCCAGGAAGTATCTTTTGTCAAATAGCTGATTCAGAGGCCTGGAAAGGTCCAACACACAAAAAACACATCAGAGCATTACAGTTACAGGAATACTATATTAATTTTATTAAGATATAAGTTTTCATATCATTAAATAAATCCCGGGGAACAGTTAGGCCTCATGGTCAGAAATAAAGCACAACTTTCCCAAAACAATTTAAGTGGAAATCTTTACCTAAGGAAAATAATTAAGACTACATACACATAATAATTACATATTGTAACAATTGTGTCTGTTATCAGTTTTACTACCAATAACTTATCATAATATAGTTTTTGGCTAGCGCATGTATAATTTTTCAGGGACGCTTTATTTTAGCAGTACTTTACCTGTAGTTGAAAATGAGGAATCCTTCCACTATCAGCACAAACACCTCTGTATCGACTGTTGGTGTTATGAGCTCTGGGTTCAGGCCTCGCTGCCTCAGGAACGACTCAGGATCTCTTCGCCACGAGTCAACCTCGCTCATCATTGTGTCCATGTGCAGAGCATCGAGCACTTAAACAGAATGTAGTGACACTACATGGATGAGCTCAGAGACATTTACATGCTCTCATTCATTAATTAGATTTTTCATCTGGTAATTAAAAGTCAAATCTGAAGAGATCAAACAACTTCAGAAGATGTGTGTTGTGGCCAGACTTGCCATAATGCCTCTAATTTTCTCTCTTTCCATCTTGGCCTAAAAGTAGTGCATTTTAAATATATAGTGGAAATAGCCATTTGCACATTTTTTCAACCTCCAGTTTTCAGAGAAAGCAACATCAGTGTCCTGAACAGTAGTAGTTACACCCCTGCATCAATCCACCCATCCATCCATCCATATAGACGCCCACCATTTTCAGCTAGATGTATGAACCGAAAATGATATGACATGATGTGATCCAATTGTCTGCACTTTTTAAACAGTGTTGCTGTATTTAGTGAGGATTTGTTTTTCCGTAACTGAGTCTAATGGTTATAAAAGGTATGGGGCAGAATGACATGAATGATTCAAGACTAACTTACTTCCAACTGATGTATTTTAACAAAGATGTTTACTCGTGATCTCATCAGCCTGAATCCTGTCCATACTTTTGTGACCTCAAGTTGAAGAACAAACAATCAAATAAAGTGTTCTTACTGTCATACTGCTTAAACCCATTGCTGTCCACAGGTACCACAGAGTCATCCTGAAGAAAAAAAGAATCCACTGTGATCACTCAAGCTCTCAAATTTCCAGCACGTCTAAAAGCAGTTATACGATTTAAGGAACAGTCTACCTTAAAATATGAATCCTGCGCAATGATGCAGCTGTTGGGTATCTGCTGGTGTAGACTCTTGGAAAGAGTAGATTTTCCTCCATTGGTCATCCTGAAAGAAAAACAATACATGTCACCTGCTGTGGTTATACATTTTAAATATCATTGAAATAGTTACGCTATGGAACATGTTCATACAGTGTCAATTCACATTAGACATGGCCTTACCTAAAGGTACATCATCTATTGTATTCCAGTAAAGTTTGAGTTTCTAGGACGTGTCCTAATGTGGATATTATATGTGATTGGTGCAGAGCGTGGCCCACCTCTCTCACCCAGATGTTTTCACATTGTTCTAAGCTTTCTTGTTTTTGGTGGCTCTATCTTCAAAACTCAGAGCCGGATGACTTTGGACAGCCGATACACCTGGATCCCTCAAACTGGAGGAGCTCAGGTATGTGCCTCATGGATTTCATTTTTCTACACACCTGTCTGTGGGGTTTGTATTACCCAACACTTAATTTGAGATTAACGTGCCACTTCTACTGAGTGTTCTGCATTTACAAATTATATCACTATTTTCTTTAAAACATCCTAAGTAACACTTTATCTCTCTTGATCTGAACAATGTGATTTTTCTCTCTGACTCTCAGGACTCTGTTAGTGACTTTATCTCTAAAGAGTAACCAGCTCTTATCAGTCTGCCACATGGTTGTCACATGCTGCATGCTGTATTGATCTGATGGTGTCCCTGTTGACCCACATGGCATGTAGTTTGCCAGTATTAACATGTAATTTAATAATATTATGGCTAATGCATTTTTCTAGTGCCTTTCTGTGTCCTGTATTCTTGTCTCTCTGCATTTCTCACATACACAATAAACAACAAAGAAGCATTTACGAAACTCAAACTGGTTGCATAAAAGGTTAAATTTAAAGTAATTCTAAATTAACTGATGATCTACCTTGTGGAGTAAAACACATAAGCATGCAAAATTGTAATGGAGGTCCAACAGGTTATCTAGAGACAGAGTGACCCAAGGAGAACAATAGAAGGCATGTTTGGAAGGGAGCTGTTGTGCCGTAATAAGCACCCATGTGTAAAAAGCATCCCCTTAAAGTTAGGGTTAGGCATGAAGAGTCATGAGAGGACAATATAGCAACACATTAATGTTTACAATCCTCCCGACTTACTTACCCACCTACTCCTACAACTAGTGTCTTCATTTCAGCTTGTTGCGCTGCTCACAGCAGGGATTCAGATATATAAAACGTGCAATACCAAATTAATTAAGTTTATGAGCAGACTTTATAGCACAGAGGAACGTTGGTAGCTTGTCCTGCAACTTCTATGGTCATTACCCCCTCTGTCTTTTCCGCTGTTGGACGCTTGTGATTCGCTGACGGAGTTGTACGTCACTCACGACCTGCCCATTGATAAAAAGAAGACAAACACCAGAATGTGATATAAACTAAATACAGTGTTAAATCAAAGTTTTGTTGTCGTATTAAAAACAAAGTAAAATAGTAACTAATAATAGTAATGTAATTGAATCCGCAATTATTAATAAAGGGTTAAAAAAAAGGAAAATTTAAAATTTAAAAAAGGAAAAATAAAAAAGGAAAATAAAATTAAAGGGAAATGAAAATAGATAATAGATAGATAGATAGATAGATAGATAGATAGATAGATAGATAGATAGATAGATAGATAGATAGATAGATAGATAGAATGGCCGGTACAGGTTAGACATTGCGCATGCGCAGATTAACTTTTCCCCGCCTATCTCAACTTCCTCATTGGCAGTTTACCGCAGTCCAGCGTCGTTTCTGTGTGAAATAACATATAGCGCGTTTGGTTTTGTTTTAGCTCCAGTTTATCGCAAATGTCGAAGCCTCCTCCCAAGCCGGCCAAGCCAGGTAAGACTCGCGTTATGAAGACTGTTGTTTAAATTTAGCCCAAACTTGTGCTCTGTGTGTTACGAGGACAACACACCTTGTCTGCGATGGAAGCTTCGTGGGCGGGCGGTGAGCACTTCAGTGAACGCTGATTTCTGTCGTTTATTTGGGAAACTTTTTATCACCCAGTGGAAAGAAAACCCACAAACTCCGATTAATAACAGTTTCCATTATTACTGACTGGACCAGGACTACAGTGGAGTTATTAAAAGTGCCTTCACTGTTGATTGACAGGGGATCCAGCTCTCAGCAGCAGGCCTTTGTGACTTCCCTATTTGCTTCACTCATGCACGGAGAGACCTGTAATTCAGTGACTTTCAGTGGCTTTAGTTCATAGGTTAAGAGGTTATGATGAGTCTGCATGGTCAATGACATCAGCCACAATTTCCTGCAAACTCAGAATTCTGTGCTGCTATTCTGGTAACCCCTCCCATGAAATTAGGAAATGTGCCAATTGCTCACCAAAAATGATCAGATGAATGCTCTGGCCATGTCGCTTTTTTGTGCTTGTCGTGCTTTTTCAGATTTTTAATAGGTATAATTTGTATTCAACAAATTAAAACTTCTCTACCTTCCAACTGAATGTGATGTCTTCAAATGACTTACCACCTGTCGTCAAAAAAGAAGAAAAAGAAAAAGGTTCAAAAAATAAACCATCTAACCCTAGCCGTTAAAGCTGTTTGCACATGATGTCAAATTGTACAGGATCAATAGAAGTGTCTATAAGAAAAAACAAACATGTGCTTTGAAATCAGGCAGGCACATTTCAGTGCACATCTGTAAAATATGTTTTGCCTCCTTGCTGTGACAACACTGAACACAAAGCTGGAAAGATGGACCTGTTATTATCATTCATACTCTTCATGGTTATTCATGAGTCACCTTCACAACACCTCACTTGGTCGTGACAGCAGCTGAGCTCGTCTGTCTTGACAGATGGCTGGTTCACCTGTTGTAGGAGAGCTGTCAGTTTTATTTGGCAGAGTCAGTGCCTCACATGGTCGTGACTGAACTTCATCTATGCGGTAATTCACATGGCGACACAAAATTACGAGAGGAGGGCACAGAACATCCCAGAATGCAGGTGCAAGTTACCTGAATGTCTGAGGATTCACAACCTACAGTGGCATGCAAATGTTTTGGGTACATCTGGTCTAAATTTCTGTTACTGTGAATAGATTAGATAGAATAGAAAGTCAGTAGGAGATGAACTGATCTGCAAGGGGTTAAAGATGAAACAATTTTAGAATGAAAAAAGGGAAAAGAACACTGTGCAAAAGTTTGGACACCCCAAGAGATTTTAGCTCTGAGACACTGTTCTCACATACAGACTCTGCACTGTTCTACTGTGCAGTGACACCTGCACAAATGTGACGTTCATTGAATAGTCATCGGGGGGAGACAACCTTTCCTGTGTCCTCACCACAAAATTCAGCGTCAGAAATTTGCATAGAAACATCTAGCAAAGCAAACATCACACGATCTGTAAAAACACTGAGTATTAAAAGAGGATCACCTCTACAGCAGGATAATGATCCTTAACACACCTCAAAATCAACAATGGACTACCTCAAGAGGTTCAAGCTAAAGGTTTTACCATGGTCCTCACAGTCCCCCTGACCTAAACATCATCAAAGGTCTGTGGATAGACCTCAAAATAGCGGTGCATGCAAGACAGCCCAATAATCTCACTGAACTAAAAACCTTTTTAGGAAGGAAGGAAGGACGAATGGGGAAAAGGTTCCCCAAACGAAGAAGTGAAAGACTCTTAGCTGGCTACAAAAAGCATTTTCAGATATGATCGTTGCCATGGGTGTGTTACTACTGATCATGCAGGGTGCCCACACTTCTGCTTCAGGCCTTTTCCCACTTTTTGTAATTTTGAAACTGTAAAACATGGAAATAATAATAACAACAAAAAAAAATCTTTCTTAAAGTATTAGAGAAATGTCTCATCTTTAACTTCGTGCATTTCAGAACATACACATTTCAGGTCACCTTTTACTCACTTAGCTGTTCACAGTAACAGAAATTTTGACCAGGGGTGCCCGAACTTTTGCATACCACTCTACATGACTTTTACTGCATCGTGAGCAGCTTACAGTGGATACATTTATGCTGCTTGCATTGGTTCTGAGATCGAAGTGCAATTACTGTTCAAGCCTCCATGTTGGATGATTTTGGTCCTTCTAAAGTAATTTTGAATCAATCTGTCCTGGACTGCTGGTCTGTAAGTGTCCCTCTTCTCAAAAATAAGATCAGATTTAGAGCTGTAACGATCTGTCAATTAATCGATTGGTCAAATGGCAGAAAAATAATCGGCAGCTATTCTGATAATAGCTGATCATTTCTGTCATTTTCCTTCTGTCCTTTCTGTCATTTTCTGAAATTGCTTTTGCAATACAATGACACAGATGTAAAAATCACCCAAAACCCACAAGCATATAAAATCTACTGACAATGTTTTGCTCGCGCTAAGAGTCGATTTTTTTTATTTTTTTTTAGCCAGAGTAAATCCTTGTGTGTGCCTGGGGCTTTAAAATGCAGAGGGAATCTGAGCTAGTCAGCACAGGCTTTTGTGTGTTTTAAGCGACATGACCGGGCCTGCAGAGGAGACATGCTTGCTGTGTTGAACAGAGCTGGGCTTGTGCAGTGACTCAAGCTCTCTCATTCTGAGACACTGAGACAGTGTGTTAGCTAAATAGGAATTCTGAGAAACTGAAGAGGGGTGTTACAGCCGTCCAACATTTAGGCCTGTTAGCTAAAGCAATCAGCACACATAAGACACTCGTCTGGGATCAGACATATTCAGCATATTACAGTAAATGCATCAGTGTCAGTCTTGACCGAAGCTTGTCATGATTCATCAATGCCTTCATTACAGCTTGTGAGGATTATACATTTTTGTGTTTATGTAATAGGTGCAACACAGATAAACATTTTTGCGTAAGAAGTAATGCAACAGACGTAATAGTAATAATAATCTTTATTTACGTAGCATTTTCTTAAAGTGACAAGGCGCTACACATAAAATATTCACCTAATAGGCTTTTCTTTTTATAGTGTAATGTATGTTTCTGCATATAGCTGCAGCAGCTTTTGTAGCCTTCCCTGATTTAGCGATTTTAATTGAATAAAATAAAACAAATTCTATAGAGACTTTATGCATGTGTATTTAATGTTTGTATTTTTTAAAGCATATTATTTACATATCCAATAAGGGCATGTTCAACCAGATAAATCTTTGAAAGGGAAGTCAGTAGAGTGAAGCACTGCATGATGTTTACCCACAAATGAGATGCAAATCAGAAAAATGACATTACTAGCGTTAAATTAAATTTGCTAATATAATACGTTTGTGCATGTCGCTGTTTCTTTAAGCTTTTTCGTGGGTCTCTGTGACCTAGTTGGGCTGTCAGCTAAGGCTGCAACCACTCTGGTAGCATTCCAGCAGCAGAGCCAATGCCAGGCTCGACTCTGAAGCATCACAGGCCCTGAAGGCAGCAACCTCAGGGCAGCACACACAAGGACCAGCTCTGTGTTTTTGTCCCTGCTCTTGCGTGTGTATATGTAGTTGCCTGTAGAAGAGTTGTTACATGTAGCATGCAGTTACATGTAGCATGCAGTTAGCTCTTGAGTGTGTCTGAGAGGAGTTTACCACATTAAAGCTACAGTCTTCACTCACATGGCTGTGTCTATTCTCAAGTACAATGTATCCTCTTCACCTTTCTTATGCAAGCAGTGAATGAAGTTAACTTGCTACAAGACATCTATAACTTGTCAAGAAATATTTCACCGTACAATCTGTGTTTTGTTTTTCTCTTTACAAGGCCAAGTCAAGGTGTTCAGAGCTTTGTTCACCTTTGACCCCAGAACGGTAAGAGCTTTCTGTTTAAGATGGATGGTTTTTCTAGTATTTGATAAGTGTTGAAGACTATTTGTTTCCTTTTAGGTAAATTGCTTAGTTTATTTATATACAGACATATATATCTACGTGTGTGTGTGTGTGTGTGTGTGTGTGTGTGTGTGTGTGTGTGTGTGTGTGTGTGTGTTTTAAATTGTTTAACTACTCTGGTTTGCTGTCAAAATATCTACATAATGACTGCTAGAGCTACAGTCTCCAAGCTCAACAGTGACGTAGAGTAAATTAGTCACATATTTTAGTGCTGCCCTCCAGTGATGCTGTTCTAAACAAACAACAACAAAAAAAAAAATACACAATTAAAAGGCAGAATTGGACATGCACACTGTACGTAGGAGTGATTTAATATGTGTAAAGCCAGTGGTCCAGAGCATGATCATCCTCCTTGGAACAATATTTTCAACACAAGCATGGAGAATGACTTACAAATTGAATGAGTCAAACTTGTCAAACCATCACTGTACAGTGGAAATGTTAATTGCAAAAAAACAAGGTCAAGTATAAAACATACAAAGGGATGAGATATTCAATTTACTATCATATATAAAAAAAAAAAATACAAGTCATGACATTTGAGAAGCTAGAGCCAGTGAATGTTTGTGATGACTGAAATTAGTAAGCGATTCATTTGCTGTTGTTTCAGCTCTAGATAAAATCACTTATATTGCAGATGTAAATAAAAATGACTCATCCAACAAACCTTATCACTAATTCCTTTTCTATATCCTTGGAAGTGACAAAAAATTGTAGTTTGGGTTTTTCCTTTCACCCTTATTCCAATTTCCTGTTGTTCTTACCACAGAGTGCGGGTGCAGTGTGTCAGGTTTTTTTTATATAAATGGAAATAAACTTAAATGCGGCACCTACATCCTCAATCAACAATTTTGTGTTAAACCACATTAAAATCTAGCAGTTATGATGGTTTCAGTTGGTGGAGGAAAAAAGGGGAAGATGTGGGGGAGGACAAAGCAGGTGAAATGTAGCACAAAAAACAGTCTTGCGGTCAGAATAATGTGAATGTGTTAAACTTCCTGATCATTAACATTGTCTTATTTTTTTTATTTTTTCAGCCAGACGAGCTGTACTTTGAAGAAGGAGACATCTTGTACATCTCTGACACAGTAAGTAAAACCTCAGAGACTTAGCTTCCGTCTTCCTCACCAAGTCCACACGTCCCATTCAGTTTGAATCTAAATTTGTACTTCTTCCTCTTTCTGTTGAATTCTTTGCATTTCACGTCTCTTTTTTACTGGATTTTATTTTTCCATCGTCCACCTCAAGCCATTTCTCCCTTTCATTTCTCTCTCACTTCATTTCACTCTTTTCTTTGCATTTGTTTTTGGCTCTGTTCTCATTCTGCTTTGTCCTCTTTGTCTCTACTCATTTGCATCGTGATTTTCTTTGACTGAAAAAAACTAAAGATTTCTGCGTTGCTCTTATTCTCAGAGTGACACTAATTGGTGGAAGGGGACATGCAGAGGGAGGACAGGACTAATTCCAAGTAACTATGGTGAGTAGAAAACATAGACAGACCAAGTTTGAATTTCATTAGCTGTATGTGGTTACCAAAACATTACTTAATATAGTCTTTTGTCTCCTATAATTCTCCTTTATCAGTGAATTTTAGATAATGCACTAATGTTCTTGTTTTGTGTTTTTTAGTGGCTGAGCAGGCAGAGTCTATTGACAATCCAATGCACGAAGCAGCCAAACGAGGTGAAGCAACTGGCTATATATTCAAATATATCCTTGTGTTCCTTTATCTATTTATTTAAGCATCTTTTGTCACAACTGTTCTTCTATTTAACAATTCCTTCAATCCCTGACAAAAGCAACCGTGACCTAGATAACTTCCTCTTGCTGTTACACTGTTTGCATTATTAGTACCCTTCTCCATTCGACTCTGTGTGTGCTTTGTGTGTGTATATACGCATATTTGTGTGTTTAAACAGGGAATTTGAGCTGGCTGAGGGAATGTGTGGAGAACAAGGTTGGAATTAATGGGCTGGATAAGGCAGGAAACACTGCCCTCTACTGGGGATGCCATGGTGGACATAAAGGTAATGATCTTTGTATGCATACAATTATTAGGGGCACAAGATGGCAGCTTCTTCCTACAAAGACACTACATTTTCAGGCTGGCAGCAGTGATTTATCTAATTTGTGGTGGGGTGATGGACAGTCATACTCTGTTGTAGTAGCAACTTAAATCTTAAATTGTGACACACGGGCTGATTTGTTTTACGACGGAGGTAAAGTACAAAAAACAGGAACTTGGTCTGTGAAAATGTTCCAGTTCTTCTGTGCCCTTTCAATGTTCCTGCATGATTGTAATGTGATACGTGTCATTAAGTCTTCAATCCATCACCGAAACTATCTCCTTTTTTTTTCTGTATCAGATGTGGTGGAGCTTTTGCTCAGCCAGTCCAATGTGGAGCTCAACCAACAGGTGAGATGAGTTTAAAACTTCACCAATGGGTGAAAAACATCAGGATAGTAGTCCCAGTTTTGGAAATCATCCAGATTTCACTGCTGATGTCATATTGCCATAAGTGCAAGTAGATGTTATTCTTGCCAGGGATAGATATCTACGTCAGGTTATTTGCTTATTTCAAGCTGGTGAATTATGACATCAACATACAACAGCATTAAACAAGCAGACTTCCATCTTTTAAATTTGGTCCATTCATAACCAGTTTGCCAAAAGGTGTTTTCCAACCAAAATCTGGCTGCTGATAGTAAAAGAAAAACCTGAATAAATCAATGGAGAAACAACAAATACCAATGTTTCCATACAGGCCACAAGGGGGTCAGTCAGTAGTGTGAAGAGTATGAACATTATGCCTTCACAGTCACCAAATCTCAACCTAGTTGAACACCATCTCCACTGTCATCATAGAAACACCAAATGAATGTACAGTATATGTTTGAGAAGAAATGTTTTCATCACTCCAGCTGAATTTCAGAGACTTCAATATAACTTTCTGTTGGTTTTTCCTTTAACGTGTCAGCCACGAATTCTGACATCTGTTATCTTGAACCCTGAAAAGCATTTATATCTTTAGTTAGTTCCATTGAGGCAGTTGATAATAATGCCACTGACATTCAGGTAGTACCAACCAACAAGACTATCTGACAACATTGTGTTGCTGCATGTCCAGGCAAACTTGAGTGAGGTTTGTTAGGAGTTAATTAAAACATGTGATAGACGGTTTGTCATGCTACGAATACTTAGCAAAATGAACAGACAGCACCTAGTGAGTAAACTCCAGTCTGTACTCATATTCAACTATTAAGCCTAAGGTGATAATAGACAGGTGTATCTTATTCCGCTGAAGTAACACGGACTAGAATCAAATTTGCTTTTCCAGTCTTGAAGGATGGCATGCTACTGAAACTGCTGAAAGCTGTTTAGTTGCAGATGCGCCATTGTGATGATATGAAACAAACTTAAGCAAAAAAAATGTATATAGCTGTGGGGTGTGGTCACACATTATAATTGAACATTGATTGTCATGTTGTTTGTCAGTGATGATGATTTGTGTTTCAGAATAAACTTGGTGACACCGCTCTGCATGCTGCTGCCTGGAAGGGTTATTCTGACATTGTGGAAATGTTGCTGAACAAGAGTGAGTCTCTGTCTGTTTTTTTTTTGTTGTTTTTTTTGGTTTTATAAAAAGGAATTTGCCCGGCAGGTCATCCTCTTTATTTGGATACATATCAAAACAGAGCAGACAAAGCTCCAGTAAGATTTTATCAAACCTTAATATGAGACTGTGTGATTCCAGATTGAGGAAACAATTTTGTGTGTGTCCTCATATTCAGTTTTATCTTTGTATCAGGTTTTTTCTGTCTTCCTCTATGTAGTTTCCAGTTTGTTTTGTTTGTTTTCTTAGCGTGAGAATGTTTGTTTCAGATGCCAGGACAGACATCAGGAACAATGAGAATAAGCTTGCTCTGGAGATGGCCACCAACGCCCAGTGTGCTTCACTTCTCAAAAGGAAGCAGGGAAGCAGTAAGTACAGCTGCCGCTTGGGGGCAGCCTCGCAGCACTCATGCACACAGTATCATTCAGTCAGGCCACACACTCATACAGGGAACAGAATAATGCGCTTTTTTGTCTGAGCTCTCACAGTTACACAGTCCACCCTGAGACCAGCACCAGAGCCTCAGTACAAACAGTTCAAGGGATGAACAGTAGCGCGTTTGACATGTACACTGCATGTTATACTCTCTATTATTTTCAGAAGCTTCAACCAGTGAACAGATAGTCTTAACAGAAATCTTTAGCAACAGCCTGTAGAATCCAGTAAACATAAAAACTGCAGGCAAAATAATATTTTTTAAACTTTTGCAAAAATATTAGCAAATTTTAATTTTTGTACTTAAGAAAGATTATAAGAAATACATCATTATATTTCATTATCATATATAATATACAATCCCGTTTAAAAATTGTAACTTAAGTCATTTGCCAGAGCTTATTAAAGTATTGAACGGTTATTGATTGCCACAGCTTGGTTCACGTTCGACAACAGCTGCTCATATATGTGACACACTGTCTTATCCATGTCTCATCCTTGTCTTATGTAAATGGCATGAAATAGGGATATCGCATGTAATCAAGTATTTTTGGGGGTCAGGCCTGAGTTGGCAAACAGGTTCAACACAGGTCCAAGTTCGAAAAGAGGAATGAAGGATAAGAGATGAGGAGGCTATTAAACTCAAGGACCACTTGTAGTACTGTGCCGCACAGCTGCTTAGCTGCAATACGGTCACTACATCCACAATGTTGAGGTTCATTCAGATCATGTATGAGACTCTTAAACCGGGGATTTTAATGCAAACTGTAAACTACACTTGCTTAGGAATGTAATTTGCAAAAGACATTAAGCCAGTAATATTTTAAGTTAGAGATTTTGCAGATATGAGCAGTAAAATATTGCAATATTCCTGTCATTAACTGGTAATTTCTCTTGTTACAGGTGTCACCCGCACACACAGCAACGCTGAAGAGTATTTGGACGATGAAGACTCAGACTGAGCTGGCCCTGTTCAAACATTGTCACTGTCTTCCATTGGTTTTTTTTATTTTATTTTTTTTGGGGGGGGTCTGTAATAAAACTCTCCAAGCTCCATGAGGAGCTTGGACAGTTTCCACCAAAAGTGGATTTGCTGCTCTGTTTTCAGCTGTAGCTCTATTTTAGTTCTATTAATTTGTGCAAACGCCTCAGTTCTCGGCCCTCTGCATCATATCAGTGTGAATTACAAAGCATTGAATTAATGCGTTTTACCGTTAGCCTGCTTTGCCAAGTGCATTTCCACATATAAGGAATTTGTCTTGGAGCCTCGGTTGCACACCGTGGGCTGAGGGGCAGAATATATGTAGTAGTGGAAAAACGGACCAAAGCCCTAAGAAGCACATTCCAAGCTTACAGATTATGTTTAACCCATTTAAACAGGGAATTAAAGTGCCAGTGCAGATTAAAAGATTGATCAGGTCTGTTTCTAGTCAAGTTTACAAGCTCTACTAAAATACTGCAGAACTACAGAATCACCTAAAATGAATTGGAAACACATAATCTCTTGCAGCTTGGCGCTCTGTTACAACTCAGCGCAATTTATATTTATTTATGTACATCAGGGAGGCTAAGCAGCATGTACACTTAACCTTAATATTTCCCCTCAAAATGGGATGTGCTGAGGGACCCAATGACCCATTTTGCTGTTATCTGCTTGGTCAAATATAAGGGTGTCACTAATGTGCATAAATGGGATTAATATGGGAAAAGTATCTGTAAATTATATGGCAGCAATCTTCCTCTCTCCCCTTCATAATTTCACGAAACTTTTGATACTTTTTGTGCTGCTTGTATTTTGGTCTGTTATTACATTTCCACTGCCAACATCTTCTATCAGTTCAGTGTAACAAAAAATCTGCCCTGTGTAAAACAGACTTGACTCTTTCAAGCTTTTGATGGTTTGATTACCGTCCTGGGAGCAATTTTCTGGTTTTAATGCTGCTTTCCAACAGATTATATTAAAAAGTGCCTTAAATATATGTGTAACAGAGTGTCTTTGGTTGTGTATCAATGTGAACATGTGTTTCTTAAGATGATTTCTATCTGCTTTGTCTTCAGTCTGCAATAAAAGATTTTTAATTAACTTAATGTCACTTCGAGTAGACATTTTTTAAGGCGGACAATAAATAGCACACATATGGTCAACTTTAAGATTAAATGCTGAGAGTGGATTTGCATTTTTACAAAATTACAGAAGCTAATGACTCAAAGCTTCTCACAGCAAGCTAAATTCTTCTCATTATGAAGTGCAACTGTACAAACAAACCTATCCTTTACATGTAGAGTAATACGATTGTGGACTGTATATTAATCCAAGCAGGAATACACACTAATAAACCCTAAAAAAAAAAAACAACACTAAAAAACAAAAATTATGTTCAAAAGTCAAAGAATTCCTTTATTACAAAGTCAGCATGTTGATGACATTCCAAAGAAGGCAGAAAGGGCAGAAAATAGATGTTGACAGAAAATACAGTGAGTCCTTCGAGAGGGATTTGGGTACATGCTACATAACTGCCAGACCAGAGAAAAAAAGGAACAAGACTGGTAAAGCAGAGAAGAGGCTCCATACTTTGAAATGATTTTCTTTCCTCAACACTTCTCCCTGACTTATCAACACAAACAGGAATGGCTACTTCAAGTGAAATATATTTCTTCCTCTTTACATCTGTTTGATGCCAGACCCAAAGAAGCAAACATTTGAATCTCTCTCGCTATACATATACATATATATATATGTATATATATTAAAAAATAACCTACCTCTCTGTACTCTACGAGTGCACATACAGCAGAGGAAACGGAAGCAACTAGTATTTATCAAGAGCAGAAGTGCTGACTAAACCATCTCTGCCTTTCAGGTCATTTTTGATGAGCTGGTTTTAAATAAAGAGTTATTTATCCTCAGTCAGCAACCATGTTGGGAGAGCTAGAAATCTTGCCTCTCTTCACTGAGCAGATAAGAGAGAGGAAGTGACTAGTGGAAACTGCTTAATATTTGTGAAATATGTCTAGTGCTTTGTTAGCCTGAATGTCAGTCTGAGAGCATCCTGCAGCAGCAACTACTCAAGAGGATGCAGGGGAGGGAGGTAGCATCTTCAAAACCATCTGCTCTCTGGGATTTTTAATAACACTGAGCCAGACTGAGCAGCAAAGAGCAGGTACATGGTGTCTGAGCATGACTGTGTCTTTCCCTTGGGGTTGTTAGGAGTATCAATATCATGATACATGATTTTACAGTACAAAATTGCTAATAAATACACTGTCCTTAAATTATAATGTTCTCTCGGGTAGCAAAGGTAATAAACTCTGTTATTTGTGGATGGGGGAAAAATTAGAGGAAGCAGCTCTGATTCGTTGATAGGCCTCCAGAAATACAAAGAAGGTTCAGCACAGTGAACCACACACAGACACACGCAAACATAAATTATATGACACAAACACACATCCACACAGACATGGTCAAAGTAAAACAAAACAGCAGCATTTTAGGTTCCACTTATGTGAGAAGCTATGCTGATTCTGCAATACTGTACGCTTGATGTGTTACACTCAAAGATTAATGATCCAACCTCTGCACATTAAAGCAATTAGGGCTGCAACTAGCGATTATTTATATTATCAATTAATCTGACAATTATTTTCTTGATTAATCGATTGGTTGTTTAGGCTGTAAAATGTCCGAAAATTCGGTCAACTTATCAGTCAATCAATTATCAATCAATCATTGCAGCTTTAAATGCAAGCATTAGGAAGTAGTTATGCTTCATGATTTTGCTTTGTGGTAGAAATAATAATGATATCACTCATATTTGTCTGTATGCAAGGCAACAGGTACTAGCACTTGTAAAGCTGACTCAAAAACACATCAAATTTTGTTCATTTAAAAACGACAATATGCCATTTCACGAGGGCTATGTACCAGATTGTTTCTTAGCTAGGACCTGTTGCCAGGCAACCAGTGGAAACAAGTTGCTATGCCCGTTTAAGAAATAGTAAAAAACATACAGTAACTGATGTTACAACAGTGAATTGTGGTTTTCTCATCAAACTCTCAGCAAGAAATAAGCAAATTTTACAAAATGTTGAACTATTCCTTTGACGTCTAAGTTGTGAAATACAGGGTTATTTTATGACATTAACCAATATATTAATCTTTCTCCTTTTTTTTTTTTTTGCCAAATGCAGTGCTAGATGATACATATGTTTCCTGCTCAATACCCAGCAGTGTGAACTGATAACCTTCATGTCATCACATGAAAACAAGAAAATCACAGCCAAAAGGACAAATATTAATCACTACTTTCAATGATTCTAAATTTTCCTTTCATCCTGTGATTTATTTCTACTGATGAGAGCAGGAAAGGATGAAGATGCCGCCCCATCAACAAGGCACATTTGAGCGTAAAACTTATACATGTAACAATAAGGCCTTTTCAAGCACAAGCTGTGGTTATCATTAAGCTTTTAAGACAGACTGCATGACAAACTGTCATCAAGAGGGCCAGTCAAAATTATCTCTCAGAATCATGTTAGTAATGATAGCATTTGCTCAAATTTTAGTTTTTAAGCCAAACCTAAATAAGTACAAACAAAGGAAGGCTTGCAGTTTGTCTTCATGTCAGTTACAAATATATCGTCACCAAAATATCAACTTTTCACAAACTAAGAAAAACACACTTTTTTTTAAAGCTATAAAACAGTGTGTTTTTCATATAATCCTATACGTTTTCAAATGGTTTATTTATCTTAATCAGGAAATTCTTTTAAAACCATATTGGAACACTTAATCCTTCAGTGTATCTTATCAGGATTGGAGATGCATGGTTTTCACTGGAAAGCAACGATATTTTGCACCAATGTTTGCTAATCGCTCAGAATAGACCTACTATTTCATTAGATAAAAAAAGATTAACGTAAAAAAAAACACACATGGTTAATGCAGTACTCTTGACATGAAAGCATGTTTACAAAATAATTCTTTATAAAGATAAGACTTCATCAAAGGGGAATTTCACAAATAACTTTTAAGGATTTTTGAATAGAACAAAAAAAAACATGTGTTAGACATAATCTGAATTGAACAAGAGAACATGCACTTTTAGCCGTCACGGCCTCATTCAATCACCTGAATAGGAATCCCTTCTTTCAACCCCTCTCTGAAGAAATAATATCAGATATGACTGGAGCACAAGAGTAAAACAGTGCAGTGAAGATTTCACTCTGGCTAATCAATGATATGATATTAATTACAACTAAAAGGTGAGGATGAGTGAAAGGAGGGAGCATTTGCTAATATTCAGACCTTCTAAGGGAAATAGGGAAGATCTGTGTTAGACAGCAATACTGACAAATTGATACACACTATCTCACTGCCATGTACATGCATGCATTGTGAATACATGATTAAATTATTGCCCTATTGCACATTCAGTAGCACAGCAAGTTTTATGACACCGAAATCTAACCGAACTGTTCAAGGTTCATGCTGAAACCTCCTACTGATCGTGTCTGTCACAACGACAGCAACGACATTGCACCAAAAATGTCTCATGTTTTTTGCGTACTCATGTAGCAAGCGGTCTTGCTTTAAAAATGACTTCAATATAAACTGACCCTGGTCTGAGTTCCAGTTGATACAACTTTACGTCAAAGCAGCTCATATTGTGTCTGTTTCATACATCAACAACTTTAAACGAAGACTGAACTTTAGACCTTTCAGAATCACATCATAAACGTTCAGACATAGAAAAACTGTTGCAAATATTTGAAATAATTCACTTCATTTTACTAGCCAGACACAAACTTCAGAAGCTGACAAGCACTATCATCACTTCATGTGGAGGAGTTAAAACTGGGAGATTGTGAAACCTACGTGAATCTAGGTAAGTGTGAAAACTCAATATTGACCCCAGAAACAGTTTGACAATAAAGTCTCAACGTCCACTTACCAGCTTCTTTTTTTAGAGCAATCTTGGGGTCTGAAAAAACTATCCTCTAAAGAAGGCAGTGAGACAGTTAAAAGCTCAGAAAAAAAGCTAGTAAGTGGATATTACCTTAAGATTTGTTTGATCTAAATGAGTCAGAAAGGAAACCAGCCATTGTTTATGTCGATCTGGTCTGCTTAGATCTATTCAGCACCGTCTCTTACCAGCTTTGAGAAAGGGGTTGTGACAAAATGAACAAATTTGAGGCTGCATTTTTCTATTTTATGACACTTTCTTTTACCACAATTTTCACTCTGCCTTGACCTCTGGTCAAGGGAAAGTTGCACAAAAAAAAAAAAAAAAAAAAAAAGATTCATATAATTTAAACTTAGTCTGAGATTCAGAAAGTGTGTGGAAGAACAACGTCACATCGTAGACAGCTTCTCTTTACTTTAAAGCCCACTGCCAGGCTACAAGTTAAGTATAAAATAATGGAACTCTTGGTTTAAATAAATAAAATTCTTAGGATGGTTAAAGGAAAATAAAATAGAATAAAATGAAATAACTGGGATAAAACACATGACATCTTGTACAAGCAGCTAATAAAAATTCCCTCCCAGAAAATAATTTCTTTCACTGATTTTTCTCATCTTTTATCTTTTTTCTTTTTTTTGCAAAAATGAAAATATAGTTTTTTTTTTCAATGTTCTTTGCCAGTGTCCATTTAAAAAAACATTATAGTACCAATGAGTCCTTTTTGAAATATATCTACAGCTGTACAATAGGTCTTGCAAGTGGATTCATGAAAAAAAACAAAAATTTAGCGCATCATTTTACATAAAAAAGCGTCTTTACAGATATGAGTTAAAAAGGGTCATAATAAACAATATAAAAAGAAGATAGAAAAACAGCGTTTACTAATGAGATTCTTGGAGATTAGTCTTTTCTTCAATGGCCTGTTTCACTATTTCAGCCAACTTCAAGCGGTCAACCTTATCTGAGAAGGCTCGTCCTGCAATGAAAAAGCTGGTGGTTAAGGACCTGGTAACAATAAATGACTAGAAGAGCAAAACATTTACATAAATGAGTCAACGACTGGTGCCTTTAGAAGTCAAAAGAAGTCAAAGAATGTACTGCTTAATTGCTAATTTACACAAATTAGTCTCTCAAAATGAATCTGTCTCTTTCACTCAAATATATTGAACCAAAACCCAAAGATAGTTATTATCTCATAAGACAAAGGAAAACAGTAGATCCTCACACTTAAGAAGTTTGAACTAAGTTTGACATTTTTCCTTGAAAAATGCTTAAAACAATAAGTCAATTGTCATACTAGTTGCTGATTAATTTTCTGATGAACAATCCTTTAATCAGCCATCAGGCCTTCAAGATCACTTCCAGTTTGAGCTGAAATGTGATGGTTGGTCTTGCCTATTTATTTATTGATATGGACAATGGAGTTATGTTTGTGACTGCAACTAATTTTTTTTTTGTAGGCAGGCAAATGAAGCAAAAAAGGCCAGATAATGTGGGGAGTCATTACAGATAAATACATATGAAGAAAAAGTTGACCATGTCAGACACAGGGAAGACATTTTTTCCTAAATGTGAAAAGATTAAACAGCTGCTTTGATTTTTGCCAGATAAAGACAAGAGGAAATGGTACTGACCGTCCCAGCTGAGCCCCTGCAGGCCTTCTCTCAGCAGTTTACAGTCTCTGTTGAACCTCCAGGCTTCATACATCACCTCATTCAGCTTCTCGTCCTCGTTCTCTCCTGGACAGACAAAAATATTCACCATAAAGGAAACCTGCTTCACAAAACGTGTGTCATCTGGAATGGCAGTAAAGTCTTCACTACATGTTGACTGACACAATACTCAGTTTTAATGCACAACAGACATGATGAGAGAGAGGCTGCTGAAATGATCGTGGTGGTAGGGGGTGCAACCCAGTAGCTGGTTGCTGAGAAACGTTGATCTGGCTGAAAATCCACACACGTCTGGATCATGCTACAGGCAATTCTGCAGCGGATAAAGTCAGGCATACTGACCAGGGCAGAGTTGCATACATATATATTTATTTGATGTGATGTATTTCCTTTTTTTTTCCATTAAAAAATTAGGAAATTTAAGGGTTATTGGTGGAGCTAAACCCCTCCAGGCTCCCGTCCTGAGTCCCTCGTAATTTGAACACTGCTATTAAAGCGTGGGTGACTATGTCAGCATTTTGGGTGTCTTGCGTAGCCACAGTGAAGCTGTAGCCAATCAAAATTTGGAAAAATCATTAATAGTCGGTCATCTGTTTCCTGAGCACATTGGCGGTTTCTTTGCTTTGTTTTCATCTACAACTGGGAAAATACTTATTAGTCGAATAGAAATGACTGAAAAGCATATCTACTGAAGACACGTCACTTCACTCATTAACCCAATGTAACTTCAAGGGAAACACAAACAGGTCCTCTGTGATGTTCTGCGCTGCAGCAGATTACACCAGTGTACACCGATATGCAATATACTCAGTGTACAAAATATGCAGAGTATATCATTTCATCAGTGAAGTACTGGTTGTGCATCCGTTTTTAGTGTCGTTTGTTCAAATATCGTAAACACCAGGGTTTACTGACCAGCTTGTGGTAGTATACACTGTGCAATGACATCTCGTAATTTTCCCAGTGCTACGTTGGAGTCTTCCCCTCCGTTCTCTGGGTCATGAATGAAGAAACCGTCACTGGGCTTGGGGCTGCAACATGGACACCAAAACACATTTCAGACTCAAATTTTGCTTTTTTTTTATTCAATACAGGAACCCCTAAAGACTATAGAACTAAGACTATAGACTCCATGTAGCACCAAAGACTCAGGAGAACAGTATCTGAAGAGAATGAGATTTTAGTTCCATTAAGCAGTGCGATGATAATTTTACATGAAATGTATCTATACTACAGAATACAGAAAAAATAACTATTTTATGTCTCTAAACTTTCTAAAAAAAAATTATGAGAACAGCTTACAATAAAGTTGACACAAGAGCAATCATACCCTAGGAGTTTCCGCTTCCTGAGGATTGGGTTGTTGACAGAGTTTAGGGGCTTCAGGCTGACATTCAGATCCTGAATTCTCATGTTGGCCAACTGCTCTGCGTGAGCCTGCTGGATCCCTGCGACTACCGCCTGGGAGGTAAGAGGACAGACAGTAAGAAAAAGAAGAAGTGTACCGCATGTTATCATAGGTAAGTTGACTAACTTTCTACAGTGGCCTCTGCTGGTCAATTCATTCAGGAATAGCAGCATAACTGTACAAAAATTGGTGCAATGCAATATTTTGCACCTTTAATTTCCCACTCACCTTGTCCATCATCATCTGGGCAGAGGGCAACACATTGTCGAGGGCCTCAGTGCAGTTGAGCCAAGGGTGAGCCAAGACTCCCTCAATAGTCAGCCTCTCCTCTGGCTTCACCTTCAGCAGCCTGTGGGGAGCAGATGAGGAAGTGACAGAAGACAAATTATTGGACAGAGAAATGACAAATGAGTGAGAGTGACAGAGGGATGTGATGAATGAAAATAAAGAAGCAAGATATGGGAGGAGGCAAGACAAGTGGGGATAATAGGGACAATAACATACAGGAATAAAACACATAAACACCAAAAACATAACAACTTGGATATACAGTTTAGTCAAAAAAAAATACAAGTAAATACTACAGAACTAACAACATTAAATGGTGTGAAAAATGGATGAAGAACACAAACACATCATGGGAGCTTCATTCCACAAAGAGCCACAAACAGCCATTACCTAGTCAACTAATGAGTCCACGCAAGTCTGTCACTTATTTCTAACAAGTGTTTAAGAACTGTTTTTAGTGTTTGCCATGAGTGATTCAGAGACATAGCAAAAAAAGGAAAAACACTTACTTGCGTACAATGTCCTTGGCCATTTCGGAGATCTGGCTCCACTCATCTTCAGGGAAGTCAAAGCTGCCCGTCATAATCTTCTTCCTCATGTCCTTTGGGATTGTGCGACTGTGATGTTTGGAGTAGAATGGGGGATAGCCGCACAACATTACGTAGATAATCACACCAAGAGACCACAAGTCACAGCTCTGGAGAAAGAAAGAGACATTTATTCAAAAAAAAAAAAAAAAAAAAAAAAAAAAAAAAAATCAAAATTGAAGGACAGGGCTTGCAACACCTAGTGTAAGGGTGAATGCTTAATCCAACAGATGTTTCACCTTGTTATAGGTGTAAGGAGTGGGTGAGGTAGGTATAATTCCAGACTTTTCCTTCTGGTGTCTTCTTTGAGCCTCAAGTACCTGGACAAGAAACAGTACCAGAAAGAATACATCAAGATGTTCCTGAGCTATCAAGCATGTTTTATGTGCTCTATGTTTCCTTTTTTACCTGAGGTGCTACGTAGTAAGGAGTGAACTGAGGGGTCATCAGATCTCCTTGATCAATTTTGGCAAAGCCAAAGTCACACAACTTCACAGGTGCATCCTGTGGAAAAGAGAATCACAAAGTGAAAAGTGTGAATGTGGAGTGATCAGAGAAACATATTTTTAGTAGCTTCCTGTTTTCAACAGAACATTTCAGCTTGCTTATATTTCAAGAGTTTACATTTACATTACTTTTGGGATATCATTGAAGGTGCCACAGTAAAGATGGATTTCAAAGTCTATTACAGCAACTTCAGATCGGACATTTCCAAATCTTCAATCTTCCTCTACATTATCTTGGCCACAGTCAGATATGGCCAAGAAAATTTTCCTGCTTACAGTGTCTCACTGAGTAAAGCACTGGCTGCTGACTTAAAAGAGCAAAGTTTGTATTCCTTTGTAACATATACTGTATTGGAGCAGTGGCATCAGTTGTGGTACTGGTATACTTTTAAAACTGCAGCATTCATGTCTATATTTATTCTGTGGAATCCAGTGCAACTCCAGCTACTTACCAGAGAGTTATCCTTGAAGAGCAGGTTCTCTGGCTTCAGGTCACGATGTGCAATATTTAGGGAGTGACAGTGTTCCAAGGCTTGACTGATCTACAGGAGGAAAAAAAAACATCAGACTGAGACACCACTCTATCATATGTGCATGTCGAAGCAATTTTTTTTTTTTTTGTAAAACAGCCTTGATTTGAACCCGTATGTATTCTTTTGACCATGTGTCTCACTGCTGAACTGCCGCATGAGCTGCTTGATCTCAGCAGGGGGATGTTAATGACATGGAGAGGCCGTGAGACATGCAGTTACCCACAGGAAGAAAATGTTTCACACAAAGAAGTATGCAGACAGACGAATCTTGACAGAATAAAAATAGGATAGGAAACCACTGATGAACAAAGACTGTCTGACCAGAATTCAATATTTACTGTACAAAATCACATTCATGGCGCTTAAAGAAACGCAGTCCGTGTCGACTCTTGATATGCTGGAGTGTGTTTATGTGTGCATATGTGTGTCTTCACCTACCTGTTTAGTGACCTGGCTGGCCATCTTTTCAGTAAAGTGCCTGTGCTGACTGATTCTGTGGAACAGCTCACCGCCCTCCATCATCTCCATAACTATCAGAAGCCTCGCTCTGTGAAAGACAAGAAAGGAGGTGTGGATGGTCAAAAAGAGACGGGAGACGGGAGATGGATTGTCAAAAAAAATTAAAAGCACAAGTTTTTACTAAAAAATTCACACACACACAGAACTCCTTACCTTGGGCTAGACTCATGTGGGAACTGGACACTATTAGCATAAACCTCCAGGATCTGCACTATGTTTGGGTGGTTGGCACACATCATATGGAGACGCACCTGCATGGAACAGAGTCAAACACTGTGTGTAGAGTACTTCCCTTAAATATGTTAAATTTTTATCCCATCCTGAATACAATCACTTTGTTTGTCCCTATAAAACTCTGGTGTTGAGTGTGGGCACTTCTCTGCCAGTGCTGGTCAAAATTATTGGCAGCCCTGAATTTCCAAGTCCATAATTCAGAATATCTTCAGAATTAATGCTTATGAACCAATTTTGTATAACCAGAATATTTTTGATAAAATGTCCAAAAACACGGGTGAAAAAAAAAAAAGAAAGAAGAAAATTAACGATGGCTGAATTCCATTTCCTGGTACTGTGCATGCTGGCTCCCTGTCACACTGAACAGAGCAGAGCCATTGTTAATGTTACTAATAATGCCTGTGCTTTTACTACTGTGATAAGTCAAAATGTCTGCTGTGAAAAAGGCCTATTCTACCATGAGCCAATACATACTTTTATATACTGATATCTATATATCTATATCTATATATAGATATATAGATATATATGCTGACCCAGTGACTTCTGATTCAATATTGCCATTAAAAGGTCCCATTGATTTGTGACAACAAGAGATATTAAAGTGATACTTCAGTAACTATACAGTGAAAGCACTAACAGCTGACACCTTTCTATGGTTTCACAGTATATATTGTCATATCCCCAAACTCTACCACAATGTGTAGACAAGCAATAACAGAAATTCAATCCCCAAAATCCAGGCTTTGTACATTACTGCTTGTAACATTTTATTATTTCCTTTGAATGTAAAAACCTTGTTTACTATTCTTTTTCCTTCATCGTATTTACAGAGGAGGTCAGGGGAGTATTGAACAACTGGAAACTGGAGATGGTTTAGTACTTCAGTAAATGAGCTGTGACTCAAGAACTGTTAACAGAAATAGGTTTTATCTTCAGTAAGTCATGCTTGTCATTGCAAGAATCTACCTGAAGAACTTAAATAAAACAGATTCTACAAATGGAAATGCAAATAATGCAGCTAACAATAATATAGCTAACAGTAAGGAGGCTTCATCCAACTTTCTCATTGCAATAACGCTAAATCATGCAACAAAGCAAAGGGTAATTTATAAGACTGTTACCTTTATAGACAATATAATATATATAAGTATATATATTGCAAACCTCATCCTACACCCTCATTTGAAAAAATGATAGCGGCTAAAAAATATATTGTTTAGCAGTAATAATCGGTGTCTATTCGCTTGTCAGTGACAGCTTTCCCAGCTCAGCAGCGAGAGCCTGTGTGAAGCCAGTTTGTGTTGCTTGTTTTGACTGCGTGTCTCACTGCTTAACTGCTAAATAAGCTGCTTGATCAAAACAGAAGGCTGCTAATGACAAGCAGAGGCTGCTAGACAAACTTTTCACCGCAGGAAGACAATGTTACGGACAAAGAAGCCCATACAAAAAGACAGAAGAAGCGCAGGAGACAGACTGACAAGGAAAAAGAAAAACAAGAATTAATAAAGACAGATAACAGGCAGGAAGACGGACCATGGCATAGTGATATGGCCAAAGGCAACAAACAACAGGCATTAATCACAACTGCGACAGTGTTTCCTCTAACCTCATTTCTGGCCTTGGGGCGATCAATGAGGATCTTCAGGGCCAGGCGTTCCTGAGTTGACTTCTTCACACAAACTCTGAACAGGAAGAAAACAAGAGTCAAGAAACATGTGACTAAATATGATAACCCAATGTTTGTCACCAATGTGATCATTAAAAAGATCAGTAAGCTGGTTTCTGTAGTGTGGCAGGTAACAAACAGTTATAGCCGGGCATTTTGCAGCATTCTTATGTATATGATAAAGAAACACAATTAACATCATGTCAAGTTTTATTTATATAGCCCAAAACCACAAATTATCTAAGAGGACATCAGGAGTTCAATAAAATGCCAGACAGTCTCCAGTCTTTATAAAAACACAGCTGATATCCATGTGGAACAATGTGTAGTCTCATGAGATTTAGGAGCCATAATCCTGTGTGTGGATACTCTGCTTTTTCCTCAACAAATGTGCTGTCACCTTTGCTGCCAGTAACATAAATATGCAGTTCGCTGCCTTTAAAAGAAGCTTTAAGGATGAAAAAGCTTGTTCCAACTCTTCATTGAAGCCATATGATGTTTACATTGAGTGAAATGTTTAAAGCCAAGACTCGTTGTTGTTGTGGCTGTATCATTCCATCAAATGGAAATTATCTGGTTGTGCTGTGCATCATTTCATACACATTTCAACAGAATTTGGCCAGAAAATTTTGGTATTTATTTCTACCCACAGGCTAAAGAGTCATTTGAGTAATCATAACTGGGGAATTTTCTGTCTTTTACTTAAAAATGACTCAATGTTCAATTTTCATTGGAGTTGCAGATTTGCTTTGTGTTGATCAGCCTATTACACTAATAATTTCAGCTCCAGTGGGTGTGAACAATGTTTAGCTGCACAGCATGAGTTTGTAATACTTGTTTCTGGTTTTATTTAAATGTCTTCTGGCTTTATTGTTAGTTTCTGTGCGTTTGAATGTTGTTTTACAGCTGATACACATTTGTGCCCCTCTTCAAGTCTGGGTAAGATGTGCTGTGAAATTAAATTTATCCTAATATAAACACAGAGACGAGAGAGCAGCAGACTGTTTGGAGTTCAGAACTGTATTTTGTCAACATCACAGTTTGTTATGGGAAATACAAATTGTGCCTGCATCTTTACCAAAGAAGCTCAGCTGTCGTATATTTTTAATTCTCCCAAGTTTGAAATAAACTGTGGCAACGGTTTTCTTCAAACTACACTTTTGTAACATTACACAGTTGAACTACAGACTGCGGATATACATTTCATTTTCTGAAAAGCCCATAAACTCCTTTCCCCCTCTCTAAGCAGCAAGGACTCAAATATTCACTTTAAACAGCAACCTCTGGCCCTTAAACTCAGATTACACTATTAAAGCATTACTGCGAGAAACATTCTGCTTCGGCCAAAGTTCACTTCACTGGAAAGCAATACCTACCTAATGAATCACAGTTCAAGAGAAGGGGGCTGGTAGAGTTAAAGACATGAATGTGTTATGAGACAGAGAGAGGTGAGTGTGTGGATGAATCAAGAAAAGATTCATATTGTACAAAAGTCTCCATGAATCTCAGTGAAATAAAGAGTCAGAAAAACAAAGAGAGAGGGTGAAGAGTTGCCCGAAAAGAAACAAGGGTACAGCATGAATCATAGAATTTAAGAGTATGTTTACATGGAGGGCTGATGATTCAGTTTATCAGTATTTTTGTTACTTGAGGCAAAACTATACATATTAGGAAATAACAGGTTGCTCTCTGCTGATCCAGACCTGTGATAGTTTAAAAAGTGCAGAATGGGCAGGAGGAATCAGCGACAGACACTGATACATTACAGCTGGAATCAGCAGGGCTGTCAGACTTGCACCGAAGAAACTGCACATAGCATAAACAGACTTAGAAAGCTGCTGGAGCAGCCAGTGCCTCTCAGTAACATTTTGCAGTAACTGAATAAATCTCAAGACAAATACAAGTTATTTATATGAAGAGATTATACCGGTAATAGCTGAGGCGAGGGAGGAGAATACTGATGCACACAGGCAGTTTTAAAAAGGAAGAAACAAATGCACTCATCATTGGCAAATGTCTGAGTATGACAGATATTGCAAAAAAAAACAGGTACTACAACTGATACTAACAGGTGTTGATTCAACTTGCAGCACAATGAAGAGTTTTCAAGCCTGGTGACAACTTCAATCTGTCTTCCAGATCCACCACAGAAGTTCATGAAGCGCATAACAGTTTAAATGTAAAACAATTTTAGGCATTGCTGCTTGTTGTTGGCATTTCAGAAATATGTGCATTCTTGTGATATTTTACGTCCCGTTGCTTGAAGTGGAAAAGATTGAAGAATGCAGAGGGAGGTGCACAGCTGAAGAAAACTGTTGATGTTCATCATTGATCCCTTGTGTATTCACAAGTATCCACTATTCTGAATGCAGCTTCTCAAAAGAGGGTTAATTACTTTGCAGAAAGTTTCATCTATAGAATGTGGACTAAAACCTGCAAAAGCTAAGGAATTACACAAGAAGACTTTCAAAAACAGGCCAAGATACTTCCACTTAAGGTTGTATTTATGTATGTATTTATATGGACTGTGTCTGAGCCAACTGAGCCACCACCAGCAAAAATGGTTACAAAAACATCTCCATATTAAGCCTTGTGTTGTGGTGTTGCTACACACTAGAAGTGTGTTAAAGCCCAGTCAAGTGACAAGCGTCTAGCCCTTTCATATTCTCAATGTGTCAAGTATAAGGTCAAACTGTGCTGGTGAGTTGGTGCCACAGTGAACATGATGCAATAAAACCACTGGAGAAGTAATAAGTGGCAAACATCAGAAACGTAGGTTCTTTGGCAGCAGACAGAAAGTTTGTCTATTCGACAACCCAACTAGCAAATAATCTACATCTGATCTGACATCATACTTGAATCGTCTAGTTGGTGTGCGAAAAAGTGAGGCTGAAACCATATCTTATGCACTCCACAGCAGCATCCACAACAGTGGTTTAATTATGCACTGCAAAGGCTGAGCAATATATTAATATTTATCTCTCTTTAATCCTATCATGGGATTTTAGAATATGCTGAGTCACAATACACTATTTTCACATCTAAACTAAACTAGCAATCTGAGTGATCCTGGCTCTCCTCTCACAGCTGAGCTTAACCAAGCATGGCAGATTTCTCCCTGTATGATTTCTGCAACCCTACACAAAACCAGTCAAGAAAGACAGCTCCAAAAAGATTACCCATTTCCCAGCAATTGATTTCGCAATCCCAAACACATACCATGATCATGTCTCCTGGTTATGCAATATTACTTTTCCTGGTCCTGGTGTAATAAAAACATTTTGTTCTGAGTTCTGTCTATGCAACACTGGCCCTGCAGCAACAGTTTGACATCAATGTAATGCAGCACAAACACAGTTAAATCAGTTGAAAAGATAATATTTAGAGAGAGGAGAAAGGCAAACTCTCTCTCACACTCACCTGACAGGTCCACTGATGCCAGCTCCCAACTTCTGTGTCCAGTTTATGTTATACTCGTCCAGAATGGATGTCTCCTGTCGGGAAGAGAAACCAAACCAACAACATATCAAATGTTTGAAAGAAAAAAATAGAGGCAAAATTTTGTGTAGAAGTGTGGTGTTTTACAAGTTTATGGATCCCCTTTGCACAATTATCATCATAGTTTACATCATGTGGCACAAGCGACAGCTTACCGCCATCCACACCCAAGTATAAAAATAAAATAAAAATTCGAAATTGAAACTGCTGCTTATCATAATATAGACTATCCATGTATAAACAACAAAATAATAATAATCGGATACACTTACAGAAGAGTTTGGCAGATTCTACTGACATTGCACTGGGTAAGAGAGCTATGCATTTTATTTTCTGCGTTGTGTTAGCACTACCTTATCTGTTATCACCTGTCAAGATTCAGGATAGCATAATTCTTCCTGCACATTGTTCTTGAAAATAAACACAATTTGGCTGCTGTAAAAAATGTATGTGTGGGTAAGCTTAGTCACTGCTGCCTATAAAAGGATTCTAAAATATGGATCGGATGATATCCTGGAAGAAGGGAGTTGAAGTTCTTACAATTAGACTTTTGCTGGGTTTGAATACATTTTTGTCAATTTTTCCAGCTTTGTGAGGTATTTACATAAAGACTGCTATAATCAAGATATCATCTGTTTAAGTTACAAAACCTCAAATTTGAGACTGGAAAATTGTTAGATTAGCCCTTTTCCTCCTTTCCTGAGAATATACTGGTTTTGGCTGGCACAGTGCATGTAATCATGAGCCACTGCCAACAGGTACCACAATGTTTCCTCCCTACTGCCCCCCTTGTCAGTCCAATCTGCTCTCTGTAAACACAAAGAGGCTGATGATATTTGGGATTATTGACTATTACGCAACACAGGACAAGGGGCTGACATTTACTACACAACTGCCCGGAGGTCTGTAGCATAAGCTTCATATCTTTGATGGATCTGACTTCCCTTCACCCGGCACTGGCAGTTTTAGATAATGGGTCTAATAAAGCTGATTATTAACTGTCTATTCATTCTAGGTTATTCCAGTATATCTATGAAGGGTTTGTAAATACAAGCCAACCACATACACAGTCAATACATCAGCAGCAATAATACAAGACACAATGTAAATGTCAATTGTTGTGGAACAAATCGAGTTAGGCAAAAACTACACAGGCTGTTTACACACTTTGTTCCAATCCTCTGAACTGAACCTGTTCTGGAGCAATTTAGCCATGCACCGTAGCTTACCATAATGATTTCTTGGTTAAGAGCGTTTCGGGGTCTTGACACCAAAGAGCCTGGGTTAAGCTCATAGCTATTGAGCTAAACCACTAATCTCTTTTCATGATAACGGCCCCAATGGATACAAAGTGTGTGTTCAAGTTCTCAAATACTACTGCTTTCCCAACTGTGAAAGCAGGGGCCAGGGCCACTTGAGATCACATTTTACTGCTGACATAGATGCCCGGGCAGTGACACATTGAGGGGAGCAGGCCAGGAACAAATCCCAGAGCCAGGGTGGATGGAAAAGTTGCCAGTTACTAACCATGACCCTGCTAGATAAATCCAAGTACCACATTAATGTTCATCATGGGTAAAACTTTCCATGACCCACTTTTCATGATTTACATTGCTAATATTTGTAAGCTACACAAAAACTCCATGGATGCAATGTCAAGTCTACTTTTTAGTACAGTCTACTTCGAGAATCATTATTAGAGCAATAAGCAATCAAGATCATGTTGACAGAAGTAACAGCAATCCGAATCTAAAACAAATTAAGTATGTAAAATAATGTCTCTGTGATAATCTCCAATCTCAATTAAGGGATACTAACATTTCCACCATAAGTTTATATGAATGCTGCTTCACTTGCTTAATTTAACTTCATTAAATTAAGACCAAAACTGATTCCTCAACAAAAGTGAAAACTACTATCTGCCTGCATGGAGATTCACATTTCATTTTGTTAATATTACCTTGATGAACTTGTCTGCGTTGTTATCTTCCGACATGGTGGCCTGCTCCGGACAGATGAAGTCTGCCTCGCCAATCTCAGACAGTTGACAGTGGAAACAAAGCGTTTTTCTCCGACCTCTACAAAGTTTTGGTCTTGCAACCCTCGGCTGGACCAAGGGGTGTTATATTACAACTGATGACAGGACAAGGCCATTAGGGCAAAATGATGTTCGGCCACCGATCAGCCACAGACCTGAAGCCCACCAGCCGGTACGATGTAACGTTAGATCAGGCCAGCTCGGCTCACAACCTCGGGGTCCGGCTTGCTCTTCCAGGCGTCTTAACTTCACTGTAGTGACCATGTAGAGTGCCAAACTCCGAGCAATGTGACCCGAAAAGCCGAAGACAAGTACAACGTGGACTAGCCCACCACTTTTGGAGGGGCACTGAGCATGGGACAAGAAGTGTATTTTTAGCCAGCGCAATGAGAGCAGTGCTCTGCTAACGCTGCGAACACACCGTGGACCGGCTAAGTTGCTAGTAAGTGAGCTGGTGCCACGGCCCGGGCAGAGGATTACACAACAAAGGGAATCTTGAAAGATAAGCGAGAGCAGAGATACTGTAAGGAAACCGCCTCGGTGAAAGTTGGCTTGATTTGACACAACGAGCACACCGTGTTCCCAAAAGCAGAGCAGCAGCCTATTATGTCGTCGAGCCCAGCTTGGTTATGTGCTAGCAAGCTAGCTCAGCTGGTAAGTTAGTTTTCCAGCTCTGCTTAAAGCCACGGGTATTAACATTCTTCCACAAAAAAGTACGGCAACTATCAGCGCTCGTAAGGAACAATAACACTATCTCGGTGACAGAAGGGGTTAATAAAGAATGTTTTGAAAGGTGACCAAGGAGAGACACGCATCTATACACTATTTTGCTAATCCCATAGCTTCTTGTCAGAGGGGATACAGTCGGTACAACGCAATAGCAGCCCGTGCAGAACGCCTGATGTAAATCATTTACACGTTTAGCAAATTCAGACAAAATGTGGATGTACATCATTTTCCTATCAATAAATGTATATTTATGACACATATTAAGCATCGTGTGGTGGATCTGGCGCATTGTCAAACTGAACTGTTCATAATTTTGATCAAATAAATTTGAAATGGACAGAGTCTGATGGGTCCTCATACGGTCCCAGTTTTCAGATTCAAGGGTTAAAAATTAACTTGACGACAAAATATTCGGGACACACTTTTTCTCAGGATAATACCATAGACTGGATAATACAAATTTAATCGTGACGTCCTTCAATCTGGTGACCTTTTTTTTTTTTTTTTTTTGTTTACCTCCCTTAGAGAACACTTGAATAACGTATCCCAGCAGCCCTGCAATAAACAGTAGTTGAAAGTAACTAAATACTTTTACTCAACCGTACTGCACCTGCTGTACTTGAATACAATTTGAAGTACTTGCACATCATTTGAGCATTTGCATTTTCTGCTGCATTATCAATTCACAATTGTTGGCATAATCATTTTGTCTATAAAACATGTATTTTATTAATCACAAAATGAAATTGCAGTGTTGTAGGAGCCACCTCTCATGAATCGCAAAAACAATGGGTATGTAACAATGTATTCAAAGGTTAAATTATTTGCAATAACTAAACGGACTAAAAAGTCTAAAAAATAAAGAATAAATATAGGCCTAAATGATAGGAAAAAAATGTCAGAAAACAGTGTAAGTGTCAGAAAAGGTGAAACTTATTTAAACTATTTCAGTTGTTTGTTATATTCGACCAACAGTTCAAACCCCCAAAATATTACGTTTACAGATATGACAAAAAAGCAGAAGCTGAAACGAATAAACATTTGGTATTGTTGCTTGAAAAGGGGCTAAAATGATTAATCATCTATGGAGAGTTAACAGATGTATTATAGTAGATTCATTTATAGCTAAACATGTTTCCATTATTTTGTCCACCACCCTTTTGTCCACGTGAGGAGGACAAAATATCTATGTGCCCAATAGTTATTCTGTCTGAGCATGTCAGTTTTGAAATACTTACTATAAGTCCTTTTCCATATGTCTCATTCTAATGCACATTATGACTGAACATGTTTTGAGCGGACAATAAAGTACAACAGATCATGTGTTTAGGATGAAAAGGAAAATTATAATTTGCATCTGAAATATGGACATTTCCCCTCATTAAGTTTGCAGCTGATAGGGGCCTCAGTTAGACTTACTGGTTGAATTTTAATGGAACATTTAATTAAAATTTGGTCATGGAAATTTGAAAAAGGAATATGACACCTAATATGTCATAAAAAGTTTTTTTAGTCAAAACTATATTAATTTAATCTTCTATTAATAATCATTTATTATATTATTAATTCTATTTCTTGGGTGGTCATTTTCCACTTCATCTTTAAAGAAAGAAACATGCAACAATACAGATACTGTATAAAAAGGACAGCACAAATTGACGTATGTTGAGATTAATCATATCAGGAGTGTAATACATTTGTATGCAAAAGTTTGGGAAACCTACTAAAGTTAGTATTAAGCCCAGCTGTTAAGCATAGGAGTGGAAATATTATTCTTTGGGGTTATGTGGCAGCCGGTGGCACATGAGACATTGCACAGATAGAGGAGGTAGAGAAGAATGGATCTCATTAAATATCAGCAAATTCTGTATGTAAATGTCCTGCAGTCAGTCAAGAAAGAGAAAGTGAAAAGAGGCTAACTTCCACAACAGGACAATAATCCAAAGCATACCTCAAAATCCACCATGGACTACTTCAAGAAACACCAGCTGAAGATTTGGTGTCATCTTTATTCTGCTAATTGTTAGCAGTCGTTTTATAATGTGTTAGTTTAGTTACTATCAATCATCATGCACACACAATCAGTGTGTAAATATTGTGTTTCTGTCTGTGCGCTAGTGTGTTCGCCGGCTCACGTGGATGCCATTGAGGTTTCGTGGACTTCCTGAAAATAGTGCCATTTATAGGTATACTTTTTTAAATAAATGAGTATCTATACGTTTCTGCTGGTGATCTAGATTAAATATGACCATATTTGTTTTTTTTTGTGGCAGATTGATGGTTGTCAAAGAAGTCAATGAGGAAATTTTGGTTAGATGTTGTGAGCCGTTACGTCTCTCATATATCCCTCCGCTGTTTTTTGTCCCCTTTCAGACTGTTTTGGTCTTTTCGCTGTTAGCAACGGAAAGAACCCGAGATAGCTGTAAACCCTATTTTGAGATAATCTAATTTTTTGTTAGGATTACGTAACAAATTGACAAGAGGTGTAACACCCATGTTTGTTTTGGAAGAGTGATTGGCATGTGTTGTCTTTTTTAAATATTATTTTTTTTCTGTTTTAATAGGAATTGTACAGATTGCTAATTTAGCTAGCAACTGCTAGCCAGCTAGCTTCTTAGCATAGCATCTTCTTCAAGAGGCACGTTGACATTAGCCTGCCAGCTAGCAAGATCTTAGGATCGCTAACGTTAGCGAACTGTCACACAATTACACACCGTCTCGTCGTCAAGAAATTGCGGTGTGAAGCTGGTCGTTTTAAGACGCTGTCTTTTATGGGATCACCATGTCAATGAAGGCCGGTGGAAATCGCAGCAAGCCCGGCGGTGGCAACGCCGCTGGTGCCCCTGCCTCCGGTGCCGGAGGAAGCGGCGGTGGAAGACAGAATCTGGGCAGGTCTGTCAAATTAAAACGGTAACGTAGCGATATAAAAACACAGCACCGAGGAGCTTATGGGGTCAGTTCTCAGTCCTTGGACACAGTCGCTTCCAACAGTGGCAGTTTTGAGAGATGACATTCCCGTTAAACGGTCCAAAACCAGTACGTGTTTGTGAACGTTATATGGGCCTTGCGACGTGTTGGTCACCCAGCGTAACGTTATGCAGTTCAGCTAGCGAGGCCTTTATGCTTGCTCCAATAATGTTGCAACTTCGACGTAACGTTACCTCCTCTTGCACGTTAAATAAAATACATCACTTGTTGTCTGATCATGTATTGAGACATGTTTGGTTGGACAAACATATTTTCTCCACATGTGTGTAGCAGTGAAGCTGCTTGCTAAGTTGCTGATACCAGTTTACTATCTGCTTGGAGTCAATTTAGCTAGCGTTAATTAGCCGTTTGACAGCCCATGCTTGTTATTCAGTGCACTTGCCTCATTCAGTATTATAGCAGCCAGCTAACAGGACACAGCCTGGCTACCTTTCAGCCTAATAAAACAACTGTGTGTGTTTTCATTTGACTGTCATGTTGCTTGGTGCGTTACCGCAACATTGCTGCAACGGGTTTGCCAAGAAATTGACAAAAAGCGTGTGGGCGCACGAAAGAAAGGGGCGGGTGTGGAAACGGGGATGAGGAGGAGGAGAAGGGGGAATTTAGACCGACGAGCTTTCAACCTTGACGTTGCCGTGGCTGCTCGTGTGAAATAGTGTCCTTGAAGCATGACATTTCTGTACATGTCGTCCTAAGATAAAGCTAACGCATACTATCGGTGCATGAGCTGCATGCGTATTGTGAATTTTGTTGGTTTAAATTTGGTCAGGCTTCTATTCACCGGTCACTAGGACACTACGTCCATTCATTGCGTAGGTTCCATCTATTAGGGCCGTGCGAAGATATTGTAAAAAAAAAAAAAAAAAAATTAGATTGAACCAGCTAGACTCAATTACACGAAATTAGCTTGTCAGTTCGAAATGACTTGGATCGGATTTCTGTTAATATTGAGGATCTGAGTGTTTTCAAGTTTATTAGCTATTAGCTATTACTCATTTACTACAACGTATATAATGTAGGGCAAGTGGCCATTGCCTACATTGAATCAAGTGTGAATGTCTGGCCATGTGCCAGGGGCTGAACAAGGTGCATTTTAGGACATGCTTGGAAAAAATGTAGGCTACTTAGTGTTTGGCTGACAGCCCATTGCACATCATTCTAACCAACAAAATATGGAATCTGTGGGAAATTTCAGAATTCATATTGCATTCAAATATGTGGTGAATTTACATTTGCAAGACACTTCAGTGTAGATTAAATTCGATAATTCATGTTAAAGATGATTCTTGGCCTTCCCCAACATGTGCACAAGCAGTTTTGTACCCTCTTAGATATTTACATCATCACCTCCTTAGATTTCTGTCATTCACTCGTACAGTTTCTTGTGTTAGAGAGCACTTTGTTTCAATATGCAGTTAAGTGCTAATGATGATGGCTAGTTTGACAATGCCATTTTTTTGTTTCAGGGGAAGACACAGTGGTAAAGGTCCTGCAGCAGTAAGTAGCCTGCTAACTCTCATAAGTAATTGAAAATAGCTTTTATGTCACACCGTCAGAAGTTTGATATACCTAAGTGCTGTATTTTATCAAAGAATGGAAGTTGTTTTTTGAAAACCCACTCACAGGATTAATGCTTTTGTTCATTCTGTGCTGTCATTTGAATACAGTATCATGTTTTTGTAAGGTATACAATTTGGTTTTTAAGTTGAACAGAATGGAATATTCTTATTGTAATGCACTATGATTGAAACAAATGTACAATACGCTACAGCTTAATTAACACAATTTTTCTTTACAAATGGAGAACATCAGAAGTTAACCTTGTTTTTAATTTCTTTAGGTCATTTTCAATGGTGTATATGCAAATATGAGGATGGTCCATGTCTTGACGTCAGTGGTGGTATGTTCACTGTGTGTCAGTCTTGTTATGTTTTTGAGATGATGTTCCAGATATGTCTAGTATTTCCTTCTGAATTGTGTCTTCTGTGCATGAAAAATAATGAACAGAGAAATGAGCAGTTACAAAAGACTGAAACAGCTTTGTGAATCATGCTTACTGTAAATGAATTTGTAACAGCAGTATGTACTGCAGTCTGTCTTTCACCACATGCTGTTTCTTCAAAATGTCTATGCTGCAATAAACAAAGCCTGTTGTGATTTGTAGAGACAGTTGCTTGCATAAACAAAGCAGAAATTGATCAATAGTTTATCTGTTTTGCAGCAGATGGGTTTCTGAACCTGTTTTTTGAATGTGTTAATTGACATTGACATTTTGTTAAATGAGTGAGTGATGCATACAGTGAATAATGCTAGGCCTATTTATTTATAGGGGACCAAGTGTGAGCTGAAAGTGAAGAACGGAGCAGTCTATGAAGGAGTATTTAAGACATATGGTCCAGAGGTAAGGATCACACATAGTGCGATGTTCTTTATAGGTGCTTATATGTAATTTCCTCAGTAGCAGTAAAATGATTAAGGTTAACTGTGCAAGATAGAGCCCTGCCAGCGCTCAGTATCAACTTCACCCCTGAGGTGGCTTAGACAAAGATCACCCTTTCCAGCTTTCCTTTTATGGAGGAGAGGTTTGTGGTCCTTCATCTTCCCTTTTAGGTTGAAGTATTCTCCAATCTTTCTCCTATGGGGAAATTTCATTTTGCACAAATGAATAGTTTAACCCAAGAGAGGGTAGAAGTTTTTGTACAGTTCATTTGCTAGAGCTTGGCTTTAACTTCATTTCTTGATGAGATACCAGTAACATGCATTATCCCCTGTTTTTCACATCAAACACCAGGGTCGATATTTAGGCATTTTTTATCCCCCACCACTTTCATAAGGTTGTAAGGCTGGCATGATACTGCAGAATAAATTGAATTTGCACAGGCAAGCACACCGCTTTGTTCTGAGACCAAAACAAAGCATCACATTTGGCTTCCATTACCACAGTGTGTGCAAGCTGAGCAGTCAAACATCTTGAAAAATTCGCACAGCTGTATTCACCACCCCTCTCTTAAGTCAACAATGTAGTGTTTGGTTTGCAGCACTTGTGTTTTCAGTTTTCCTCCATAGTATTGTAGAAGTTGTAGAACTGTAACTTGTTTGGAGTAAAGTCTTATCTGCTCCCACTGCAACAGAGAATCTCCTCCATCTGGCGTGGATGCTTTTAAATGAACGGATCTCAATTAATTGATGTCAGTCAAACCTGAGCTTATATATGATGGCAGCCAGAGAACTGAGAATGGATTTCCTGTAGCTCAGGTTTAGGCAAGCATGTTGAAGTTCCATATTGGGCCAAGGTTTTCATCCCAGTCAAACACACCCAAATGATTTAATTGATTAGGTCATCTTGTGCTTATCAGGGTTAATTTCTTATTCATTAATCATCATTTTTGATTAATTGATTTATTGTTTATTGTGTGAAATATCAGAAAATGATGAATGAAGTCTAGTCACAGTTCTTCGGAGCCCAAGGTGACCTCTTTAAATTGCTTTTTTTGTCTGACTAACTAATAATCAATTCACAAAGATATAAGATTGATGAAAAACTGCAAATCCTTCATAAGAAGCTGGAACCAAAGAATGTTTGGCATTTTTGCTTAATAGATTTACTTAAAAGATGAATTTATGTCCCATGTTTCCTCATCTCTTCTGTAGATAGTTTAGGCTTTGCTATAGTTCAGATTTCCCTTTAATCCAATTTAACCCAACATTCTCCTTCAGTGTGACTTGGTGTTGGATGCAGCCCACAGAAAGAGCCCAGAGCCGAGCATAGGTCCCAGGAAAGAGGATATTGTGGAGAGCATCATTTTCAAGGCCTCAGATGTGGTAGTAGTGACCTTCAAAGACGTGGACCTGAATTTCGCCAGGAAAGGTACTGAGGGCATTTGTGTTGACAGATTTTATCTAGGTACATAAACGGCAGTCTATATATACGTACTTGTTTACACACTAAAACTCATGAAAAATACACAATGTAACTACACACACACACACACATACAAATAAAGACGTGTGAGTGAATGCCCATCAGTGCATGCACACAATGTATTGATCTTTTTCATGCTGCATTCACTACCTTGATGTCACAGAGGCTTTGCCATGAGTTAAATCTTGTGTGTCTGCTGTGATTGGTCAGCCATTGAAGACTAATGTGATCTGTTGATTGGTCCAGCACAGCAAGGACACTCAATAAAGGCTGAATGAGTCTTCTTCATCTTATTTATCTTGACCCATACAATCCTCCTTTGAAAGATAAGACTGTGGGGGTGGGGGTTGATTTTCTGAATCACTGACTGGACTGACTGGAAATTTCACAATGTTGTGGTGAAAAGTAAAACCTCTAAATCATCAAAGCTGATGTTTGGAAACATAGCTGCAAGCAGTGATGTAGGGGCCAAGCAGCCCAGCAGGCCAGAGTTGCCATTGAATTCAGCTTGATCCTAGCAATCAAATGATATTTCATCTTTGAAAATTGGGCATACAATTCAAAAGTTACATGAATGTAACTCCAAATTTGACCTATTGGTGGCCCTAGAGTATTTTAGGCACGGACATGAAACCTGGTGAAAAGCATCAAGGGAGTGTCCCCAAGCAATGTGCCAAATTTCACAACCTTGTACCATACAGTTCGAGGGTATACCATAGAGTCTGATGGCAGAAGAAGATTAAAGATGATGATAAAGGAGAAAAGATAGAAACACAATGGATGCTTATGCATCTTTGCTGCTTGGCCCCCAATAAAGGGACATGGGGAGTCTGCTAGACATTGCATGACTAAAACTATGAAAAGAAAGGAAACAGAATTTCCCTTTTAAAACTTGCACCTTATTGTTGAGTAGGAAGTCAACTGTTGGTGTGATCGCCAGTCAGTCATGCTATCTGTCAGTCCATCTTCTGACTGTCTGTCATCTGTGTGTCTCTCCTCTCCAATGGTCTAGTCTCCTCTGATACAGGTAATATATGGCTGTTTTCTCCTCTCGCACATCTCTGTACACACTCAGGCATACACACTTTAATGAGCTTAATAATAATCCAAAATTTTGAATCTCTTAGGCTTGGGCCTGATCTGTCGCCACCTATTTCTGTATTTTAAATCCAATTTGGTGATTGAATTTGAGTATCATTTCTTTTAATATAACCCAAAAATAAGAATCCAATATCTGACGCAGGTCAGACTTGCCCCATCTTTTCACCAGATCCTTTTGTTATCTTTAGACAGGATGTTGCTTTCGGTGGAAGAGTTGCCACTTGTTACTTGGCCTAGCACTGTTTAGTTAAGCTTTTAATAAAAGGTCAGCAGGGTTCAAAGTTTAAGCCCTCCACTGGCCATTTCCCTGGACAGTATACATTTTGTATGGCCTTATGGTTACTTAAGAGGAATCTGTGGATCTGTAAAAGATATACAGCTAATAGTGTTATATGTTTACTGTAGTAAACTAATACTTGGGTTATTTGTTTTGAACTTGTACTAATTTTTATTTTATTAATTTTTAACAGTAATTTTTGTTTGAAGCTGTTATTTAAAGTTATATTTATAAATTTTAAATATAGCCTTAACTAATTTTATTATTGTTTAGGTCCAAGCATAACATAACCAGCCAGCAATGGCACGCTTGCAGCATTGACTCTTAGAAGAGGAAGGATATGGTTATCATTCTTGTTTTAACTTAGGTTTGAAAGCATTATTTTATTTTCCAAAACAACACTTAATTTCAAACCTTACTGGACCAGAGCTCAGGTAAAATCAGAGCTAGATGATAAAGGCGAAATGAAAAGCATTGAGTGTGATTCCATTGAAAGCAACAGCTTGAAAACTCATGTTGACAATTAGCACCTTAATTTGCTTTCTGATCATTGTATTAAAAATCAAGTTATGTTAGGATTTTTAATTTGGTTTGGCCCTGAAGTGCTTTGAGGTCATATAATTGACTGCAATCTAAATGCATGTTTGCTTATCCCTCACTATGCTCATAAATGTATTTTTAAATGTTCCTTATTTTATGTACGATTCCCTGGATGGACAGTGTGCATGAAGCATACCAACCACCTCTGCTAATATAAAACAGGCCTGTTGGCCCAACTGTCTCTGTGGTGCCAAGCTAGTATTTCTGAAATTGTTTCATGCTAGAAATGCTAAAATGCACTTTATTATTATTGTAGGATGAGTTGGGATGACTGAGTTATGTAACTCCAGGTGGCTGATATGCTTTATGCACGTAGTCCACTGATGCCAGCTCTGAGAATGTGAGAACAGACTTGGGCTGACATGAGATTAGATTTCCTTTCAAATATAATTGGGCATGCCTATCCCTGGTTTTAGTTGAGCCAACCAAATTATTCAGTGAGTTTACTTAAATATAGTGAGTTGTCCTGAAAGTAAGGACTATCATCAGCCCCAAGCAGACTTTTTTACATTTGAATGTTTTCTTTCAAGATGGTGCCATGGTGATGCATAATAAATGAAGTGGGGAAAAAATTGGGCATTGTAGACACTTACATTTAATTTCTAATGAAAGCCATCTGAAAATATTGTAGCACATTACTTCTTGATTTAATTAGTACATACTTCCATAAGCTAAGACAGTGATTGGGGACTACTTTTTTCCCTTTCTTTACTAGGCTGTTTTCATCCTCTTGCTCACACTGTCAGAACCCTTTATACCCTTTTTAGCTTTACCAAGGCCAGCTCAAGCAATAGCTCAAATTTTCTTTGAAAGGATTTTATCCCAATCCAGTTAGACCCATGTCTGGTTGTGAGTGGGTGTGTCTGGTGAACCACCACTACCTCCATAAAGACCTTTGCTGTGAGAGCTTGTGACAGAAGCTCTTGAGGCATGAGCGCTTCCCTGCATAAACAGTGAAAGTACAGCCTTGTGACTGTATACCATCATGAGCTTCTCTGTGTGTGTGTTTTTGGATGTGTGTGCTTGTGTGTTGCAGTCCGCTGAACATAAATATGTATATTTTGTGTGTGTCGCAGACAACTTCACAGATGCAGCGGTGAGTGGTAGGATCAATGGTGAGCATAAAGAGAAAGATCTAGAGCCCTGGGATGGAGGAGAGACCCACAACTCTGACAGCCTTGAGTCTCTCGATACAGATGTGGTAAGAAAACACACAAACACATTTGATGTTGCACGGAATGCATGGAATCCACACAGGCCTTCATGTGATGACTAGTAAATTTGACAGTGAAAGAGAGAGAGTAAAAAGAGGTGTCATGTGATCCATAGCATTGATAATTTGTCCATTGGCCTTTTCTGAAATTCTCTCTGTGCCCTTCTCTCTCTGTTCATATCAGTCAAATGGGTGGGACCCTAATGACATGTTCAAGTACAATGAGGAGAAGTATGGAGTCTTGTCTACATATGACAGCAGCCTGTCCACATATACGTAAGTTTCTCTGTTCATGTGTGACTCTCTATGCACTCCTAATACAGCATGTATATTTAAAATTACACAATGTGTTTTCTGGAAATATTTTTAATTTCTCCGGTCATTAACCTATACCGTCTCACTCTTTTTAGTTTGACTTCACATGACACAAGTAAAAACCTGAAATCAGTTCTTCCTTAGTCCTTCCATTACCCTGCTGCCCTTATCTGACCTGAGCTTGTTTCCCAGGGTCCCCCTGGAGCGGGACAACTCAGAGGAGTTCCTCAAGAGGGAAGCGCGTGCTGCCCAACTGGCAGAGGAGATTGAGGCCAGTGCTACATACAAGGCCCGTGTGGCCCTGGAGAATGATGACCGCTCTGAGGAGGAGAAATATACTGCTGTGGTGCGAGGGGAAAGGGAGACTCACACACTTAGCAGGTGAGACCAGACAAAGCATAGAAACTTCGGGTCAATACATACTACTTGTGCTGGCAAGTGTGTGTCAGCGCATAGCTTGTAATTATGTAATGACAGATTTCATTCATGACCAGCATGTGCCTATCAAATTTCATTCATTCTCATTGTTGGTAATTGCTCTTGATGTGTGCTACAATACCAGCTCATTTAAAACATAGCAGCACAACACAACACTGCAACAGTTACATACTCCATTATAAATTTTAGTTTAAACTTGTAAATATTATCATTAAATGTGCATATTGCAAAGTCATGGAGCTTGCCTGGAAATGAACAACATCAGCAGCTTTATTGTTAATTTTTGCATACTTCCTCACCTGTAGGTCTGTCAGAACATACATCATTCATATTTTGTTGTTGTAAATGATTCATTGAACTATTCCTTTCACCCTTTTATAAACAAGTTAGAACATGTTAATGCAGTAAAACCGATTATAAACATCATCAGAGAATTTATCATCTGGGAGGGCTGATGAAAGAACTTCAAAGAGGTGCATTGCACACACTTGAATGCACACTCTACATTCTTCCTTTCCAGTGCCTGTTATTTTATAAAGACCAGGAAATGATCTATATACCATCATGATGTATACTATATTTATTTCAATTTTCTTTATAGTAGCATGTCATACATCACAGATCAGGATTATTTTCATAGGACTTTGAGCATGTAACCATGAAAGCACAAGGATTAGATGACATAGACTAAATATACCATATATGAATAATGCTTGGAGACAAAGTGGGCCTGTAGTGGAAGAGCCCAGGCACAGGCAAGAGAAGCATATCCGAGCCTTAAAGGGAGACAAAGTAGTTCCAGCTAATTCACTAAGTAGACAGCAGCTGTTCTTAGAACAAATACTTCCTCAGTAATTAAAGAAAACGTGCTCATTTTGGCTGATGAAAAGTACTTAGTTGAATGTAACAGAGTGTAGAATTAATTCCTCCCCTTTGTTATCTTGATATTGCCTTGTATATATTTAACTAAACCATCTGCCTCTATTTTCTGTGTGTGTGTGTGTGTGTGTGTGTGTGTGTGTGTGTGTGTGTGTGTGTGTGTGTGTGTGTGTGTGTGTGTGTGTGTGTGTGTGTGTGTGTACACATGTGCATATGTGCAGAGAGAATAAGTACNTGTGTGTGTGTGTGTGTGTGTGTGTGTGTGTACATGTGCATATGTGCAGAGAGAATAAGTACATTCCTCCAGGTCAGAGGAACAGGGAGGCGATGTCATGGGGGCCGGGACGCCAGAATTCACCTCGTCTGACTCAGAGCTCAGCTGGGCCCTCAACTCCTCGACCAGGACCTCATGACTACAGTCCCAGCTCCGGTGCTGACCAGAGGGTGGTGAACGGAGGTACATTTTAATACATCACACACAAACTCATGGTGTTACTTGCCTCTAAAACATACAGAGGTGTATTGTATGATGAGTGAGTTGGTCAGTATAGTGACCCAACTGTGACTGGAAAAGATTTTTTTCCCCCATTTTATCTCCCTTGTTAAACTGATGTAATGTTGGTGGTGACTTTGGTTTAGAGTCTCTAGGATGTCCATGTCTGTTGTTGCGGTTAATTATTTTTATGCATTTATCATACTTTTACTGATTTCAATTAAATCATTGTATTCCTGCCTTGCCATGCTTTCTCATATTTATTAATCTCCCCCTTCTTTCTATTCCTGCTGTACCTTTATTTCCTCACTTTAGCTGGTTATCATCTGCTCTTTGTCATCCATGATCATTTGTCCTTCCCTCTCTTAGGTTCATCCCATTGGCCCTCACCCTGTCCGTCTCCTTCCTCCCGCCCCCCCTCTCGTTACCAGTCTGGCCCCTCCTCCCTGCCTCCTCGGGCAACCACGCCCACCCGGCCACCCTCCAGACCCCCCTCTCGACCTTCCAGGCCTCCCTCTCATTCATCCCACCCCTCCTATCCCTCCTCCTCATCCTCCTTTTCCCACCATGGGCCCACGTCGCCAGCCTCCACTCTGCCCAAACGCATGTCTTCAGAAGGTACCCACATCAGTGTGGAGTTGACCTGGGCAAAAGTTTGAGTTGAAGGTGGATGGATTGAGCTCAATATGGAACTGATATTCCCAGTCGTTTTGAAAGCTGTTTGAAGTTTATTAAAAGTTTAATATGGGAGCTACTTTCAAAAATAAATTTGCCCAGGTCTAGTGTGGAACAACACAAATAGGTGAAGTTGGCTCTTCAGACTGATTTGGGGTCAGATTTGCAATTTCCACACAAATGGAAATTGTGAGGATTTAGTAAGCCACAAAGCTGATCCTTTGTCAGTGCATCAGGCAGTTTCACCTTGGCATGTGGGTGCATCACAGTGTGCTGTGCTTTCTGTCTAGCAAGAGTTGTGCCACCAGAGTTGTGTTCTGCTATGTTCACCCTCAAACACGCTTAAAACAATAAGCAAGCCTATATCCTCTTAGTCCTTGTTTCATGTAAAATCCAATGATATGGAGTACTGAGCTAAAAGATCTGCCACTGCCCAAGTACCTATGGATCATTTTTTATTATTTACAAATGTTTATACAGTGAAATGGCAAAATATTCAGCTAGTGTTTAGCTAAAGATTTTGCACTGGGCTGCTGCCTGTGAGACAGACACTGCTCATGTAACTGCACAAACTCTGCTAAACAGTGAAGTCTTTAAAAAATGGGTTCTCACCTCACCTGCTCTACTCTGTTTTCCTGTTTCTCATCTCTCACTTCACTCGGTCGTGGTTTGAAAAGTGTGGTGTGATCACTTTACAGGACCATTTGCAGTTTCTCCACTAACATGCATGTCACCAAATAACACCACTGTATGATATGATATTTAAACATTAGATTAATATGTAGTCGGTGCAGATTTTTTGGGTTTTGAAAAGCTTTTGAGAGACGCAAATGAGCTTCAAAGAGAAACCACAGCAGGATGGTTGGAAACACAAGCTGTTCAGTGTGTTTACTTCACCTCCACTGTCTGTTTATGGAATTCTGTCTTTATCTCCAGGTCCACCCAGGATGTCTCCAAAATCCCAGCGGACGCCTCGTGCTCACAGAGTGCCACCCAGCCGGACCACTGGTGTCCCTCCAGGAGTGGACTTAATTTCCCACAATGCCCCTGGGGAGGTACCAGTGACTCCCCCAACTAGGAGCAACTCCTCTGGAGGCACATGGTCCTCAGTGGTTAGCGGAGGTAGAATAGTTCTTTCCTTTTTTCTCTTGTATTTCTTTCCTCTTAGTGTGTTTTTATTGTAATACATTTCCAACATATGAACACAAGAAGAGCACAGATATTTCGCAATGGAACGTATCTGCAAAGAAGATAGGATATATGGTTAAGCATCACTGGATAACCTGGGCACTTCACTCATTTCATCATAGAATTATTAAAAAAGCACCTTATGCTACAGTAATCATTTGAGTAATGTTGGCCAGGAAATCAAGATGGTTTAACTTACAGCAAGGTTATGTCTTTTTCCCCTCCTCAGCTCACAGACCTCGCTCCCCCCGACAGAATAGTATGGGTGGGGCGTCCCCTGGCTCCTCCTCCCTCCCGTCACCCCAGACAGGAACAGCTCCTGTGGAAACTGCTGCTACACCAACATCAGTTTCCTCTCCTACTGCTGCTAGCCCTGCTCCCAACATGGTCGCCTCTCCATCAGGAGATGGTAAGCTTAAAGTGAACCCCCACTTTCACTGAGAGTAGATAAGGTACTAAGAAATGCCAAGAATGATCTGAAATACCTGATTTGTCTGTACTTAGATTTGATGTTTCAATGCAGGTTCTATTACTGTCAGAAGCACTGTTCACAAATGCTTGCTCTGCTTTTATGCTGGATGTAAACGTGCAGTTTTTTTTGTCTGTTCTTTATAGCAAAAGAGTGTCGTGTTCAGGAGACAAGACAAACATCCCCCACGGCAAACAAGGAGAACATCAAGCCTTTGGACAGCTCACCTAGTATCACCAGACCAGTCTGTAAAGGTACAGTATACACTGGAGTGGTGCAGTATGTGCTTCAGAAAACACTGTTTCAGACATTTGAGTACTGTGGGGCTTTATCAAAAAGATTGTGACGAAGAGACCATGTGCTGAGACACCTGTTTTTATTTATTTAGCTGTCGTAATATAATTTTCTCGTAACGACTGAAACCTGCAAGTCACGTCTTTCTTTCTCTACTCACTCATAGGACCCCCTTCTATGGCACCAGACCACAGAAAACAAATAGATAATTTAAAGAAATTTAGTGTAGATTTTAGGGTGAGTATGTCTTTTGTTCATATGGTATAGAAATGCTGAAATTCTGACATAACTAACCTCATGTTAATGAGCCTGCACTAGAACTTATGTCTGCCTCCTCTAACTTTTCCCTCCTCCAGTTGCAGTCTAGTTCAAACCCAGACCCTGCCTTTGACCAGATGATGACCAAGCCACCCAGAGATCAAGCAGACAAGCCTAAAGACCTTCCCCTGGACAAAGCCTCCACAGTGGGGCGAGAGGGCACTGAAGAGGGTGTTGTAGGGATTGCTGCTGGCACCCCCGGTGGTGCCCCTGCTCCATCCACTACCACCACAAACACCAGTAAGCCTGGCAGCCCTGCTGCACTGTCCCCGTCTCCCTCAGCCCCGGACCAAAAGAGGGCAGGGCTGGATGTGACATCGCAGGGAGTTCAGACGACATCCACATTCAGTGGACCCAAGCATGAAGAGAAAGAGGAGAAAAAGGAGGCTGTACAAGAGTGAGTGGAAGGGACAGTATGGTTTAGAGGGGAAACTGTACAGTCTGGTGATACTCTCTATTTCTCCTATTATCAGCAAATCCAATGAAAAGACCAAAATCAACACAGATTTGATCCTAACAAGTATTTTCTGTGTAGTCAAAGCCTGATATTTTATTGGTCTGTGCCATAGAGCTCCATTGTGGTCCAAGAACTAGACATTATTGTGCTACACCTTTGCACTGGGTTACATGTTCCTTCATCACTGTGGACATGGACATGTAGTTTATTTAATCCCACATACACATTCTGTTGCCAGAAATACTAACTAGAGCATCACATGTGTATCCATCCACTGCAGAAAATGGCCTCTAACTAATACATTATTTATACCTGTTTTAGCAACATTTGCTAAAGTTTGCTTGTTAAAGCAATAAAAAAAAAAAAAAAAAAAAAAAGTACTTATTGTTGATGTTAACTTCTTCACTGTTGGTTCTCGTCCTGCAGTCAAGTGAGAAAATCAACCTTGAACCCAAATGCCAACGAGTTCAAACCCAGGTTCAATACACAGGTCAGTATGCCATGATGCTGCCAGACTGCACATTTTGAATACCACAAACTGAGATTGATAATCCACTTATTTTTTATGTCTCTTGCCGTGTCTGTCTCTTTACATACTTTATCAGCCCAAACCAGCCAACACCCCAACACCCCCCCGGCCTCAGGGCCAGCCCAGCCCCTCCATCGTGGTCCAGCAGCCCCCGGCTGTTTACAGTCAGACAGTCTGCTTCCCCCAGATGTATCCCCTCACACCAGTCAGCCCTGGAGTGCAGGTGAGACACACAGCTGCATGCTGAAATGTTGAGTGTGGAGACAGATGTACTTGTTTCTAGTCAGTGCAGATCACCCCAAGTATCACATTGAATTAGTATGAAATGCAAAGTTCATTAAAACAAATCCCTGACTAACAACCATCACCTTGAGATCTGCCAACATGTTTGCTTACGTTTGTCCCCATTTGTTATCTTTCTTTCCTTTTCTGTCCTTGATTAATCTCTAAGGCATGTCATCATTATTTTCTCCATATTTCTTTCCGTCCTTTATTTTTAGGAAGGCTCATCTCGCAATTTTTGTAATATTGTTTTCTTTGTACACCAATGTACAGAACATGTGCATCCTTCATCATCACTTTTCTCTCCTCTGTCATCTTCCAGACATTGTTATTTGTCTAAATTATTTTTGCTGAATTATTTGAAAAATGTTAAACAAGCTTGGAAATGTTTAAAGAAAAGAAGTATATGAAATTGTTATACAGTATGATGACAAAATACTATTTTTAATCACTTTCATAGCACTTATTGAGAGTTTTTTTGCGTATTTTTTGATGAAAGCTATTATATTTTTAGTTGTAAATCTATATTTTTGCCTGTGTTGCTTTAAGAAAAACTTGGTGATCCAACATCAGACACGTGTAAAAGATAAAAATACCTTGGTGAACAACTAAAGAGTGGTTCTTTTTTCCTTTTCTCCCCCTCCTCCTCCTCTCTCTCTCGCTCCATTAGAAAAGCATAATATGGAAGGTTTGTGAAGATTTCTATTTTTTAAATCCTTTTGTTTTTTTTTTGTTTTTTTTTTAAAGCCCAATCAGTACTGAGATGTTTTGCTTGCTTGTTGAATTAATGCCATCAGATGTTGGTTTGCCAACTTCTTATTGCAATTCATTTAAACTGTCATCACAGATGGATCTATAACTTCATCTTATTTCTATTGGCTTCATCTGTTTACCAGACAAATGCTGTAAGCTAATAGGAGTTTAAGCCTCTTTGTTTTTGCTGCAGTACTGTTTGTGATAGAAATGCATGGTATACAATATGAAGGATCGGAGGATGACGAGCAGTGCTTGGGTTATACTTATAAGTTGTAAAACACCCAATGATAGACAGGTATAGAAAATGCATGTGGCCCCAGGTAAGAGATAATTCCCACAATCTCACATGCACATATGTGTTTTTAAAATGTTTTTTATATGTTAACTACTAAAGCAACAGTTTAAATCTGAATAGTGTGTGTCCAGCCCCACAGACAGGTAGTAGTCCCACACAAACAGCACAAATTCAACTGTTCTTAGTCGATGGCTGGTTTTCATTCTTGTAGACATATTGCTGAAGTCCCCTGAGAAGATTGAGTATAAACCTATGTTCTTCATTTTCAATTCTCATTCCCCTCCTCCCTCTAGTCTCCAGCTATGTACCAGGTTCAGATGCCTCATATGACGGTCAGCCAGTCTAAACCCTACAGACCAGGTAAAGGTGAGAATAACCAATTTCTCTCATTTCATTTCCCTCCCACTTGTTTCTCTCTCTCTCTCTCTCTCTCTCTCTTTCTCTGTCTCTCACAAAAGTTTACTAAATACATCTGTTTGGGAAAAATTACTGTATTGGCCCCACTATTTTTTCTAGATATTAAGATTCATTACATTCATGGATCTTTATTTATTCACAACCTAGATCTTTATGGATACACAGCATTCCCTTCACTTGGATTAGCTACATGAATGTTGTATTGATAACAGGCATCACTTAGAGGCATTTCTCATTACAGAAGCTTTTTCTCTTACAATAGTGAACGGACTTTCCCATCAGGACAAATCTGATCAAGTGTTTCTTGGAAAAGGGAGGTTGGTTTTTTATTAGGGCCAATTCAGTCAAAAATCTGCTTCTTTCCAAAGTAGCAGTAGTTTTTCTCACTCCTCCGTGATTCTGTTTAGTTCAGATTTACGAGATGTTAACATAATCTCTAACATGAATCTCCAGTACCCAACATGACCCAGCAGAGGTCAGACCAGCACCACCCACCAGGCACGCCCACCATGATGCACCCAGCGACGGCAGCAGGACCACCTATTGTAGCACCAAGCCCTGCCTACTCTACCCAGTACTTCACCTGCAGCCCGCAGCAGTTCACCAGTCAGCCGCTGGTCCAGCAGATGCCTCACTACCAGTCACAGGTAAGATTTACTCTGTCACTAAAAGTATCAGAACATCAGCAATATTCAGCAATGCTCAACCCAGCCGGCTCCTCTATTAAAAACCATATGTAACTATTCCAGTTACTCTGGTAACATCAGTAGTGCTGGCAGTCCTCATCTCTCCCAGCTGTTCACTAGTCAGCCATTTGTCTGTCCGATGCCTGCGGTCCAGCAGCTTGACAGGCAGCCGGCATGATGCCATGTGTTTCAGCACTTCTTAATTGTGGAGTTGACTGCAGGCTCCTGCCTCTTAACACCTGAAGTGTTGTTACCTGTTTGCAAACAGGCTGCGATACAACAGCTGCAGGAAAACAGAGGCAGTGAGGAGGTTGGCTTCAGGGTGTTTAAGGGTAACATAATGACCACATTGATAAGAAACGGGTATTTCATTGAGTTTTATTAGGGTTAATTAATAAAACTGACAACACAATTTCGTCTAAAAAATGGGTTGAGATAATGAGTAAGGAAGGGAGAAGGAGACACAAGACTAACTTCATTAGGTACTAATTTCACTGCAGTTACTTAAAGCACAAAAAAAATCAAGCTCAAGCTATTTTTTGAACAAAACCTACTCAAGGCTCAAATTTAAACTAAAAGGATTAGTGTTTTTTGTTTTGAGTATCATTAGAAATGAACATTGTTATTGACAGAACAATACTTGACGTTTGGTTGTGGTTTGAAAATGATAGTTTTAGAAATGTAAGCTTTTTTCCCTACAAAACCTTGTTTTTATTTAACAAAAAAGCCAAACTTCTAATTGTTACATTTTGTTTCAACATGAATGGCCACACACGAACATTGACTTAATAATAAACTGACTAAAATTGGCAACATTTCAAATTTAAACCAGGAAATAACACATCAGACAGGGGGCGGGTTTCACAAAGATATCTGACTGGTCTGTAGTTTTGATCCACTCTTAATTTTGCTCATAGATTAGTGTAATGCAAGTAAGACTGTTTCACAAAAATAAAGACTAATAATAATAATAATAATAATATAAGGCAAAACATTTTAAGGCAAAAAAATTAGACATCTTATCCCCAGGCTAACTCAGGCCTAAGACCAATGTTACCATGGTAACAATCAGTGGCACCTGCACTGAGCTGTAGCACCTAACAATGAAAAACAGGAAAACATGGTTTATAATTTGTGATTTGCTACAATCGTTATGGAGAGAGCGAAATGAAGAGAGAGTTTAGAGGCCGGAGTGTTTTTTTTTTGTTTTGTTTTGTTTTTCAAAATTAGATTTTTCTTTTTATTTAGTTTCACTCTTTGCAGTTGGATGTGGTTCCTCACTTGGGCTTTTTTTTTTTTTTTTTTTAGTATTTGATGCTTGATGCTACATGATGTTGGTACCAAAAAGGGTTACACAAACACAGGCTCTAATGTCGTCTCTGTGTGTCCTTCAGCCGCAGCATGTGTTCAGTCCGGTAATGCAGGGGAGCGCCAGGATGATGGCACCTCCTACGCACGGACAACCCAGCCTCGTCTCTTCCTCAACTACACAGTACCCAGAGCAGACACACACCATGTATGGTATGTCAGCCCACCACTTGTGCATGTTCATATAAGTATGCAATGAGCAGCTAGGATGTGCAGGCAGTGTTATGTGTACTATTTTAATACTTTTATTCTTACAAACACTGTTTCCTTTCTCACAGTGTCTCCAGGGCCGATGCCTCAGCAGTACCCCCACCCCAGCGCCACCTTGCACCCTCATCCACAGCACCCCCAGCCCTCTGCCACGCCTACAGGCCAAGCCCAGCAGGGTGGTCCCCCACAACATGGAGGTCCTCCTAGCCATCCAGCTGCCAGCCCAGTCCAGCACCCACAGCACCCGCAGGCAGCAGCAGGTCAGTATGTTAAGGTTGGACGCTGTAACTTTGGAGCTGGACATTTTCAAATGAAGAACTATAGTCACGTGTTGTGTTTTTGTGTGTGGTAGCGGCAGCAGCAGCCCAGGCCCTCCACCTGGCCAACCAGCCCCCACAGCAGCAGATGTACTCGGCCTTGGCGCCCACGCCCCCCTCCATGACCCCGGGGCCCAACCCTCAGTCTCCCCAGGCATCGTTCCCCTCTGCCCAGCAGACTGTCTATATCCACCCGCAGCAGGTGCAGCACGGCTACAACCCCAACCACATGGCACACGTGCAGCAGGTAGGTCACAACCTGCTATCAGCCTGCTGGACAACAACCACAATAGTTCCAGCAAAGTTATCAGATTGGCAGTGTTTCCTGTACGGGATTTTAAATGTGGTAGTGAGGAAATCTGGGATCAGTTCCAGCAGGTGTTTGAGTTTATGAATGGGTCATACTTGGGTGTTGATAAGCTGCAAGTGCAGTGGATGTTTTTTTGGCAGTGTGTCCAGGTTTATGTTAGAATGTGCCTCTCACTTTGGCCTAGTTGTTTATATCAGTTTTAGTTGGCACACTACAAGATACAGAGGAAAAACAAACCTTTTTCACTGATCAAAAGACAGTCCAGCCATGATAATTCCATGTAGCAAAATAGAAATTCTGCAGTGATAACTTTTTGGGGTACCCATGGAGGTTTGGCCCTTTTTTCTGTCTTTATAGCAATAGGTCACCATCTTGGAATGGAAACTTATTTGCTTTGTTTAGAGAGTCAGATGAGAAAGTTGATCAATCCCTGTGTCTGTGTGTAAAATATGGAGCTTGAGTCAAGTGGTATGACTATTTCTTGACAAACAGCCACACGGAGTGACCGTGTGCAGACACCCGGAGACTTGTCGTGATGTTGCCAGGTGTAGCACCTTCACCCCTGTACAGAGACCCTTTATATCCAAATCTGCGCTCACCGGCTGTATCATGCAGCTCACACTATAGTCAGAAACGCTGCACAAAAATGCTTGCCAGACGAGCACTAAACTCAGCACTCACTGTACATTTGTGTCATCACCTGCTGTATGAAAGTCTTTTGATGGCATTGTTTTCTCAGTGGTTAAAAATGAGCAGAATTGGAGTTGCTTTTACTATATTTAAGAGCTTGATGGAATGACAGAGTTTGAGCCACAGTTAGTTTGAAGAGAGATTATTAATCATTGTGTTTGCTGGAGGGATCTAGTGCTTTATGCTTTATTCCATCCATCCTCCGCTGTTTCATAAGCACAGATTTATCTTTTCATGTGACACCTGTCGGTAACACACAGGCAGGAGCTGTGGCTGTTGTGGCACTGATGTCCATCCGTTTCATCTCTTTAATGAACTTGTCTCTTGTCCATCTGTTTGTCTCTCACTGTCATTCTCACTTTCTATTACACCTTTGCACTTGCTGACACACACACACACACACACATACACACACTTTCACTCACACCTAGGCCCATATGCAGTCTGGTATAGTACCGTCTCACCACCCGGCACCCACCCACCCCCCGATGATGCTGATGGCTACCCAGGGTCCTCCAGGGGGTCCACAGCCACCCATGCCCCAGACTGCCCTCAACCCCATCCCTGTTTCCTCCACCACACATTTCTCCTACCTGGCACATCCACAAGGTATGTTTATTTTATTAACTAGCACACTCCTGCGGAGTGGAGTCAGGAACACATATGTTGTATATTTTTTTCCCTCTGAAGTAAGGAGATCTACATGATTACTGTTTCATTGTACCATATTGTTTCAAGTATGTGTACATTTAGGCATCTAAATGAGTAACCCTTTATGGGTTATACAGTGTGCACACATCTAAATTTGTAGATGATAAGTGCCTACGTTAGTTGTCCCAAGACAGTTGCATGAATTGTACCAAGAATAGTTGTAGTCTACGCTGATCTGCCGCAGTTTCCGGGTCTGTCATGACTCCAGATGGCTTGCTGGGTCTGGCTGTCTGATATCTAACAATCACATCTACCAGAGAAACAGACTGAAAAAAGACTAAATTATTCAGGCACTATTTCTCAACAAAATATTATCAAGAGGTGAAGCCATGGCAGACGACCAAACTGTGGGTGGATTCTCCTTTTTAAGTTTCTTCCGACCCAAAGTCGCTAATGCTAGCTAATCAGCTGTACTGTAATATTAGGCTGATGTTTTGTCAAGAAACTGGAAGTAGATGAATAAGTAACTAAGTTTCTGTGCTGTTGGTGCAGAAATTATTTTTAAAGCAGATATAGCTGCCAAGGATAACCTGTATTTTCTCAGGGTATGTTTAATGATAATAGCCTTGCAAGTTTTCCGTCATGACTTATCCTTTTTGCATTGCAAAACATAAAAATCAATTAAGAGACAGATTCCCTCTTTGTTTCTCCAGTGTTTTGGCAATAAAAAAGAGGATTGTATACTAAAAAGACTAACATTGGAAGATATTTGTCTATGTCAGACTGCTGAAGTCATATATTATCTTAAGATAAACTTTGGGTATGTATTTTGCACAGAACGAAGACTGGATATTGTCAGCTTTTACACTGAAGGCACATTAGGAAGAAATCTCTGTATGTATGATCAGGAGAAAGCATGTTTAATTCACATTGACATTCACAATGACTATGACTACTGATTAACCCACATGAAAAAATTTAAAAGAACTTTGTGCTTGGAAAAAAAAACAAAAAAAAAAAAACATTTTTACTGTTTTGATCACATCACCCAACCTTTTACTTTTAATGTACTTTTTATTGTATAACTGTGGACAATCCTAAAATCCATGAACTTTACATTTCCCCCATTTTGTCTCGTCTCTGCAGTGCAGCCTCATCATCAGCAGCAGCTGTAGATAGAGGGCGCCAGTGAGCTGAGGGACCCGCTCTGCGTCGCGCTTCTCAACCAGAGCCTTCATAACCAGGCGATGAAGAGAATGAGAGCCCTCCCTCTCCTCTCTTTCCTCATCCTCACCAGACATGCTTCACATCAGCTTTTCTCTTCCTTCCCTCCCCTCCCCTCCCCTCCCTCCCTCCCAGACTAGGCAATAAGAGAATGTTAACAGGTTGTTGCAGTGACATGTTTTAACAAGCTAGAGATTTTTAACGGACAAGACTGCTCCAATTCAGCCCCTGTACACATGCAGATATCACAGACACATACACACACAGACGCACACACAAACAAAACGCCCAGACACACACACACACACACACACACACACACACACACACACACACACACACACACACACACACACACACACTTACTTTCAGGGGTCCCAAATTGCAACTTGAGTCAGCTTGCCAAGTAAGACATGAAAGAGAGAATGAGAGTAACTAATCAGTGAGAGTGAAGCAGAAAATTCAACTGGAACTTGTATTTTGTCTGCACCTTGTTACGGGAAAAAAAATCTTCCAACTTTTAGACAGTATTAATCTTACTGTTTATTGCTGCTGCTTTGTGCTGCGTTTGTTTCCAGAGTACATGACAGGTTTCTAACCAAACTAAAAATGAAACATGACAAGAAGCTTCCTGTGAAATAAACACATTTTGGCAGCCAAGAGGACAGGAGAAATGTTATTTATGAAATTATAATGGCTGAGGTGATCAGATCCCACGTCTCACCTGACCCTTATGTAACTTTTAAGTTAAAACTTTTACTTTGTAGATAATATAAATAATTTAAAAAATGAGCAAAAAAATTTAAAAACAATAAAAAAGTTTTAAAAACTGAATGGCTTACTGTGGTTGCATTGCATTGTGTGTTTTTCATCTGTTCCTTCTTGACCATGAACATGGGCATTGTAGTTTCTGTTTCTGTTATTCAAGGAGACATATACAAGAAGATATTTCCATCACATGAGCAGTCATCACACATACACACACATTAATTAAAACATTCAGAAATATTATAACTGTCATTAAGTAGAACGCCACACACAGGGTGGGGAATTCATCAAGTATTGATAGACGGACTAATGCATGGTGTGTTACGGTCTTTTCTCTGCAACTATTTTGATAATCTGTTAATCATTAAATAATCAACCAGAAATGCTGGCATTTGCTTATACAGCTTATTCCTAGGAAGGATTTGTCTTATACGATAATGAATTGAAAATCTGTCAGTTATAGACTGGTCATCAGGTCGGGCTGTGGGAAATTGTGAAACAGACATTTTTACTATTTTCTGAGGTCTTGCCAAACCAAACTGGCAACCGTTAACTTGGAAAATAATTAGATTATTGACAATTACAATCATCATTCATTCCAGCCCCAGACTTATTTTTAGTGAAAACAAATATTTTAACACTAGTCATTTCCTTTTTAAAGCTATTTTGTGGCAAAATAAAGTTAATGATTTACAGAGCTTGTTAAAAGGACAAGTAAAGTGTCAGGCAGGAAGAGGATTTTCCACAATCTGGCAACGCAAAAGTTGTTGTTAATGGCTTATAACTGATCTGTAAATTATTTATTAATCGTAAATAAAGCCATCAGGAAGTGGTACTGTTGTAATCTTATTTAGACTTGATGGCGAAGGCTACATTTGGTATCCTGCCTTTGAGTGAATCCACCAGCATTTTTCCAGGGCCAGATGGCCTAAAACACCAGGTAAGAACAGATGCATTTATCTGCACCCTGTCCAACCTCATCCATCACCTGAACAGTGAATATCTTGAACTAGTTCATCACATGCTCATTATTTTGTACAGCATGTACCAGAAGAACAAGATTACACACAGTGCACACACATACAAACAACAAACTGATTTTTTTTTTTTTTTTGGTTAGGTTTATTTTACAAAAAGTCAAATATACAGTTGATATATATTTAATATAATTTAGATGCTTATAACTGAAAGGGATGCAAACACAATGACAGATTGTAAAAGCTGTTTTTGTTTTCATTCTTTTTCATTGTTCCACAATTTCATTGTTGAAGTATTGATGAGTTAAACTGGAATGTTTACAGTGCGAAGTTCAAAAAAGGAAACAGAATGAACAGTATTGAGAACACATTACATTCATCAACTGGACATTTTAATGTACACATGGGGGGGGGGCACTAAAGGTGTTGCTGGAGTGGATGCTGAGGATTAAAGACACCTGAGGTACACTGGGATCTTCTCTAGCATTAACTCGATTCTGAAGACAAACTGGAGTGAACCACGAAACAAAATTAGAAGCCATAAAGCAACAGCAAAATGTTCTGGGAAATGTGGCATTGTCAAATATTTTTTTAACATTGAATTCTCACCCAATTAATTCATCCATCTAGAAGCCTCTGATCGCTCCCTACATGCATAAAAAAAAGGTGTGAAGCACTGAGCATCTCTCAGATATTGCACTACACAAGTTTTGCACCACATCACACCCTGAGCTTTTGAAAAGGGGAAAAGCAACAGCAGCTTTCTGGCAAAGGCACAGTCATTCTCCCTAAAAGAAAGAAAAATAAAAAACAACATAAAATCAGCATAGAAAGGGGACTGATAGCCAAAATAGTTAGTTACCGTTGCTTTTGTTTAGCAGAAATGAAAAAGAGGTGATGAGGGATTTGTTTAGACTCGGGCGCATAAAGGCAGGAAGACCAACCGTACTTTTGCCAAAAACGTCCTTGTTTTTGTTCCCCTTATAAACACTTCAAAGATGTCAGTCTTGATCATGATGATACATTTAAAGAGAACTATACAACCATTGTAAAAAATGTTCCTTTGGTAGACAAAGCTGACTTATTGCGTAAGAAGAGGAGTAATCACAGAGGACTTACTCTGGTCATACTCATGAGGAAATGAAGTTGCATTTATGTATTTCTCTTTAAAAGAAAAAAAAAAGAAAAAGAAAAAACAGGTAACTACAATGATAAAGAGGGCAGACAGACAGAATCAAGTCTAAACCATATATCAAGCACAGGTTTACTGAAGGTAAATCTAAAATCAACTGCTGAAGTTAGTGTTAAAGCAAGGTTAGAAGACAAACGGACAAGTCCTAGCACACTATTCCCCACAGGCATCCCGCAGCTAATGGAAGTGAAGCTTCAGTTAACTGAGACAAAATTACAGACAATTTGACATTTCATCCTTGGGCAAATTAGATTACTACTGCTTTTATGTGAACAAGTGATCACTGTTTATGGGATATTCTGCATCTGTTTTCCAAAAATAAAATGTTTTTGAAGGTTTCCATCTTCAAGAGGAGAGATGAGGTTCAAAAGAGAGAGCGAATCTGAAACAAATCTGATGAGGCCACAAGCTGATCTTTTCATTTCTGGCTCAAGACAGAATCACCACAAGGTTCAGATCAGTTTGGGTTAAAATCAGGTTTTTAGGTACTTTTGAGGAAACTCAGACCTGATGGTGGATGAGATGAAACACCACAAACAAACTGGACACCAGATGAGAGTTGCTTTCTTTGATAAAGACTTGTTTGTTTGGTGTTTTTCTGTAGAAAAAAAAATGTATGACAATAAAATTCACACCCAAGTTGAGTGATGTACTATCTATTATCTATCTATTATAGTCAGTGCAGCTTTAAACTGGTGGTTAAAACCTCTAAAAGAATGATGACAAACTTGGAAGGCACCTGAAATTATTGACTCATCAAATCTAGTCAAAGAGCGCAGAAACATGAAGAACAATGTCTGATCATTGGTGTGTGACATCTCACGTGTCACTTTCAAAGCTTTTCTGACTGAAACCAAACCTTCCTCACAAAGCCTCTAATTAAAAACATGGAAGTTCTGTTAAAAAAAAAATGTAGATTGTAAAAATACATTATTTTCACAGTCCATCCTTGGTTTAACTATTAGCTGCTGTGGTGAAGAATTAATGCTATGAGTGTAAAAAAAAAAAGAAAGTAGAGCTGGAGACATGATGCTACTCCCAGAATCAAGATTTGCCTAAAGCTGTAAGAAAATACATGTTAACATCTACAGAGGCACCTGTGTGATTTCAGTGTCACTCTGGTTTTCAGCAGTTGCATCATATCACCATCCACTTTTAAAAGCCCTTTAAGGGTCTAATACTAGATTCTCAAACCATCACAAAACTGATGTGAAACAAACATTTTAAACCTGGACTGAAGTTTCCAGCGCTCTGACGCTCACTTTGGTGGAGAGTCCACACAAAGTTAAAACGACAAGATTAGGCAAATCATTTATTGACTTAGATTTAATTCCCACTTTGTTTTTGGTTTCCCCCTTTCACGGTCTTTGGAGTGAAGCCTTTCAAGTTTATGTCTTTTATTGGTCGCCTATTTTTACTCTATGTGTAAAATAATACATCTTGGTGCCAAGTCTCATTTTGGTGACACACAATACGCTTTATGCCACAAAATCAATACAAAGGAGTGAAATTACTTTAGTATAATTAATATCAGTAAGGCCGATGTTGTCCAGTCTCAGATTTTTAATTTTTCAATAATTTAGCAGCACAAAAATTTGTGAATGTGTTTTGTGAATGAGTATGAGGAAAGATGAGTTGATATAAGGTGATAATATCCAACTACATATATGTTATTGTTATTACATCATTCCATTTTCTTTGATTTTGTGGCAGAAATTATTTCTGTCAGACGATGTAAATTTTGTGCACATAATGCCTTTGGTGCTTGAAATGTAACGTGACACTAGAAAGAGACTTGAAGCTGATTTTGGAAAAGCCAGCAGTGACTACTGCGAGACAAAAATCACACAGACTCTGTACCACACTGAGATCAGCACAACTACACTTTCACTCATCTCACATACATTACAATGGACGCATCCAGACACGCACACACACAGACAGACAGACAGACAGACAGACAGACAGACAGACAGACAGACAGACAGACAGACACACACACACACACACACACACACACACACACACCACAAACAGCGATGAGTTCCCTCTGTTTCAGGCAAAAACGGTGCTGACAAAAGCTAATCTTGAATCATTTCTGTGGTTCTCTGCTTCAGCGAAGTTTTGACGGAGTGGAAGCGGTGCTCGATAAGTTTCTAGAAAATGCTGCCCTGACTGACTTTAACCAAGTTTCCCCTTTTTACTTTATTTATTTTTAATTTTTCTACAAAAGAATCTGTGTATAGAAAATATACACATTGTTTCCAAAGTGCACTGAAAGCAATGTGCACTTAAATATATAATAATGCGCAAGGGGAGGAATATCTACTAGAATGTAATAACACTCTAAAATAGAGTGTTTTTTTTGTTTGTGTTTATAAAAAAGGAGATTGCTCCACACTGGGAACTTTGTGTGAAGAGTAAATGTCTTTTAAATATTTAGAAGAGGCACTTGATTTAACCAGTTCTGCAGGCAGTGCTTTCCCATCAGTTCAGGTTAAGTGCCAAAGAATTTAAATCAAGCGCACCTCGTTGAATTCACCAGAATAGAAATATTTAAAAATATTTTTTCGGGCTCAAGGGCAGCCACACGTGTGGCTCACCTTCTCTCACACGGACCCTCAACATCAATAAAACAAGAATAATCATTATTGTCAACACTGTAATAAAACTCCCAAAAATACATTCACTGTGGACACTCAGGGTGGAGGTTGTTGTGAGGGTCTGACACTGGTAAACACACACTCAGCTCAGGCATAGTGAGTGTGTGTATGTTTTGACATACACAGTGCTATGCATTCATCAGACAAAGACTTGTTCGCTCAAGTTCATGAGTCTGCTGTGATCGTGTCTCACACCCACCTGAGGCTGGGTTGGTGGGGTGACAAAATGTGTCTGTACACACGACCGTGTGTGTGTGTGTGTGTGTGTGTGTGTGTGTGTGTGTGTGTGTGTGTGTGTGTGTGTGTGTGTGTGTGTGTGTGTGTGTGTGCGCGCGCATGTATGTGTGTGTGTGTTGACTTCACAGGTGACTCCTGTCTTTCAGAGGTGATGGAGGTGTTTGACTCAGCCGGTCAGAGCAACATGTACTGGTTGTCTATCGCCCGCTTCCGGCCCCGCTCAGGCTCCAGCTCATAGTCTGAGTCCCGCTGAGGGATGATGGGAGTGTGGGTGTTGGGGTGGCGAAGCAGAGGCCTCCTCCCCACTGACTCGCTCCGACGCAGAGGAGCGGGGGCCGACGAAGGAGGGTCAGGGACGGGGTTGGTGCGAATTGGGGGGTGATTTCCTGGCTGGGAAACAGAGCTGGGACTGGAGGTGGTGTTGGTGTTGGAGCAGGACGAAGGGGCCTGACTGGAGCTGCGATCCAAGCTGCAGTGAGCCAAGCTGGGCTCAGAGCTCCACCGATGGAGGGAGAAAGGGACCAGGAGAGCGCCTGAGAGCTGACCTAAGAAACAAAGAGAGGGAATGAGAGCTTTAGTGACGACGTCAAGCAAAACCTCCCAACTTCCTTGGCTTCTCTGTTCACACAATCCAATACTATCGACATGTTTAGCACTCAAACATCAATATTTTCTTCTGTTTGGCAAAGTGATATGAATGAGAGCTGAATGGGCGCCTCTCACCCTGTGACGGAGGGCTGGAGCCCGCCACTACGAAACTGGACAACGTGACGGCACCGGCGGCTCCACACTCGAGTGGGATGGGGAAGAGGCGGAAGTGACTGAGCATGTCCATTACAGATGGGAAGCGCAGGTGCTGCACCCTACACTGACCCCATTCTGTTAGCGAGAGGCGCAGGTGCTGCAGAGACAGAGAGAAAGAGGCGTGAGGAAATAAAAACAAAGAAGAGACACTCAGATTTTCACACTGTGTGATTCAGAGCGAGAGCTGAACCGTAGCCCCCTCCTTTTCTTAACCCCGGTGGTCCAAACTTGTTTATGGTCTTTTCCACCAGTGGTATGTTCTCATAATGCTTCCTCATTTAAGTGTTTATCACCGTTGCCAGGAAATGAGGTCCGCACCAATTTGAAGTATGCGGATGAAAAGAAGAACAATGTGGGTTTCGGAAAAAGTGTTCATTCATATTACCAGATGTTTTGTTGAAACACTTTAAGATGTGGACTGAACTGTCTCAGTTAGTTTGTTTTATCACACATCGTGAGATGTACCTTTGCTTTTCCCTGGTAGTTAAATGTGAGGACGTAGTCTCCCCTGCGGGTCTCGCTCTGTCGGACCAGAAACACTCCATGTCCCTCCGGTCCAGAGCTCTGAACCAGGTGGGCCGCCTTGACGCGGGAGATGGGCCCGTGGAACCATGGGTAGGAGAAGAGGAAGTGATCTGTCTTCTGGATAACCTGCTCTGGCAGGGTGAAGGTGACGGGGCCTGGAAGGATGAGCAGAGGAACAAAATGGTTCAATTCTTCTAAATCATAAAGCTGGACTAATAAATACTATATTATAACATACAGTAGTACAGTAAGGCATAAAAAGTCATAAAAATGTTGTAGTAAAATAAGGGATAAAAAGTCATAGTATAGTGAGGCATAAAAAGTCATGAAAAATTCATAGTATAATGAGGTATAAAAAGTCACAAAAACGTCATAGTATACTACGGCATAAAATATAAAAAAAAAAACATCACAGTAAAGTATTCACCAAATTAACTGCTGAGATCTGGGAACACAGCTATGTCACTACAACAAAGTTCAATGGGGAACTAAAGAAGAGAGTTCAGATGATGAGACAGGTTGTAAACAAATACTTTATACACTAGAGCTTAAAGTTGCACCAGGAACTTGGTTTAGTTTGTGTAATGATTTACCATATACTTATGTTTTAGCTTCATAAACAATTTAGCAAAACCAGGGGTTTGTTTGAAACCTGTCTGATTGTTTGACTGCTTGTGTTTCTGGCCCTGTTAGACTTGGTTTTAGCTGTGTTGCTATTTTCCTACTATAGATCTTAGCAATTAACTTGGTGCAGTTTTCTCACAACACGGTCTATGGAAATTACTTTATCCCAGACCACAAGAGACACAACGTGCATCTCGTGACAGTGCAGCTAACAGTCATTATCTCATTTTGCCCCAGAACTATACACCTGAGAGTTTAAGGATGAGTGATTAGTCCCCTCATCTTATATCTCACCACTCACTTTGACTTGCTGACGCTGAGCTTCCTCTGCGATTGGCTGGAACAGAGCTGTTAGCTGGGGAGGGGAGAGGCTCCAGATCCACACTGCCTGACCTGGAGGACGGCAACAGACTCAGATTACACACACTGTATCATCTACAACACATGCACTGCATGTTATTCTCATTGTGGACCACCCAAGGAAAAAAATAGTTCAGTTTCATCATTATTATTTCACTTCATTTTAAATATTATTTTTTTTCTCATTTGGGTTCCACCATCTGTCTTTACAAGAAAGCTTCAGCCCGGCTTACGCTGGCCGATCAGTATCGTCTCTCTGTTTTGGAGTTGAAACACTATTTAAGTGGTTGTAAAATGCAGAGCAGAGGTTGCAGAATTCTCATTAAGTTAACAGTTATTACACCAGTGTCACAAAAACAAATGTGTTAATGACTTATTGATGCTACATGTTGCACTTTTTTCACAAGGAGAAGAGAGCGAAAAAATAAAAAATGACCCCTGTGAGTGTTATACTGAATATTGTATGCATACTATTATATATCCTTAGATTACTATTACTCATGCATTGAATGTGTTATTAGCATTTTATTGTTGCCGCTGTTTGAGGTGAGGTTTTTTTTTTTTTTTTTACCTATTTTGTATGGGACTGCAACTAATCATCATTTTCATTTGCAAATTACTTTTTAATTAATTGATTGATTGTGTTTTTTGTAAAAAAAAATAGTGAGAGTCATAATTTGTATTGTATTGCTTGTATAACTCATGTTGTGGGGACATAAATCTGTTTCCACACTCACGGTCAGGACTTTACTTCCTGTTGGGACAAAAGGCAAATCCCTGTAACATAAATTATTACATTCTAGAGTGATGACTTGGTTTAAGGTTTAAGGTTACAGTTATGATTAAGGTAAGTCTCCAGGAAATTAATGTCACCCAATATAATGTCTCCTGATGCGAAACACGTCTGTGTGTGTGTGTGTGTGTACACATGTGTTTCTATAGTTGTGTGGACAAATTATGGTTTGAAGCCATCTTTGTGATAACATTTTGGCATTGTGAGGATATTTGGTCCATTCCTCACAACTTCAAAGGGCTGTCTGAAGGTTTAGACTTGGTTTTAAGTTTCAGGTTATCATTAGGTTTAGGTTCAGGTTAGGGTTAGGCATATAAGTAGTGATGCTTTAGGTTAAGATTGAGGTAAGGGGCTAGGGAATGCATTTTGTCAACGATTATCCTCAAAACTATAGAAAGACCAACGTGTGTGTGTGTGTGTGTGTGTGTGTGTGTGTGTGTGTTGGTAGGGTGAGTCCTGTGAACATGGAGGAAACAGCAGGCTAAAGTAACACAAAGACACTGAGCACAGACAGGAAGTGAGTCCAGTTCACCAGTTCAGATGTGAGCCAAGACTTTGCTGTTTTTGCACACACACACACACACACACAAAACCACACATCCATGTGTACACAGAGACACTGACTACAGACAGTATGTGTGTGTGTACATACACAGATGAGAAAGGGAAGGTTAAACAGGCAAGCTGTAGCAAATCCTGCTAAAATGCTGACTTGAGTTTGCGGTGCTCTGAATAACAGGAAGACAAGACTCCTTTCTCCTTTCTGTGTGTGTGTGTGTGTGTGTGTGTGTGTGTGTGTGTGTGTGTGTGTGTGTGTGTGTGTGTGTGTGTGTGTTCTTGCTGTTCTTCTATCTTTGTGAGAATCATTTCATGTTTTACTCCAGCACAGTGAGGACATTTCAGCCGGTCAGCAGTGTTGCGTGGATAAGATGTAAGGGCTCTGTATGAAACTAACTGCACCTACCACATCTGAAGGGAAAAGTGCTTAAACCCATTCCAGATGGCAAAAAGCCTACCACTGTAGCATCCTCCTGGCTGCATCATATTGCCTCCCTGATCTCTCTTTTGCAGGTTTTTGTAGTCTCAGCATGATGAATCATACAACAGGGGAATAATGGTGCACACTTTCAGACAATAGACCTTTTTTTTTTTTTTTTTTTTTAAACCAGCAGACATTTTGACTTGTCACAGCAGGAAAAGCACAGGTGTTTCTAATAACATCAACGAAGGCGCTGTTCTATTCAAGTGTCCCAGTGAGCCATGACCGTGTGTCAGTGAGCCAGCATAAACAATAGCAGGACGCTGAAACTGAAGCAGTCGTTATTAATTTTATTATTTACACCTGTGCTTTTCCGGCCGAGACATGTTACAGTGTTCTCTTTGAAAAAGAGGCCTCTCTTTTCCTCACTGTGTTCACTCCGTTGCACAGACGTAATGGACGCAGTTATTTGACGAATAAAAAGAAAGAAAATAGAGAGAACTCTGCCGCATGATGTGGTCGTGATTGTTGGATTGTTGATTCCGGAAAGTTACCACTGATGTCCGAGGGGTTTCAGATGCTGTTAGCAGTGATACAGACCAAATACAGGTCTGTGTTAAAACAATGCAGGGGGTGTGTTGTTTAAGGTAGCGGTGAGACATAAAAATAAAATTCAAATAAAATTTGTTTTAGAAAGTCCAGTTGGGAGTCACAGATTAATGCATTTTAACTGGCAACTACTTTATCTTTCATTAGGACAAACATACAGTAAACAGTAGAAATGTGGTGTTCACATTACAAACTAATGCACCAGGAGAATGTGCTTGCATGGATGAGACTGGCCGACGCAGCACCTTGCAAGATGATGTTGATGTCTTGGTGCAAACTTTTTTTTTTTTTTTTTTTGCCAGACAACTTTGTGTTTTTTTTTTTTGCTGGAGCACCACATGTTAGCACCACCGATGCACTGACATTTAAATGAATGGGTGGGCTGTGTTTTTTCCAAACAGGGCTAAAATCATTCAGACCAGGCTTTAAACAATCTGACAAGAACTTGTTTTGAAGCATCCTGAGGCGTGTCAGATATGTATGTAGCAACTGGCATGAGGTTGTGATGCAGTTTATAACAGTTTATATGTGGAGGCAAAGGATGCCTCCACATATTTTCCTCTAAATTCAGTGCAAAATGTACTGTGGATGGGTTGATATTAGGTCAGTGCAGATTGTCTACTTTCTGAAGCCACTGTGTGTGTAGATTATTGTAAATGGATAAAGCTTTCAAATGAAAATGCCTGCACATGTGATGGTGATGTGGCACCCAAGCAGAGTGGTTTGTGAGGTATCTGAATAAACACCGAATTCAAGCGTGAACTCAGTGTGTGTATGCATGTTCGCGAGTGTGTGTGCATGTTCACAAGTGTGTGTGTGTGTTCGCTGGTGTGTGTGAGCATTCCAGACATCTGCAGAAATGAGAAAGGTCCTGAGATTCTCCTGAGTCTCAGACCTCCCACACACTTCCTTTCACAGAGCAACACACACTCGCACAAATACACACGCACAAAAAGAGAGAAAAGTATCACTCCATTTGTATTACAGTATTGAGTGTTCCTATGAGTATTATTTACAGCATATTGAGTATGGCTTCAGCAAACCCAATGCATTTCTACATTCTAACTTCTTTCATGACTTCAGAGCAGATTTCACAGCTGTCAACCATCCTTACTGATATTTTTATTAATTTTGTTACCGAGTTTTTAATCTTAATATTACTGGTATGTAGTATTTGTCAGTCTGATCTACCAAAAACAGCTTGAAGAAGTGAGCACAGTCCTCACTTTCTTCTAAAGAATTTTGTGTCACTTTTTCCACCTATATCCAGAGGAAGGGAGTAGAGAGGTGACAGGAAATGAAGGGAGAGAGAGAGTATGACAAAGGCAACAAAGTCCTCCAGCTAGAATCAAAACACGGACGTTGTGATCACAGTAAGTAAAGTAAGTAGACACTGTTTTTTTTTTTTGGTTTGTTTTTTTAGACTACACTGTGTAATATAGAAGTGAGTTGTTCTTATCTAATGTCCCTAGAGGGCCCTATTGTATAATGTGAATCTATTTTCTACAATATTGGCATATTTGTTCTATATGTTGACAACTGTACGAGCTCAGTATTATGGTTGTTTTTGTATTTTAGGAGCTCACTGACTGTAATTTATATTACTGGTGTCCTCTGATTGGCGGGTTTCTCTCATATGTATGATGCTGTATTCATGAATTTTGCCTGATGAAGGCCCGAGGACAGAAATGTCGTCTTAATAAAGTGAGTTGAAGTGATGGACAGGGGGGCAGGAATCTTTAGTTTTCTTTTCGAGTTTTACCTTAAAAGTTAAATACACATAAAAGTTTCTGCTCAATTTTAAAACTACCTTTATTGCTGAACTTACAAGCCCTGACAGAATAGTGTACACACAGAATGGGTCAGTACCTCTCAAAGGTTGAGTGTAAATATTAAATTGACTGATGAGTTTGATGAATGATTATTTCCAGGAACATTCCAAATATAACAAGAGTCAAACCTGCTCCAGTCTGTAGAGCTCTAAAGCAAACGAATGCATGAGCTCCGGAGTAGACAAACAAGCACGGGCAGGCACACACACACACACACACACACACACACACACACACACACACACAAATGTTTGTTCATATATACACATACACTACAAAATATTCTCACTTGCATTTGCAAACACATACCTCAGCACAAGTAAACATCAGGCACACCCACAAACACTAAAAACAGCCAAAGTCCAAGTGTTAAATATTTCCACTGAGAATCTCAAGGAAAAAAAAGCTGCGTAAGGAGAGATGGACGAGGACGACGCAGGCTGCTGTTACATACTCTGTATGCGTGTGTGTAAGTGTGTGTGTGTGTGTAAGTGTGTGTGTGTGCGTCTGGTTAGTGTCAGGTTGAGCTAAGCAGTATTGGAAGAAGTAATCAAATCCTAAACCTCCTTTTTATTAATTTGCTAAACTACTTCTTGTAGTTTTTGTGCCGCCACCAGTTATCTAAATGAAACCATGTATCAAGTCTAGAGGAGAAACGTCTCTTTGGTGGAAATGCTAACAGCTCATAAAACGTCTAAAACACAACAAGAGGCCTCTACTAGATACCGGGCACAATGCATTGTCTTCATTAAAACCATAATATGCTTTCTATGTTAATTCTTAATCTGAAAAGGTATCAGGTAACTCTCACTATGAAATAAATGTAGTGCAGTAAAATGAAGTGGAGTTGAAGTATAAAGCAGGATGAAATGAAAGGAAAGTTAGAAACAGAGTGGGTTCTAATATTGGCGTTCAGGTCATATTAAGTATCCGTCTTTGTGTTTCTCACCTGTTGCTGATACATTCTTTTAGCTCTGTGGTCCAGGAGCTGACCTGCTGGTCGTTGTCGGTCTCAAATATCAGACTACCTCGATTAACCTGCAGAGACAAGGATGCATTCAAATACACCTTCCACATTATATAGACCCTGAACTGTTGTCCAATGTCCACATTTTTTAAATCAAAATGCAAGAAAGAAAATGTAAGAAATAGAACCAGGTCACAAGCAGAATCTGAATGAACGTTATTGGCATTACAATGAAAGCTGCAATGTCACTGGTTCTTTGCATTGTTTTTTGCTTATGGTCTTGGGACTTGTTTGTTTATTCATATTTGGGACCTTGAAGGGGATTCTTATCAGGGTGGGTTTTATATAAATATGTGGCAGTTATATGTTTTTTCTGAAAGTGTTCTGGGACGGAAAGAGATAACTAAGGCTAATAAAACCATCATGTAATTACGTCAAGTACAGAGAAAGAAAAAAGCTAAAAACAACATCAAATTGCAATGGTGACATTTTCTCACAGCAGAAAAAGTATAATTCATAAAAAAAAGTTCCCAAACCACTGTCCAACATAAACTACCTCTCTGCTGTCCATCCGTGTGCTCAGAAAGCACATGGCAGGGGGCTGTGTTGGTACCGGTGACACATGAAATTCAATCCAGGAAGTCTAGTTTGACTAACTCGTCTGTTATTTTGAAGTTGTTTCAGATGCCAAAGCTCTGCACAGCTGTTTGTGATACTATGACACAGGATTTTTACAACTGTGGAAACTCACAAAGGCAATTATTTTGTCTTTTGTCATGGCGATCGCGAGGTAAACAGTAGGAAATACAGCGCTCACCTTAAAAACACTAATCCACCAGGAATGTGACCTTGCATGTACAGTACTGTGCAAAAGTTTTAGGCACTTGAGATTTACATCCATCACACAATACTATCAGTGAGGTGTCTGATCAGTCCCAAATTCAATCAGAGACATAAAGACCTATCTTCAGAGACAAGAAGAGGAAGAAGTCCTGCAACAGATGGTCTGGCCTCCCCACAGCCTTGACCTCAATATCATCAAGGCAGTCTGGAATTAGTTAGTTAGTCACTGAGAAACTGACCTGCCTACAGACATCCGACCAAACAGAAACCTTGTAAGTAGCTAAACTGCTACGTTGTCATGTGGCTATGTGAAGATGAGGAAATCACCTTGTTTTACCAATGTTATTTTGTATGGCACACAGTGCGATCACTCAAAGGATTACTTCAGGAGACAAGAGCTTATGAGCGTATTTGTTTTGCTTTTCTTCTTGCTAATGTCTGTGTACAACAACCCGTGTTGGTTTTTTCTTTTTTCATGATAACGATCCAAAATGATGTGAAAATGCATCGTTTTTTTAAACAAATGACATAAAATGTTCTTGAGGGAGCTTCTGGCAAAGCTTTAAAGAGGACAGCGACCCAGCTCAGAAGCAATGCATTTAGCAATAGTTTGGTGAAACAATCATTATTTGAAACACGCTGAGCATGTGGATGAACAGCTGAAAAGTGGAATGTGCTACAGGAGAGGTTTCTGTGTATGTTGTGATGATGTTTTTTCCAGAGTTTGATACTCCTGACACCAGGTTTGGGTGGAGTATCCTCAACCAGGCCTAAATTAAGGCTATTTGGTGAGTTGTGTTATGAAATGAACTGACACAATGATTATCTTGTTTCCTCTTCATCTTGGATTGAGGGTTGAAGATGTAAACTTGTGGATATAAACAACTCAGTGGGAAGAGTCTGCAACTGTAGTATTTTCAAACAGCTCAGATATTCCCTGGGGAAGTAATTTCATTCCCATTCAGCGTTTGTCACGCAGCATGAAAGCCTGTACGTACCTTTAAAACAAATGTGTTTAAGTTGTCGGGCATCTCCAGACGGTTGCAACGACGTACTTCTTGGATATCACAGCACTGAGTTGTCAGCTTGGGACTGGAGGCCTGAAAGACACAATAAAGACATGATGAGTGTCAGACAAGTCAGACATCATTCTCGGGACGCAGAGTAAGTAAGTAACAGTCAGTTATAACAGTTGCCAATTAATTTTTCTAATCAATTCATTGACATGTATGCCATGTATGCCCTCATGTATGCATGTGTGTCTGTGTGCTGCTGAAACTTAAACCTGCATTAGTGAAAGAAAATGCAGTGAATGGCAGGAAGGAGAGCATGATGGGAGCTCCCATGGCAGAGCTCCAAGGTCGACCCCACCAGGACAAATCTTGTATTTGAAGAATGTTAAATGAGATATAAGGGGCTTCCTGGTGGCTCTTTGACCTTTTCTGCATGTAAAGCACCAAGAAAACAAAACAAAACTATAACTCAGTTTCATGCACTAACAAAACACACACCGAGAATAAACATGGAGATCCGTTCTACAGGTGTAAGGCCGCTCTTTAAAGTCCTGTCACATGCAGGTAAACCTGAAGCCCAGCTGGACAGAATAATGGTGTGTGTGCACATCCATGGGTGGACATCGACAGACACATGCACTCAAACTAATCATACGTCACTAATATAGCTATGCAGAGCCTCTAAGCCCCCAGATACAAACGAGCGCTAACAGAGCCACTGGCATAAACAAAACACACAGACCCACACACACACACACACACACGGATGGATGATTCGGTCAGCCATGTGTACAGGCCTGTGGCATGCTGGGTCAGAAGTCACCTCTGAAATGAAGCCTGCGCGACAGCTGATAGAAACACGGGGAGACAAGAGAGTCAGCAACTCGGATTGAGAGTTTAAAAACTAGCGTGAGTGTAAAGAGAGGGCTAAAAATGACAATTATTTTCATTATCGACAATTCACAATATCCCAGAGGCCAAAGTGACATTTTAAAATATCTTGTTTTGTTTGAGTAACACTCCAAAACCCCAAAATACAATTATGCTAGGCAGGGATGCGAAGCAAAGTCTCACATTTGAGAAGCTGGAACATTCAAATCTTTACCTGAAAAAATATCAATTAATCGATTATTAAAAGAGTTGCTAGTAAATTTTGTGAAAATATACTAAACAATTAATCAACTTTCAAAAATTTTATACGATGTTAAACCTGCAATAATTATGATTTTTTTTGGCCACTTGGAGGCAGCGAAGGTCAGGTTAATATAATTGCCCCCATGTTTTAAGTTGATTTGCTGAACTTGCTAGCGAACAGTTGCTTATTTACACATTGTGAAGTTACAGAGCAACATTATCATTCACTTGGAGTCGTGTTCTTTCCAATACTCGTGGTTTTTCAGCTCCGATTTGGTCTCCGCTTTGCTCGCCACCAACTCCTGAGGGAAATACCTGGCTCTTCGGCTGATAAATACTCCACCATGTTTAAGAATATAGGATCTTAACACCATTACAGACTACGAACCACGATATATTTATACTTCATCACAATATAATAATATCGAGAGATGATAAATATTATCACCCAGCCCAGGACTAACTCCCATAAAAATAATATATTTAGCAACTAAACTGTGAATCTTTGTCCAAAACAAACACGGTGGAAGCACAGTGGGAAACTAAGCAGCTACAGTTGGACCAGCATCAAACCTTATTGGACAAACGTATGCAAGAGAGCAGGAAAAAAAAGAAAAAAAGAAAGAGAGGGTAGCGTGAGAGAGCAGAAGGAAACTGACGAGACAGTGAAAAGACGTGGTGTTGGGTTGGGTAGGAGGGAGAAGAGGGATGAGGAGCAGAAGAAAAAGCAGGGACGACAGATTCCAGGGCTTTGTGCACCGGATGAGTTTGAGTCTATGTGACAGTGAGTGAGCCTGAGGAATGTCTATGTTAATCCTACACACACATAAAAACAGACAGGAACACACACACATCAAAAGAATAGATTAAGCCCCCCCACCTGCCCAATTTCCTCAGCTTGCCAGTGTCGTGAATGAACCCCATAACTCTGCATGCTCTCTATTTAACCACAGTGTCTAATATTATCAATAAAAAAGCACTGTGACGCACAGATGAGGGGGATATGACTCATTTTGTGAGATCTGAGTCAGCGAATGAGGAACTGACTGAAAGTGAACTTGTGCCAAATTGCTGTCACAGCTGAATTTTAGTCCAGGATGTTCACAGAAATTTGTTTCTACTTCTTCAAATTCAGGTTAAAAACCTTCAGGTTGACCTGTGTGGAAAGATAATAGGGAGAAAGATAAAATCAATATTTCTGAGAAAAGGTGGAGACAGAGGACAGATGTGCCTACTAACAGGAAAGACACATACAGATTTAAAAAAAAAAAACAAAAAAAAAAAAAACAGCTGTTCTTGCCTTGTTGATTTTAGACTCATTTTTTGCACTTGGAGGCCACGGACACAAGTTGTGAACACAACACTGACATACAGTAATTTCCCTTTTAAGTTAATACGGTTCTTAGCAAACAATTGGCTATTTACACATCCAGTAGTTAAAGAGTTTTTCTTGGTATCTACCAACTCCTGAGGGAAACATCTGGCTCTATGGTGACACAAACTGATTTTACATTTGCCAATTTTGACCCCCCCTCACCCCCCTTAATTCTTATCTTAAATAATCTAATTTAATCTTTATTTGTAGTTTTACTAGTATTACTGTTTGTCCTTTGATGTGTGTTTTTTGAAATCTACACTGTGTGCCACATTTTCATGTTTGATTTGTTTTAATTGTTCGCTCCTGACTCTCCCTCCCTGTATAAAGGATACTGAACTGTGAAAATTACTAAGACTGCACACTGAGGGAGTCAGTCAGTGGTCCAATATATTATTGGGCCGTAAAAGAGAAAATTTAAATAATTGTTAAACATTAGGCATTTTCTTGTGTCAACTTCTCAAAATGTGAGGGTTTGCTGCTTTTTTCTGTTTTATATCATATTTAACTGATCATCTTTGGCTCTTGGACTTCTGGTCGGACAAAACAAACCATTTAAAGATGTTACCTTGGGCTGCAGGAAAGCGGTTTTTAGTGTTTTCTGATGTTTCTAAAACTCTTGAGTGCAAACTGCTTGGATGTTGCTAATTAATGAATATTTATGTATCTATTCAATGCCAAAAAAAGTAGAACACAGAGACAAGGATAAAGGATGTGAGTTAAAGCTTCACCATCAACTGCACAGGATATGCAACAGCTAATGAGATGTGGTACTCCGTGCACGTGCGCGTGGGTGTGCACGTCGGTGAGCGTTCGAGCCGAGAATGACTCATTGAGAGGAATTTATAGTGAGAATGTGAATGAGTTTCTGACTAAGAGCATCTTTGAGGAACCATATGTGTCTGTGGAGGGAAAAAAAAGAAGAAAAAAGAAAAAAAAAAAAACATAGAGCAGATGTCTGACTGGTTGAGCAACAACATAACAGGCCTGATTTCTGTGAATCAACTTCATCAGGGGAGCAAGTTCAAACTCACAACACATTTCCTATTACTGCAAACTAAAGTCTGTAATACTCCCTGAAGACACACACACACACACACACACACACACACACACACACACACACACACACACACACACACACACACACACACACACACACACACACACACACACGCCTTTAACCTTATTCTTCCTTTATTTTGTAATCACCAAATAACTCCTTCAAGAGTATTTCCTTAAACACCACCACCAAGCAATGTGGGAAAACTGTGTGAGCATGCATGAACCATGTGACTGCTATTGTGTTGTAGATTTAATTCTAATTGTACAAAGTTGACATTTTTGCTCAGCCATCTAAGCTCAGAAACTCATAAAGACAAAGTGAAAATATATTTTTAGACATTTTTGCAAATTTATCTCTCATTTACAACAATGAGATCCTTAATTCAGTACTTTGTGGAAGCCCCTTTGGCAGGAGTTACAGCTTCTTGGCTAAGTCTCTACAAGCTTTGCACACCTGGATATGGGCAGTTTATCTCATTCTTCCTGGCAGATCCTCTCAAGCTCCATCAGATTGGATGGGAAATGTCTGAGCTTTGATCTTCAGGTCTCTCCACAGATGTTCTTTGGGGTTAAAGTCTGGGCTTTGGCTGCACCACTGAATGACAGTCAGAGACTTGTCCCGAAGCCATTCCAGTGTTGTCCTGGCTCTTTGCTTAAGGCGATTGTTGTGCTGAAAAGTGAACTGTTACCCCAGCCTCAGGTTGCATGCTCTCTGGAGCAGGGTTTCTTGAAACACCACTCTGTATTTGGCTGCATTCATCTGACAAGTTTCCCTGTCGCTGCTGCTGAGAGGAACCCCCATAGCATGATGTTGGGATGGTATTAGCCAGGTGATGAGGAGTGCCTGGTGTTCGCCCGACATCGTGTTTGGAGTTCTGCCCAAAGGGTTACATTTTTTTCTCAGGATGGTTGTCCTTCTGGCAGCTTCACCATTCTCTGCAAAGGACTTCTGAAGCTCTGTTAGAGTAACTGTCAGGTTTTTGATCACCTCCCTGACCAAGGCCAATTCCTGGAAGAGTCCTGGAGGTTCCAAACTTGTTGAGTTTCACAATTACTGAGGCCTCTGTTCTGGAAACGCAAATAGCTTTATACCCTGGCCCTGATCTATGCCTGAGCACAATTTTATTGCGGAGGTCTACAGAGAGTTCCTTGGACTTCATGGCTTGTATTTTGTCCTGACATGCAGTGTGAATCATGGGACCTTACATACACAGGTGTGTGCATTTCTGAACTATATCCAATCAATTCAATTAGCCACAGATGGACATAATTCGAGTTCTAGACACCACAACATTAAAATGAACAGGATGCACAATTTGTAGTGCCACAGCAAAGTGAGCAGAAAACACTTTTTGATTTTAATAAATATGCAAAAATTTCTAGAAACATGTTTTCACTTCATCATTATGGATTACTGTGTGTAGACATGTGGAAAAATTTTGAAAATTTATCAATTTACAATCAAATCAACAAAACAATCAACTGCAAAAAGTGAAGGGGTCTGAATACTTTC